TCTTCATGAACTTCTTTAAAAAGTAATAATAGTTTCCTCGTTCATTTTTTTACGATTCGTTCTATATTTTTTCTAAATGAAAAAATTAATTTGTAATAAACATTATTATTATTATATTATAACATTATTGTATTATATGTTTTATTATAATTAATTCAAAAAATGCATTCTTTTCTTCTATATCTCCATTTTTTTCTGAAAAATACACTGAAAAACAATATATCTGAATCAAATATAATTATCTTTGTTATTCAGTCAACCGAAAATTATTTTTGAATTAAACATAATAATAATTCAATAAAAATTACGCTGAATTCAATTATAAAATATCTTTAATTCAAAAATATTTTTTTACTTGGTTAAATATTTTTGGATTAAAAAAATGTTTTCTCTGTATATATAATGCAATCAAAAATTTATTAAAAAAGGTAAAAAAGATTTTACTTGAGACAGCAATACGTTTCTATAGAATAGCGAAAGTATCTAAGAAAAAGTAATGAAAGATTGCATAAATAAATTATACAATTGAGGGGCTGGATGCTATAATGTGTTACGCGCCATTCACTTAACATGGCGCGTAACACATTATAGCATCCAGCCCCTCAATTAGTAAACATACAGTAAATAGTAATTAATTGTTAAATATACAAATAATGAGAATGTGAAGAGTGAATAAAGTGAAATTTAGATGTAAAAATAAAAAGACAGGGTGAATTGGCAAAAATATTCCCTGATGGGTCGCTAATCCATCTTAGGAAGTGAATCATTGTTATATAACTAACGACCCTGCGACAGTAAATGTATAATAATACACATACATATACATATATATAATATAAAAGGACATCAGATAATAATATACATTTATATATAACACACACACATATACATAGGTATATAAATTATAAACGTGTGTGTATATTTGTGTATATGCTATATATATAAGTGAGTTTGTAAATTCTTCGCACGTCGTCGTCCACCGTTTTGCCTGGACATCTTTATGTCACGCACAAACAAATGTCATGTCACGTCACGCTTCACTTTATATCCATCGCCTTAAATGGCCACGACATTTAAAAATTTGCAAAATTAATCGCCTCTAAAATTCTTTACAAAGCGTGTCAGGAGTCACACGAAAAAAAATATCTATTTAAAACCATTTCAAACATGTTCATCGCTTCATTTGCTACTTCATTTCATCGCGCATTTTAAAATCATATTTTTTGTTTTTTTATTGTTATAGTGACAAATAGAATGAAAAAATGTAAATATCATATGTGTATTTCAAAATTGGGACAAGTATAGATAAAATTTACTATTTTTAGTCTTATTATTACTATTGTTATTATCATTTTCATTATTATTATTATTAAGAATAATTACATTTTTCGAGAAATTCGATTAAAATTGTATGAAAAATAATTTCAATTATGTATTTCAAAAATTTCTCAATTATTTGTTTATAAAAATTTCAAAAATCTTATTTTTCAGAATTTTTATAAAAACTTTGCAAAAATTCAATTTTATTAAAAAATTTTAAGTATGTACCTCTATTTAAATTAACTAATAAAAATTTTAATCATTATTAATCTTCGTACTAATAATAAGAAACATGAATGCATTAGAATGTGACTCTTTATAAAATTCAATTATTTATCAATTATTAAATTAAAATACTTTGAAATTTCGATTTATTAAAAAGTTTTTAATGAAATTCTTTAACAAATTTAATTATTTTCAGTTGAATTTCACAAAATTTTTACTAATTCGATATTTTTTTAAAAATTTATTTACATATACTATATTTGAATCAGTGACAGATTTTTTACTATTAAATTAATTATTTTTAACTAATTTAAATTTATAAATTTGAATTTGATAAAGCAATTTTTTAAAAACAAATTAAAATAATAAAATTCCTGGCTTAATCCCGGTTCTTCCGGATTTCCGGTTAGTAGACTCCCTGAAGTTACATATAAAAAATCAGAAAAGTCAATAAAAAAATTAAATAAAAAATAGCGCTAAAGAAAATGGACAAAAATAAAAAAGAGAAGCGAAAAAAACAAAGAAAAAAGAAATAAAAAGACACTTTTATTAAAAGAAGGTAATATTATAAAAACCGCAGTTATTAAATTCCAAAGATGATAATCTAAAAGTTTTTCACAAAGATAAATGTGTCTTTACCTCCCCCCACCCCTCGTTATATAAACTTAAAAAGTGGAAACATGTGCAAAATTTTAGATTAAAGTTAAAAACTATTAAAGTTGTTCGTGTGCGGTTGAATTTTTCTTTTGGCATTTGAAGAATTTTTTTTCTTTCTTCTTCTTATTCTTTTGCGTTTTATCGCGTGACGATTTTTGCGGAACTTTTTCACAAGCAATAACGCGGGTTTTTTTAACAGCCCAACCACGTGTCGCCAATGGAGGAGGGTGGAAAAAAAGGAAAAATTTCTCAAATATTAGTCTGTGAGGAATCTAGCAAAACCCTTGAGAGAGAGAAGATAGCGATATTGTATATGAAAGGAGGATTTCCCCTTCGAATAATAACGCGCTCCTCTTTCTTGCACATCTTCGACGGTAACATGTGCAATAAACGACTTAGAAAACTCTTTTTTTCAAATTTTCATCTTTTCCAGACACACACACACACACACACTTCATATCTTATAGTTTGTCTCGATGAAATATTGTATTATTACTTTTCCTTTGCGGTGGAATAATATAAAAAGTTTTATTAGGTATATGATCTTTTGGGAGAAATATTTTTTTCTTTAAAATGAAAAAAAAATGTAGAAAAAGTAAATTAAAAACAAAATTTACACTGAAAAAAAATTTATTTGGTTCAAATAACCGATTGCTTTTGTATTAGTAAACATTTATTTTCATTGAGTCATATAATTTTTTATTTAAATCAAATAAATTTTATTTCAACCAATAATTTCTATATTTGAAGAAAATAATTGACTTAAATAAAAATTATTTCATACAAATAAATATTTACTTGAATCAAAGAATTTTTATTTAAATTTAAAAAATTTAATTTTAACCAATAATTTTCGTATTTAAAACAAATTTTTTTAATTAATTTAAATTTTATATCAATAAAATTAGCTTAAATAAAAATTACTTTATTCAAATAGATGTTTACTTAAATGAAAGAATTTCTATTCAAATCAAATAAATTTTATTTGAACCAATATAATTTCCATAGGATATTTGAAGCAAATAATTGACTTAAATAAAAATTATTTCATACAAATAAATATTTACTTGAATCAAAGAATTTTTAATTAAATCAGAGAAATTGTGACTCAAGAATTTCCATGTTTGAATCAAATGCCATTTAACTGTCTAAAATAAAAATTATTTCGTATGAAAAAAAAATTAACTTAAAACTTAAAACAAAAATTTTTTATTAAAATCAAATAAATTGTATTTTAATAAATAATTTTCGTATTTCAAGCGCAAATTCCATTTAATTGACTTAAATTAAAATTATTTCATTCAAATAAATATTCATTTCATAATAGACAAGAAAAAGTTCATTGGAGTCAAGTAAATTGTTTTTTGAACAAATAATTTTCGTATTTGAACAGTTTTGCCACAAATATTTTATTTTATTTTTCCCTGACTTTTCCCTGATTTCTAGACAAAATTTTCACTTTTTCCCTGACCCTACAGAATATTCTGATTCACTCTAAAAATTATTAGATACTCAAAAAAATGTAGTAAAATTCGTTGCAATAATTCAATTATTTTCATAAATAATAAATCAATTATTCGATAATTAATTTTTAAATCAATTTTTATTAGAAAATTCTAGATGAATTCAATTATTTAAATTGAAAAATAAATTATTTATTGAATAATTGAATGTTTCTTAAAATTAAATTCACAAAAAGAATTTTATCAACATATTTTTAAATGATTGAATTCTTGCATCGAATTTTATTCAAGTTTATAAAAATAATTGAATTTTGGTGAAGAATTTTAGTATTCATAAAAATAATTGAATTCTTGAAAAGAACTTTGTTAAATTTTTTTAAATAATTGAATTCTTGCGACGAATAAAAATCTTTTTAAATAATTGATATTTTTTGAAAAATTTTATGAAATTTTGTATTTTAAATAATTGAATTCCTGTGAAAATTTTATTTCTTATGAAAATAATTGAATTATTTCGAAGAAATTTATTAAAAATTTTGTAAATAATTGAATTCCTGTGAAATTTTGCCAAGCATTTTATTAAAATTTTTAAAAATAATTGAATTTCGATGAAGAATTTTATTCCTATTTATAAAGATAATTGAAATTTTGACGAGAATATTTTTAAAATTTTTGAAGATAATTGAAATTCTGCGAAGAATTCTTATAACTTTTGAAAATAATTGAATTTCTGCATTCATTTGTAACTTTTCTAAAATTCAATTTTTTTTTTTAGTATTCTTAACTAAAATTCTTCTATAAATCTAGTATTTATGAAAATTGTAAAAATTATTTATTAAATAATTTATAAGCCATAATTTTTCCAGTACTTTTACTAAAAATCCCTGACCAATTTTACTTTCCCTGACTTCCCTGACCTGTGGCAACCCTATGAGACTAATTTTTTTAATTGATTAAAATTTTATATCAATAAAATTGATTTAAATAAACATTATTGCATTCAAATAAATTCTGCAATTAAATAAATTTAATTTTAAAAATAAAACAAATAAATTTTTATTTAAATCAATTACAATTTTGAACCAATAAACTCAGTATTTGAAACAACTAATACTAATTTAATTGACTTGAATAAAAAATATTTATTTTTTAATAGACAAGTAATCGTTTACTTGAATTAAATTCGTTTTTTAAGTTTGTAATTTTTTATCTAAACAAATTTAAACTTAAACTTACTTTACAAATTTGAAAAAATTAAAATTAAAATTATAAATTTTTAACTTTTGTAACAATTTTTTTTTACAAAGAAGGTTTTGATGAACGAAATATTCGTCGTTTTTCAGAAATTAATAATTTTTATTGCATAAATTAATTTTGACTGCTTGAAAACAGAACCTTGCTGTCATCTGTATTACAAACTCCGAACTAGTCATAAATTTCGAAAACGTAAAATCTCACATTATCCACTGTAGGTTATACAATATTTCCTAAATTCATGAATTCGAAATATTTTCCAAATATTAAAAATCAAAGAACAGTCATTTTTTTTACAAGTTTCATTATTTTACTTGCTACAAAAAAAATGCCTCATTTTTTGCACGATTTGAAGACAAATTAAAAGTTTATTTTTTTTTACTGAATTTGTGTATATACATGAATTTTTCTTCTTCATTCGAGACCAAAAATTGTTGAATGTTGAATTTACTTCGTCAAGGAAGTTAATAATGGATAAGGGGATTGAAACAAGGGGGAAAGGGAAAGAGCGCGAGAAAGAAAGAAAGAGAGAGAGAGAGAGAGAAAGTGATTAGTTGATACACAAATAAAAGAATGGCCTCATTGTGAATTATAATGTACCGTAGCCTATTATGCTTCAAAATTGTTTCATCACATCGTCAGCTCCTGTTAACAGAAAAAAATAGGTAATTATTTTATTGATTCTAGAGCAACAAGAAGTAAATTTAAATTAAATTGATAGTATAGTCAGTCTGCCAAGGTTTTCAACAGTTCTCAATTAATGACTGTGAAATAAAATAGCGAAACCTTCACAATGATCATCATATTGGCATTTTTTAATTAAATATTTAAGTGAATGTTTATTATATTTCTTTGCTGAATCATTTTTTATTTACTTAAATTTATTCATATTTTTATTATATTACACGCGGAAAAAAGCTTTACCTGAAACAGATATAAATTTTACTATAATAGCAAAATTTTCAGCTTTTTTGAGACTTTCGCTATATTACAGAGAAACTTATCGTTGTTCCAGATAAAGCTTTCTTTCCGTGTATTATATATTCTTGTTCAAAGCCGAAAGACACGAACTATGTATAATAAATAATAAAATATATATTTTACATTATATTTATAATATAATATACCATTTAAATATTTAAAAAATATTTTAGTCAAAAAGTTTGCAAATTAAAATCTTTGAGTAGATGAGAAAATTAAAATACCATTATGGCGTTGACAATATCATTTTGGTTATTCTTGAGAGCTCTGATCGCTTTCCCTCGCGAGACATTCGCTTGACTCATTACTAGGTCAATATCCTTTTCTTCGACGCCCGCTTCATCAACCTCTTCCTCTGACTCTTCTTGAATTGGTGCCACAACCTATCGAACGAACAAATAATTATGTAAAAAAGAATTTCCTTTTACTTCAAATGCTTTATATTTGAATAATTTCGTATTAATTACCGTCGTACTGCCACCTGCTTCAGTTGCTGTGATAACTGGCGGTTCCTTGAACTTCTCAGCTGCCGCCACCTGGGCTTGCTGGCTAAGATCTTCAATCTAAAAGAATATCAATTTCAAATTAGTTATTTCGATTTTCAAACCCGTAATTAAATAAATACATCTTTTTTTTTGCTTTTTATTCACACGTAAAAGAAATTTATACTTCGTGTGAATGAAAACAAAGCAAATAAAAAAAAATAGTAAATAATAAAGTAAAACTGAAAATCAAAGATAGAATAAAATATTTTGTATAGAGAATTCAATTACTTTGGCTTCGCCGAAAACGATATAAGTGTCCGAAGCTGGGTTTTTAAGGACGTCTGGTTTGTTGATAACGAAGAGAATATTTTTGGACTTGCGAATTGTCACTCTGTTAACGCCTTGCACCTGAAAATGAAAAATTCATTTTACTCTCTATTTTTAAATGCGCTCGAAAGTGCTTTATTTCAAAATGGAAAACTATCAGTCTGCCAAGGTTCTCTACACGTTTCGATTACGACTGTGAAATTGAAAAGCGAAACCTTCACATTTATCATCATTTAAATTTTTTTTCATGACTGCTAAACTCCAAAATATTTTACTTCCAAAACATTAAAAATTCAGAGAAATATTTCTATTATTAATATCACAATACAATTTAATTGTATTATTATTACATAATTATGTTATTAAATAATTATATTATTCAGGGTTGTTACAGGTCAAAGAAGTTAAGAAATTCAGGATTTTTATTAAAAGTAGTTGAAAAAATTAAATTTTTAGAATTTTAAATAACTTTATTCTTGAAGAACTTATCATAAAATTATTTAATGTATAATTTCATTTAAATATTTCAAAATTAAATGAATTTTAAAACAGTTGCGTTTACAATTTTCACAAATAGATGAACTTCAAAGGGTTTTAATTAAAACTTTTATAAAATTTCAATTATTAAAAATAATGAATTTATACAAGAATTTTAGGTAAAAACACTAAAAAAAAATTTTAATTTTGGAAAAATTACAAATGATTGCAGAAATTCAATTATTCTCAAAAGTCATAAAATTCTTCGCAGAAATTAAATTATGTTAAAAATTTTTTAAACATTCTCGACAAATAAATAATTTTCTAAATAATAAAATTCTTCTCAGAAATTCAAATATTTTCAAAAATTTTAATAAAATTTATGGCAAAATTTCAATTATTTTTTTTTAATTTTCCAATTACATAAATGATTTTCAACATCTATTATTTTAATAAAATGTTCGACAAGAATTTAATTATTTAAAAAAATTTTAATAAAATCCTACGCAAACCTTTAGATATTTTTTCAAATAATAAAAATTTCACAGGAATTCAATTATTTTCAAAAGTAAGAAATTTCTTCGCAAAAATTCAAATTATGTTTAATTAATTTCATAAATAATAAAAATTTCATAGGAATTCAATTTAATTATTTACAAATTTATTATAACTTTTCTTCGCAATAATTCGATTATTTTAGAGCTGTGCAAAATAATTCGAACCGAACTGTTCGAATTTTTTCGCCTAGTTCGAATGTCGAAAATTCGACATTCGAGTTAGCTTAGTTCGAATGTCGGTTTTTCGACATTCGAACTAGCCCAGTTCGGATGTCGAATATTTGACATTTCAGCGCCCCAAAACCGAACTAAACTCGGTTCGGTTCGAATTTTGCACAGCTCTAGATTATTTTCATAAAAAATAAAAGTTTTTATAGGGATTCGATTATTATAATAAATAATAAAATTCTTTTTAGGATCTCAATTATTTTCAAAAATAATGAAACTCATAGCAGAATTTCAATTATTTCCAATGCAATTTTATTCAAATTTTTAAAAAAATGTAATTATTCTTAAAAAATTTTATTAAAATTCGTCGAAAGAATTCAATTATTTAAAAATTTGTTGATAGAATTCTTTATGAGAATTCAATTTTAAGGAACATTCAATTATTCAATAAATCATCATTGCGTAAATTTTTAGAAATAATTGAATTTTGATAAAGTTTCATATTAAAATCTTTGAAAATTTGAATTTTTCATACTTTTTTAGTTATACTTTTTAGTTTTAGCTAACAATTCTGTAGAATTAATTTTTTTTTTAAAAAGGGACCGTTCAAAAAATACGTAACGCTTTTTGGGGGGAGGGGGGGTCGAGCTATTTGTTACGGTCAGTAGAAAAAATGGCGCTAATGTATACAACATTGCGTTACATGGGGGGAGGGGGGGTCCAAATTTCCGAAAAATAGCGTTACGTATTTTTTGAACGGCCCCTAAAGTGTATTTGAATTTATTTGAAGTTTCTATTTTTTACTAGGTATATATTTAATTGAACAATTTCCGGATAATCAAAATTGCATGAAATTCAATTGTAAACAAATTAATATGAAAATTTTCAAAGAAGTTTTGCAAAAATTATTAAAAATAATTGATTTAAAGAAGAATTATAAAATAATTTTGAATAAGTTACAGTAACAATATTCTTATAATATAAAATAATGATTTTATCACTCGATCAACTTTAATTATTATAAAACATGAAAAAATCGATCAATTTTATCATGTTTTGTAATAATATTCTTATAAGTTTTTGAATTTCAAAAAGGTTTGAATTTAAAATTGTTGAGAATCTTAATTTCTATTTAAAAATGATTAAATATTTATTTAAAAAAGAAGTTATTGATGTTTTCGAATAATTTCACTTTTGAAGAAATTTGTAAATAAATGTAATAGAACATTTTTTGGAGTATCTAATAATTTTTGGAGTGAATCAGAATATTCTTTAGGGTCAGGGAAAATGGCAAAATTTTTTCTGGAAATCAGGAAAAAACAAAATTAAATTTTTGTAGCAACCCTGTTATTGAATAATTATATTAATTAATAAATAATTGTATATTTTATTATGAAGTAATTATTTTAATTTCATTAATAAACCATTAAGATTATTATTAAAATTAATCTCAATTAAATGCAATTTTCTTACTGGTTTCAATCCCAATTTACTCATGAGTTTTCGGGCCTTTTTCTCGCCTCGGCTTTGTTTCGCCTTCGACACAATGTCAATGGGAAGTCCAGTGACAGTGGGTCTTGGAAAGCCGACAGCATCTTCTGTCGCGGCGTCTTCCAATTCAGGAATAGTGTCATCTGAATCTGAATCACTTCCTGATCCAGCTGCTGCAGCCTCCACTTTGGTAGGCTCAGACGTCGCAGCCTTGTCCAATTCAGTTAATTCTGGCATTTTTTTTTAAGTCTGCAAAAATTCAATATAATTGCAATAATTAAAATACCACAAGAATTAAAATCATCGCCTTCTCGCAAATTACTCGCGAGTCCAAGGCATGTTACTCCCAACGGAAAAAAATTTGAAATTTCACAAATATAACAAAATACACTCAAACAACTGATAAGAGAGATTACATGAACAAACAAGACAGTATTTCCTGAAAATTTTTAAAAATTCAAAAATCTTTAAAAATTATTAAAATCCATCAAAAACCATTAAAAACAATTAAAATACTCTTCAGGGTAATATATCCACTTGCATTAAAGAAACAACTGAGTGATTAGAAAGTAATTAACGAAAAAAACCGAAGGTAATCAAGAAAGCTAAATATAGAACAGTATTAACTTAGAGAATTTAAATTTTATTTTACTCCCATCTTTTATAACATAAGAAATATTTTTTTCTAGAAAACTGAAGTAAACCAAGAACCCCATAGAGCGGCACGTGTTCCATATATAACCATTCATCCCCACCCCACTCTTAAACCAACTATAATCATATACGAGTTCGATTCTCTTTTTAAGGAAACTTGTCGAATTTATAATTATTCGCTGACTAATTATAAATTTCAACCGAAATCACACAAAGTACAACATTAAATCCACCAGATGCATACGAAATCAACAATTAAAGGCGGTTTTTATTATGGCGCCTAACAAAGCAACGAAAAGTATAACGTGATTTACACCGGTTTCCCCAATGATTGCAAATTTTCCCTTTCTCACATTAATCTCTTGACAAAAAATATCCCCATAGATAATATTCATTATAAATGAATGTTAAATAGTTGACGAATAACGAATTATGATGCTAAATGCTTGAGAAACAAGATAATTCATATATCATTTCAAGACTAACATTGTGGTTGGTGGGGAAAAAAATCGCGCACTTTTGTTAAAAATAGCAATATTGATTAATAAATTATCAAGCAATTTGGAATTTATCTTACATTTACTCAGGATGTTGATTAAAATAAAGGATTTACCTTGTAAAATAATTTGTCGTTCAACGATCACTTTACAGAGACTTTAATCTCTTCACAGTTTACAGTGACACTGAGGTTAGTTTTCATGAGAGATTAAAAAGAACCGTGACTTTAGGAACACTCGATTTTTTCATTGGTTGCCTATTTCTTTGACTTTTGCCTCAGCCAATCAGAATTTATGCCTGGAAATGTAGTCCAATATTATGCGTACAAATGAAAATGTGGAACGACCTTCAAAGGTTCAAAGTGCGATAAATGGCGCGAAATATGAATTTCATTTTTATTCAAATTTATTTAAATAAATATTTTTAAATAAAAAAGTAAAATATAAATTCACCAGTTAACAAAAAGGTATGTAAATAAATTCCCCAATTTTTGATTAATAGACTATTTATTATTATTTAAAAATATTTCCTTCGTTGAGAAAAATTACGAAGTTTTTTTTTTTAATTAAATAAATGAAATTGATTACACAGAAAAACTATTTAGCGATTGGAGATTCGTCGATTGTATGACAAATTAATCCAAGGATCAATTTTTCAGTCTATTTTTTTCTTTTCTTTTTTATTGATAAATTAATTTAATAATTTTTTTTTCAATATTTTATGGCAAATAATATTGCCTAGATTAATACTAGCGCAAAATTCTTAAATAGTTTACAATTATCAGTTTTGAATATTCAACATAGCGTAAAAAAAAATGAGAACTATTATTATTTTAATTACTTGTGCTAAATTGTGTACGAAATTGTGATACAAGTTTTACATTAAAAATCGCGACATTAAACGTTTATTAACAATCATACACATAAATGAGAGAATGTCAAATAAATAAAATTATTGAATCTACTTGAATTATATAATAATATGCACTCGACGATTCTTTGTAATCCTATTTCTTGTTTAACGTAAGAAAAATTATATCACAATATTTATTCTAATATATTATAAACATAGTTGAATATCCCAAAAATATATTTTTATCGAAACCCATAGTAACATTTTTTTTTAACGTAGTTTTTTTTATTTATAAATAAACAAATAAATTTATAAATAAAACTAAATACAAAAACACACACGAGATAACTCAATTTAACAAAGTTTTAAATTAGATTTAATTTTCTATTGTCCTTATTCATGTAAATTTGACTTTTTTTTTATTTTTCATTCTTAATTCCCTGATTATTATTAATATTATGTACAAGTTTTATGTTTGAATGATTTTTTTTTCTATAGTTTCCAAAAGTGTAAAATACAAAAATGATTTTTGAAAACATTTTGAAAAATGCATTTTGCTTTCTAAAAATACAAATTTGATTTTGCTCAACAATTTTTTTTTCTTTCTTTCTTTTTTTTATGTAAAACATTTTTCAGTGTACATTTTTTAAACTTAAATCATTCTCTAACATTTTTTTTGTGTAAATAATCTTTTATGTGCAAAAAAGATTTTGCCAGTGCACAACACTTTTATGTGTACCTATAATATTTTTTATGCAAAACATTTTTTTTATATATATGCAAATTATTTTTTTCATGTGTGAAATAATTTTCTTTCTTTTTTTTTTGAATTTACGAATTTTTCCTTTTTTTTAACTATAAACTTTTTCATTATGCGATAAATTTCTTTGAGCATTTATAGTAAACAAGAGAATTTTCTAGTCATATTAATAGTGCCGTGGCCTTTAATATTTCGTCAATTTTATTAACTTCTTTTTTTCGATGAAAAATTCATTTGAGATAAATATTCGAGAAATATTTTGCATGTTATTTTCTTGCTTACAAAAACACATTCAAGTGTGCCTATAAAATATAGAAGATCAATATTCATCACATTCAAGAATTGACCTTTTGAATGAAAATGGTACATTTTGTGGATTTTCTCTCAAAAATCGAGACAATTAAATTATATGGATAATTATAATTTAGTTACTTTAGTGGAGATTGATCGACCTCCATTACTTCACTCTGTGATTCCTCTCTAACTTGCTCGATTCTTTCCTCTTCATTTCCAATTGGACTTTCGCCTATTTTTTTGTAATTAAAGTTTAATTCAATATATTTTCAATATATTTTTTTATTTTTATTATTTTTAATAATAGAAATAATTATATTTAATTTTAAATTAATTTTATGCGACTAAGTTTAGAAAAAAATTAATTTACCTGTATCCTTTTCTCCCGCTTCTTCTTCTTCTTCTTCTTCTTCGAATGTTTCACTTTCTGGCGTTTCGACAGGTTTTTCGACTACTTCAATGTCCGAATCTGTAAGAAAGAAAATACACTCGTTTATTTTATATTTATTGTTGATTTGTAAATTTCTACTAGTACCGGCTTCGTACTCGTTAATCAATTTAAAAAATTAGTCAGAGAAGCAGGCGCAATGCCTGCTTCTCGTGGCATTAAAATGACCCGTGTACGTTTTTAAATCTCGAAAAATTTTTTACGAATTGAACTATTTTCAACAAATTTTAATTACAATTTTTCAACTACCTCATTTTTTCAGAATTTCTAAATTAAATTATTCAAAACTTGAATAATTTTCTGTTAAAATAATATTTAAAGACTTATTGTTATTTATTTTTCAAAAAAAAAATTTATTTTTATTAATTTAAGTGTAAAACATTCTAAAATTTAATTACTTTAAAAAGAATTACAACTGTAATTCTTCCAAAATTCAAATATTTTTTAGAATTTTTCAAAATAAATATTTAAATATTAATTATATTATTTTTTACAGCAATTAAAATTCTCAAAGATTTAAATTTGAAAACCTTTTGAAATTTAATTGTTTCTGAAAATTTCTACAATAAAGTTTCTAATAGACAATTATATTCTAAAATTGTAATTTAAATTCTTTTTTAAATCAATTTTTATCTGAATTCAGCTACAAGAATTCAATTGTTTAAGTACAAAAGTAAATAATTATTAAAATAATTAATTATTTTTAAAAATTGCAACTGTAACTCTTTAAGGTGTTTTCAAAATTTTGATGGTGAGAAAGAAAATTCAAAGAGAATTTAAGGTCGTCAATAATTTGATATTTTTCTACTATACTTTGGGTAAAATTTGTTCTCTTATTTCTCTGTTCTGTGAGATCAGTAGATTTTTTTTATTCTAATAGAATAAAAGAAGGAATTATTTTTCAAAAAAGATGCTAAAAAATGTTAAATAAAAAATATTAACTTGTGAATTAATTAATGTATTGGAATTTTAATCAATTGTAGTTTTTTTATCAACAGTTAAAGCTTTAATAATTAAAAATTGTCATCGAGAGAATTTTGAATCTACTAAAATTTGATTAGATTAGATTAAATTACATGCATTTGGATTAATAAAGTTAAATTCAGTAACAAAAATTTTATAAAGCTATTAATGAAACAAGAAGAATAGATAATTCTTGAATTTACTATTATTTTGAAGAGAACAAATATTAATTTTTTTATTTCAACTATCAGCGCGTTTAATCTAGTGCAAGTTCTCAAAAAAGTAGTTTTTAGTGGCATAAATAAAAAAAAACATCTAAATTGTAGCAAATCATAAAAAATAGTAGTAAATAGTAGGTTTTAGTAGAAAATTCTAGTAGGTTTTAGTACTGAAACTTACCAGTTTCCGAAGGACTGCTCGACCCGTCATTGTCTGAGCTTTTTGGAGCTTGTAAATTTGTACCTAGATTTGCCATTGTAAGCGATGTTATTGAGGATGAACTCAAGGGATTATAGTCCCAGTCCAATTTAGGAGCCGATGGTTTTTGTTTTCGTGCTGGATTCCAAAAATTACAGTAGCAGCATTTAAATCCTATGAAAAAAATTAAACAATATATAAATATCAATTTTTTCAATTTTTTAGTATTAATGGATCATAATTTAGTTTTGACATTTAGTTTCGCAATTACCGAAATATTCGAATTCTTCCTTCAAAGCCATTCCATTATGCGATTCACATTGACGACAAATCAATGCGTATCGATTCGATGGACCATCTCCAACTAGATACTCGACAAGTTTATCTAAATAGCTTCTCTGCTGTGGAAGTATTGGCCGAGGAAGTGGAGTTCCAGCTAAAATTTAAAAACGAAAAGAAAATTTACATATTAATAAATATTTTTTGGAATATTTCAATTCTATTTTTTAAATATATTCAAATTTATAAAATCAGACTTTTGTCTACGCATCGCTCAAAATTAATTGGAGCTTAAAAAATACTACTCAAAAAAATACGTAGAATTTTAAATAATAATATTTGCATATAATTATTATTTAAATCTATAATTAGATTTTCTTTAACTGTCAAAATTATTAGAATTAATAAATTCGATAAATTAATAAATTTTCCTTTAAATATATTTAAAAAATTTGCGAATGTTTTATTAAAAGAAAAGTAATTACTGGGACCGGTTGTTGGTGCATTGTTTGCCCTAATTGGCTGATAACTCGACGACGCAAGGGGAGATGCGAGAGGTGAACCAATGGCTGTAGTATATGGTCCAATATTTGATAATCTACCGGTTTGAGCAGCGTTTGATGTAAGTGCCCTTCGTCTCAATTCAGAAACACCGGATGGAAGAACTGGTCCAGATGTTAGCGGAGTATTTGTTCGACGAGGCGTTTCTGCACTTGACGAAGTTATGGAATAATTCGGCTGCAATAAATAATAATTACAAATCAGCATTAAAACAATTTTTACTAACTGTAAATAATTAGTTATTTACATTTATTTTCTATTTTTTATTATTTAAAATTTGTAAAATTTTCTTTTTCTGGAATTTACAAAATGTCTACCTTTTTAAATTTCGGCAAATAGTTCAAATTTTCATTGAATTTAATTTTTTTTTTTAATCTACATTACCTGGTGTAATTTCACTTTATTGTTTTTTTCACTAACCTGAGGCGAGAGCTGTAAAATAAAGTACTTTTTATTAGGATACTTTTTTAAGGATTAAAAAAAATTATAGAAGTAGAAAAAAATTGCAATAAATGTCGAATTGTTTTGCTAAACTTACGGGAGACATTCGCAATTGATCAGGTGCGAACTTTAATAAAATTTCTTTGGCTTTCCTGTAGGTTTCAGTCTCCGTTACTTCATCCAAAATTTTCTTCTTATCTTTCTGCATTGATGATAATTTCTCCTCATTTCTTCGAAGCTTACGTTTATAATACCAAGATACCAATTTCTTGACAAATATTATCCTAGAACGAGAAAAATAATTAGTTTTAGTTAGTTAATAATTAATTTTACATGGTGCCAAAAAATTTTTTTTTTTCTGACTTTTCCTTGATTTTCAGACAAAATTTTGACTTTTTCCCTGAGCTTAAAGAATATTCTGATTCACTCTAAAAATTATTAGATACTCAAAAAAAAAAGTTCTATTACATTTATTTACAAATTTCTTTTATTGGAAAATTATTCGAAAACATCAATAACTTCTTCAAATTTATTTTCATCATTTCAATTCAATTATTATTTTCTAGAATTTTTAACAAACATTCTTCCTTAAATCAATTATTTTTAATAATTTTTAAAAAAGTTCTTTGAGAATTTTTAAATCTATTTGTTAACAATTCAATTTTACGAAACTTCGATTATTCGGAAATTCTTCAATTAAATAGGTACATATTAGAAATTAAAAACTTTAAATAATTGCAAGAAAAAATTCAATTAAACTTTTTCAAAAAAATTAATTCTACAGAATTATTAGTTGAAAGTATGAAAAATTCCGATTTTCAAAGATTTAATTTGAAACATTTTCAAAATTTAATTAGTTCTAAAAATTCACGTTATAATGCTTTTAATATTTAATTATTATCTAAAATTATAACTGAAATTCATTTTTAAATCAATTTTTATTAAAAAATTCTACGAAATTTAAATTATTTAACTACAAAAATAAATAATTTATTGAATAACTAAATGTTTTCTAAAATTGAATTTTCATAAAGAATTTTATTAACAGATTTTTAAATAATTGGATTTTTTTGACGAATTTTAATAAAATTTTTAAGAATAATTATATTTTTCGAGAAATTTGATTAAAATTATATTAAATATAATTTATGAAAATAATTGAATTCCAAAATAGAATTTTATTATTTATGAAAATAATTGAATCCCTGTAAAAAATTGTATTATTTATGAAAATAATTGAATTATTGCAAAGATAGATATTTATAAAAAATTTGTGAATAATTAAATTTCTGTGAAACTTTTATTATTTAAGAAAGTAATTAAATGTTTGCGTAGAAATTTATTAAATTGTTTTTTAAATAATTGAATTCTTTTGGACAATTTTATTAAAATAGTAAATATTGAAAATCATTAAATTGGAGAAAATTTTTGAAAATAATTGAATTTCGTTGAAGAATTGTATTATCTATAAAGATAATTGACATTTTTAATAATTAATTAAATGTATATTAAAGAATTTAACTTATTTCAGAAGAATTTGAATTATCACAATTTCTCAAAAATCTAAGTTCTTTAAAATTTTTTATTAAAACCTTTTGATGTTCATCTATTTATGAAAATTGTAAACACAACTCTTTAAAAATTCAATTAATTTGGAAATATTTAAGTAAAACTATTCATTAAATAATTTATAAGTTCATAAATCATAAAATTTTATGATAGTTCTTCAACAATTAAGTTATTTAAAATAAATTATTATCAGAAATAGAAAAAATTGAAGGTTTTATATTAGAATTCGTGGTAATTTCATAGTTTATAAGTCAGACAAAAAAGATTTAAAAAATTCAGAATTTTCTTATAAATTCTAAAAATATAATTTTTTCCAGTACTTTTAATAAAAATCCCTGACTTTTCTCTGATTTCCCTGACCAATTCTGTGGCAACCCTGTTTTATCTAAAAATAATTCATTATTTACTCTTTTTCTTTATATTAAATTATTATATTAGTTTACCTACTATTCCTATATACTCTATTGATTTTATTTTAATATCTATAGCAGTATAGAGAAAAATAGAAAATCTTACAATATAGGAAAGATGAGCAGCGGCGTGACGTAAATTAATTGATCGTATGGCGATGTAGGAAAAAAATAGAAGTAACATGTTAATGCTGCTATTATGTACAGAATAACACTATAAGCAACTAAAGTTCCAACTATTTTTTTGTGCCTTTGTTCAGTAAAAAGTCCATATTTTTCGATTTCTTTGATATTCTGGAAAAGAATAATTTCAAGAAAAAATTCAATTAATTACTATTAAATGAAGACAAAAGAAATTTGTAATTTACTTCCACTGTACCTTGTCAAGATTTTCAAGAATCTCTATGGTTGTTTTCTTTTTCTGAAAAATAAATAATTTAATTCAATTATTTAAATTCAATAAAATAATAAAATTAACAATTCGAAAATTAAAAATACGTTTCTTGGATAAAAAAAAGTGTCTAAAATCCATAGAAGATAGCGGAAAATTCGAAAAATGACATGAAAATTAAGGGATGAATTTTTAATGAATAAAATTAGAAATTACGTGAGTAGAATAATTTTTTTTATAATGCAAAAGACTTGAATGTTAATTTATTTCCGACACCATTTCTTCTAAATATAGGCTTGACTTCATAATTGTCTAGTGCATCGGCACACAAAAGGAAGAATAGTGAATCATCAATTTGAATCATTAAAAAACTATTTTAAATATATTTTATTTAAGTAAAAAAAACTCTTAAGGCAAAATAATTTTAGAGGAGAAATTTACCGATAGTTTCTATATTAGAAAAAATGTCAACTATGTATTTTTATAAATTATATCTACATACAAATGTTCTCATTTTATATAATATAAAGAATTCCTAAATATAACAATTCAAGAGTTCATTGCCTATTGCTTTGTCATTGAATGACAATGTCTAATTTACATTTTAATACTTGTACATAAATTAATCGTCCAATTTCGAAAAATCATTCAATATTTTCTGATTTGAGCCGAGAAACAGAAATGTCAAAAACTATTAAATCCATATATTTTAAAAGTAATAATTTCTAATGATAGTACAAAGAAAGTAAAATTTGCAGATAAATAAATATTTATAATAACAAATAATATTAATAACAAATATTAAATTTTTCCTCAAAAAAAGATGATTTGTACGCGATGGAAAAAATTAGAATCCTAACCTTAAAAACATGATTCACCGGAAAATGATAATATAACAATTTTCAAATATTAAGAGTAAAATATACTTACACGAAATCTGGATACGATATTACCCATTTTTATAATTTCAAGTCAAAGATTTATTATTTCAAAGAATATTCCTTTTTTCATAGAAGCATATTGTTTACAAGCACGAATAATGGACTATTTCTCCTAAAAATTACAACTTAAACTTTATGTTAATTGTCATTTTCACCTCTCAATGAGAAATGCATTCAATGAGCTTCCAAATTTAAATGCCACAAAATTCAAGATATTTATAGAAAATAAAGACCTCCAAGCAAAATATATATTCGCGCAAATAAAATTTTGCGGTTAAGTTCAATCAAGTTCACCAAAATGTATAAAGCGTCTATAATTTCCTTTTCATTCCTTTTAAATATCACTTTTGAATGTAAAATAATTTATAAACTCAAGACAAATACAAATTTCATATGTAATAATACACAATTTTAAAAAAATTTATCACACAAAATCCATTTACGTATATATTTTTTTTCTCCACTTTTCTGGAGCCAGATTTCAAACGATATGAAAACGGCAAAACGAACAAAAAATCAAGTCAACACCAAAACTGCGCATGAGCGTTTTGCGCATCAATGCGCATAAATTATGCGCAATATAAACATTGAAAACCAGAGAGTTGAAAACAATTTTTTAATATTTAATTTAAACAATAAAATTACAAAAACTATTTTTAAAATAAAAGAATGAAGAGTAAATGAGTTTTTTTAAGATAAAATTAAAATGTTGAATGTCCTTTTGTTTTTTACTGTTTTTGATATTCTTTATTAATCTCGTAATCACTTTTTATGCAATAATGATGACTTTATCAATGAAAAATAAAGAGAAATTTAAAAATAACTTTTGATTTATCAATATGTAGGTGTTTTTTAACCATTTTCTTTTAAACTAAAATTTTATTTATGTCTTTTTGCATATTTGATTATTTGGAAAAAAACTTTTGAATTATTTTCATTGTAACAATTTATATTATTTTTTTTATTATTATGTTTATTATAAATTAAATCATTTTGTTTTATCTTTCATGTTTTTAAATTTTATTTTAAAGTATAAAACTAGTATTTATTAAAATTAATATTAAGACAGAATTGATTTTTTTCGATATAGAAAATAAAAATTGAAAGTTAAAGCAAGAAGGTTTTGAATTATTTTTAAGTTTTAAATTGTTAATAAATCAATTAACCAAAAAATTAATAATAATTTAAAAATTATTAATTAAATAATAAAATTAACAACAATGAGAGAAAAATTCTTTTAAAATCCATTGAGATTGCATTTTTATTTTTATATTAAGAATCCAAGTACAAAATACAATATGAGGAATTCTTGGGCAATCTCTATTTAAAAATTAAAAATAAAAATTTCAAATATTACAAACATTGGGAAATATGGAGTTTTTCGTTATACGATAAAATACTTATATTGAAAGTGTGTAGATACACTTCCTCTATTATTTTTAAATATTAAAAGAAAAGATTATCACTTTCTACAATTTTTTCACAGATATTTTTTTTAATTAGCAATTCACAAAATTGACTACTTTTAATGAAAAAAAAAATTCTTTAATTTTCTATCACTTGAAAAAAATTGTATCAATTTTTGGTTTTCATTCCTATAATGTTTTATACATTTTCAGTCTTTTTTCCTATATCAATCTTTGGTGGACCAAAAAAGATTTCATAAATTCTCATTGCGAATAGAATATAGATTTGTTTTACTAAATACTTCAATCGAATTTAATATAATCACTTGGAAAATTAGCATTTAAATAATAAGAAAGTAAATTGATTGATAGGGAAACAAAGCAAAATTAAGAAATAAAATTATACAAAAATTAAAATTAATTATTAAATTATAAATAAAATTCTAAGGGGGTGTAAAAATTGTTGAGACTCAAATTGAATTTTCGTAAAACAAATAATAAATTATTGAGAGAAAAATGAAAATTTCTTTTTTGGATGAAAATAGGTTTAGTGAGTAGCAATAGGTTCATGAACCTCTTTCCACAGAGGATGAGTGCCGTCTCCTTTATTCTTGCAAACAGATTCGATTAATTGCTTGGACGGTTGCCGTAAATCGTATGCCAAACCGAGTTTAGCACATAAATCGATAAAGCCCGTCGTTATATTCATTGAATAATCTCCAAGTTCTGCCGCCTAAAAGTGAAATGTTGAATTAAATTGAGCTAAAAAATAAATTCAAGAATTGAAAAATAATTTAAATTCTGCGACTTACCTTATAATCCCAAGGGAATGTATGATGATAATTATGCCAACCCTCGCCCAAGGTTACAATGGAGACAGCTTTGTGTTCCGTTGGAAAGATGTTCCTGTTGATTAAAATTTTATTTAGTCAAATTAGATTTTTTAATTGAAAACGAAAAAAGAAAATAAATATTCAAAGCTCAGACTTATTAAAAAATAGTAAAATACTCAGCAATAATTTTTAGAATTTACAAGAAAATTCTGAATTTTTGTGTCTTTTTTGTTTGTCTCATAAACTATGAAATTACCACGAATTCTAATATAAAACCTTCAATTTTTTCTATTTCGCATAATAATTTCTTTTTAAATATCTTAATTCTCAAAAAACTATCAAAAAATAATTACTTATAAATTATTTAATGAATGATTTTACTTCAATATTTCAAAATTAATTGAATTTTAAAAGAGTTACGTTGGCAATTTTGAATTAATTACAAATTTTAAAGAACTTAAATTTTTGAAAAATTCTAATAATTCAAATTCTTCTGAAATTAGTTAAATCCTTTAATATACATTTAATTAATTATTAAAAATAATGGATTTATAGAATAATTTTAGTTAAAAACACTAAAAAAAATTGAATTTTGCAGAAATTCAATTATTATTTTCTAAAGTAATCAAATTTTCCCCAATTCAATGAGTTTCAATATATCTAGTATTTTAATAAAATTTTCCAAAAGAATTCAATTCATTAAAAACTTTGATTATAATTTCTACGCAAATAGTTAATTATGTTTATGAATAATCAAAATTTCATAGAAATTCAATAATTTACAATTTTTTAAAATAATTTTCTTCGCAATCATTCAATTATTTTCATAAAGAATAAAATTCTTTTTCGAAATTCAATTATTTGCAAAAATAATACAATTTTTCGTAGAAATTCAATTATGTTCAAAATTTTTTTTAAATTCTCCTAAAAATTTGAATTATTTTCAAAAGTTTTCCTGAATTCAATGATTTTTAATATTTACTATTTTAATAAAGTTATCAAAAAGAATTCAAAAAATTGTATTAAAATTCTTCGCAAACATTTAATTGATTTCATAAATAATAAAAATCTTTTTAGTAATTGTATTATTTACATAACTAATAAAAGTAATCGCAGAATTTCAATTACTTTGAATATAATTTTAATCGAATTCCTCGAAAAATGTATTTATTATTAAAAATTTTAGTAAAATTTTCCAATGAATTCAATTATTTGAAAATTTGTTGATAAAATTCTTTGTGAGTATTGAATTCGGCGAAACATTCAATTATTCAATAAATTATTTTTTTTGTATTTAGAATTTTCTAGATAACAAATTTCTTTGTAGAATTTTCTAATAAAAATTGATTTGAAAATGAATTTCAATTAAAATTTTAGGTACCTAATAATTGAGTATTAAAAGCATTATTGCGTGAATTTTTAAAAATAATTGAATTTTGAAATGGTTTCAAATTAAGATCTTTGAAACTTTCAATTTTTCATATTTTTAACTAACAATTCTGTAGAATTAATTTTTTTTGAAAAAGTTGAATTGAATTTTTTTTTTTAATGTACATATTTAATTGAAGAATTACCGAATTATCGAAATTTCGTAAAGTTGAATTGTAAACAAATGGATTTGAAAATTCTTAAAGACCCTTTTCAAAAGTTATTGAAAATAATTGAAAGAAGAATTTTAGTTGAAAATTCTAGAAAGTAATACAAATTGAATTGAAATGATGAAAATAATTTTGAAAAAGTTACAGAAACAGTATTCTTATAATGTAAAATAATAATTTTATGACTCGGTCATCTTTATTAATTATTATACCTACATAAAACAAGAAGATATCAATCACTCCGAGTCGAAGACTCGGAGTGATTGATATCTTCTTGTTATATCTTCTTATTATATATTAATATTTTTATAAGTTGTTGAATTTCAAAAAGATTTGAATTTGAGTTTTAAAAATCTTTTGTTCTACATAGATGGAAAAATAATAATGATTAAATATTTATTTAAAAATGTCAGGGAAAAATAAAATGAAATTTTTGAGGTAACCCTGATTTTGGAATAATTCTTAAGGGCCAATATTAATATAGTTTTTTTTAAATTTATCCTTTTAACGATTTACGTAAAAAAATAAAACTTTAACGTAAAACGACTTCTTGAATTATGGAATACAAATTCATGTTTCTTACTTGTTGTAGGGCCTTTGATGACCCCATAAGTGAGCAAAGCTGTTGGCACTGAATGTCACGTGCAGTTGAAAAATGTAACGAATAAAGCATTGCGAAAGAATTGCATAGTACCAATTCTCATTCCAAGCGTACACTGGAACAATAGTGGGTAAAATGAAGCACAGCAAATATTTCCAAATTGTGAAATATCTATTTGGAAAACAAAAGAAAAAGAGAAAATTTTAATTAATAATTATTCAGAAATTAAAATAAATAACTACTTACAAAATAATTATTATTTGTATCAATTAACTAATTAAATAAATTTAATTTAATAACATTAAATTAAATAAACAAAGCTACTGAATTCACTAATTTTTGAAAAAAGTAAATTAATAATTTCGTAATTCATTAGTAATATATACAAATAATAGTGAAACTTACTTGTCTCCAAATTGCACAAGTGGATCTGCTTTGATATCACTAATATCGACTTGTCGCTTACGCCTAATCATTTCCGGATGTTTCTTCATCATTAACCAACCAATATGAGCAAAAAAGAATCCACGAGTTGGATTTGTTGGATCGCCATCAGTCTCAGCATATTTATGATGAAGCCGATGAAGTTTTACCCAATTTCTGATTGTAAACTGTAAAGAATTTTAGTTAAGATATTTTTTTTATTTTCACTCGATCACATTCATTATTTAATAACTATAGCAAATGTTATGTGCGCGGAACGTGATATTCAATTTACTATTGTTAAGCAAATTATAAAATTTTTTATTTTCAAATATAAATTTTTTAAATAATTTCATAATCAAAATTTAAAAAATTCACATATTAAGTATAAAATTAATTATTACTGTTCATATTTTTAAAAATTTTAATAAAATTTCACGAAAGAATTCAATTATTTTCTAAAATTTTAATAAATACTTCTAAAAAATTTAATTATTTTCAAAACAATTTTAATTGAATTCCTCGGATGAATTCAAATATTTAAAAAAAAATGTTTAACACATTTCGAAAAAATTCAATTATTTTTATAAATTGTAAAATTCTTCTCAAGAATTCAATTAAGTTTATAAATATTAAATTCTTTGTAGGAATTCAATTATTTTCAAAACAATTTTAATTGAATTTCTCGGATGAATTCAAATATTTTTAAATATTTCCATAAAATTCAATTATTTCCTAAAATTTGAATAAATTCTTCAATACAATTCAACTATTTTTATTAAATTATTTTTAATCCAATTTAAATAAAATTACACGAAAGAATTTAATTATTTTCAAAAATTTCCATAAAATTCAATTTCAACAAAAATTTAAAATTCTCTAAGAATAATTCAATTATTCTCAAAATATTTTTAAAAAATTCTATATAAAAATTAAATTACTTTCAATGCAATTTTTAAATATATTCGTCAAAAAAATTGAAAAAATTGAATTATTTTCAAAAAAAAAAAATTCTTGTGATGAATTCAATTATTTATTTTGAATATATTTAATTTTAATAAAATTCTTTAAAGAAATTCAATTATTTTCGAAACAACTTTAATTGAATTTCTCAAAAAAATTTCATTATTTTCAAATATTTCTATAAAGTTCTTCATAACAATTCAAATTATTTTTTAAAATTTTAATAAATTCTTGGAAACATTTAAATTTTTTTTATAAATAGTAGGTAAAATTCTTCCCAAGAATTCAATTATTTTCAATACAATTTTAATAAAATTCTTCTTCATAAAATTCAATAACAATGATAATTACTAAACTCAAAATAATTTTTTAGCAAAATAGACATAAAATACTTACACAAACATAAATTTGTTTGCAAAAAAAACAATTTTTTTATGAACAATGACCAAAGTTATAAAAAATAAATCATAACAATGAAGAAAATTTTTCAACGTAAAAATTGAGAATTTAAAAAAAAGACTTGATAAAATTTAATTATATGAGAATTTTCAAATAAAATTTAAGGAAAAAATTAATAGTTTCTGACTTACTGTGCCATTGGAATAGTAGAAAAAGAGCAACAACGCTCTCAATGGTGTCTTTGCTTTATAGGCTTTGTGTGAATATAAACGATGAGCACCTGCCGTTTCTCCAATTTTCGTGTAAGTGTAAACCCCCAACACTTAAAAAAAAGAATATTAATTAATTAATTTTTGAAAAATTTCCTTCTTTCAAATATAATAAATAAATTTGTAATATAATACTACATAATAGGTATTTCTATCTTAATTTACAATTTTTTATAAATTTATATTTTCATTTACACGAAGAACAATTTTTATCTAAAACAGCACCAAATTTCACTATATTAACGAAGTTTTTAGTTGCTTTAATTAATAGTTTCGCTATTCTAGAGAAACTTATCACTGTTTCAGGTAAAATTTATTTTCCGTCTATAATTTTAATATATAAATTGTAATGAAAATAAATAAGAAATTTACAAATAAATAAAATTATATTGATTAGGTAAATAAAAGTTTTCAAATAGAATAAATGAATAAAAAATTTGCAAATAATATAAATAAATAATACGTAAATAAAATAAATGAAAAAAATTGCCACTAAAGTAATTAAATAAAAAATGTGAATCTTTAAAGAAAAAGTTCGCTTTTTTTAGAAAAATATAATATAACTTTGCCATTGAAAACTTACTCCAAAGCGCTGTTAATTTGTGAGTGAGATAAGGAAACGTGAGGGCTCCATAAATTGCTATGCTGTGCCAGACAGCAAAGAAGATAATATAATTCCATAGCAATTGATTGTCAAACTCAAAAGGTCCCAATTTTGAAGGTTTTTGAAGTTCTATGCCGTCATATATTCCAGATTTAGCCTCACTCTTTTCTTTAACGTAAGTCTTATCTAATGGATTTGCTACCGACTTTGTCGTCTCTCCGACAGTTGCGTTTCCTATCGTCGGGGTCATTTTTCCTACAAAAATGCCATTTTCATTAATAAATATTGTAAAAGATTAATAATAATAATAATAATAATAAAAATAAAATATATTAATTACAAATATATCCTTAACTTAAGTTAATTATTTGCCAAAAATAAACTATTATTTAAAAAATTGTAATTATAATTTAAATAATAATTTTATTATTTTCCCTAAATTTAGTTTCGTCCTTCAGTCAATTTTTTTTTTTTTTTTTGTAACTTTAAGATTTCTGAATTTTTGTTTTGAATGTCAAGAACAACAAAATTCCAAAGTCACAGAAAAATTAACTGGAAGTCAAAACTAATGTAAATAATAACAAAGATCAATCTAAAAGAATATCTCATGAATAACAATGAAATATTATTTTGCTTAATAAAATGCACCACATGCAGAAGTAATATAAAAGTAATATAAAAATGGTAATTATTTTTAAATATTATTATTACCTAATTTATGTCTATAAGAAAAAGTTAATTAGCATAATTAAGTGTAAAATAATGCGAAACAGAATAATTATCAAACTGAACAAATTTGTACTTGTACTGAGACAAAAATTATATTTTATTAATAAAACGTTTGTTAATAAAATATTTATTAATAAAACATTTCTTCATAAAATATTTATTAATAAAATATTTGTTAATAAAACTTTTATCAATAAAATATGTTGATTAACATGAATTAATTATCTAGATATTTATTAATAAAGAATTTGTTTTACTTGCAATTTCCAGTTCTTCAGTGAGAATTCAAATCTCAAAAATTTATTAAAATCCATTAAAATAATTAATTTGAATGATAAAATATTTATTAAAGTGTAAAGTAAATTATTTGGAAATAGAAACACTATTCATAAATTGAAACTGAAGAGAATCTTCAAAAAGCTTGTGTATTTATTGTAAGACAAGCGCATGAGATTCTCGAGCTTGCCGTTGACTGACTTATCGGGGGAACAGCGCGGTAAAATTTTAAATAATAAATACAAGAAAAAGAATATTTAATTCATCATTTAATTAACTTGATTGGCAAATAATTGTCAAATAATTGCCATTGGAAAATTCGACCATAGAAATGTTTTTAACATATTTTCAATAAGAATGTAATTATAATTATAATTTCCATCCCTTTTTATAATTTCATAAAACACCTTTAATTTAAAAACAAATCAAATTTTATTTAGAAAAATAATTACTAAATTAACTTACTATTTAAAATGTAGAAAAATATTTATAGATATATAAAGTATTTTGATATTATATTTATATTAAAAACGCGATTATTAAAATGCATATTTATATATACAGAATATTTAATTCGTATTTTGTTGGGAAATATTAGGAAAATTTTTTTTCTCGTTAAAAACAAATGAATTTTATTGCAAAAATGATCAATTTGCAATTTTTGCCTCCCTTTGCTTGTGTGCTTCACTGATTGCGACATCCACATATTCATTGATAAGATTCACCGATTTCTCGACAAGTAAAATTTCTCTTTGCGAAACTTTTGGTAGGCCAAAATTCTTCTCAACACCATTCGGTCCAAATTGCAATTCCGATGTGAAAAAACGACAAAATGGCAATGCATTCGATCGAATGTAAGCCGAGGCAATTGCTTTATTGTGACCATTCAATCCCGCCGTGACAGTCGTTAGAAATTTTGCAATCGCAGTCGCTGATGATAGCACAGGACCAACAAATTCCGTTCGTGATAATTCTTTCTCGGCATTTTGAAATTTACTCAGCAGCAGATCTTCATGGGCCTGGAAAATAATTTTTATTTATGAGACACTCGTTTATGTTTCAAATTTCATTGAGTTTCGAGACAAATTGTTTTACAGCTCAAATTGTCATGTTAAAAGTTTGACAATTTATTTGTAAATAGAGTTATAAGTGTTTTTATTAAATTAATTCCCCTAGAATTTTGACAATAACAGGATTTTCATAATTCAGGAAAATAAGTAATGTGAGGAAATTTTATTAAAAATATTTAAAAAATATTAAATTATTGAAAATCTTAAATATTCTATGAATTTTCTTTCTCGAAGTAAAAAAAAATCCAAAAGTAGAGTTATAGTTGCAATTTTTAGAAATAATTATTTTACCACCTATTTTTGTATTTAAATAATTGAATCCTCGTACAACTTTTTGATAAGAATTTCAGTTCAAGTTTTAGAAAATATTTCACAAATTGGAAGAATAGTTGTTCTAATTTTATTTTAATTTTCAAAAGGTTTTTGAAAGTTTTTGAAAATTTAATTCCTTGTGGACAAATAAATAACAATAAATATTGAAATAGTTATTAAACAAAAATTAATTAAATTTGAAATATTTTATTTAAAAATTTTGAAAAAATGAGACTTTTAATAAATCATAGTTAAAACTTTTTGAAAATAGTTGAATTCCCGAAAATAATTTTTAAAAATTGAAAAAAGAAAAGTTTCTCAAATTTTATATTTCAAAGAATTCTATTTTCTAACTTTAAACAATTATTTTTAAATATTATTGTATTTAAATAATACAATTATCGGCGAATTTTCTAATAAATTGATTTAAAAATGAATTTTTCTTCAAATTTTAGATAATAATTTAATATTAGAAGCGTTATAACTATAATAGAGTTGTCACAAAAATTTTATTTTGATTTTCCCTGATTTTCAGACAAAATTTTAACTTATTCCCTGACCCTAAAGAAAATTTGGTTCACTTTAAAAATGATTAGATACTCAAAAAAAATGTTCTATTACATTTATTATTAAAGAAATTCTTCTTTAATTCAATATTTGTACTGTAACTTTTTCAAAAATTATTATTTTCTAGAATTTCTAACTAAAATTTTTCTTTGTATCAATTATTTTTAAAAAGTTCTTTGAGAATTTTCAATTCAATTTTACGAAATTTCGATTATTCGGAAATTCTTCAATTAAATATATATATTAAAAAATAGAAAGTTCAAATAATTTAAAAAAAAAAGTTAATTAAACTTTTTCAAAAAAAAAAAATTCTACAGAATTGTTAGTTAAAATAAATAAATAAAATAAATAAATAATTTATTGAATAATTTTATGTTTCCTAAAATTGAATTCTCATTTAAAGAATTTTATCGACAAATTAAATATTCTTAAATAATTAAATTCTGTCAACGAATTTAATTAAAATTTTTAAAGAATAACTACATTTTTCGAGTAATTTGATTAAAAATAATTGAAATTCTAAGATGAGTTTTATTATTTATGAAAATAACAGAATTTCTAAAAAGAATTTTATTTCTAAAAATAATTGAATCCCTGTAACAAATTTTATTATTTATGAAAATAATTGAAATATTGTAAAGAAATTTATAAACAATTTGTAAGTAATTGAATTTCTGTGAAATTTTTATTATTTCTGAAAATAATTAAATTTTGCGTAGAATTTTATAAACAAAATTTTAAATAATGGAATTCTTTCGACTAATTTTAATAAAAATTTTAAGACTACATAATTATATTTTTCGAGGAATTCGATTAAGTATAATTGAAATTCTGCGATAAATTTTATTATTTATGAAAATAATTGAATTCCTAAAAAGAATTTTATTATTTATGAAAATAACAAAAAAATGTTTACGTAGTATTTTATTAAAATTTTTTTGAAATAATTAAATTTTTTTTAAAAACGTTATTAACATAGTAGATATTAAATTAAATAGATTCATGATTACTTAAGATTTTTCGATTGCTACATTTTTACTAATTTTTTTCCAGTTTTAAAGCTACATTTCCCATTATTTTTAATTTATTAACGAGTGCGAAACCTCATTTTATTTATATTATTATTCATGAATTAAAAGTGAGAGTTTAAACCTTTTAAAATTCATTGATTCTTTTTTCATTTTGTTAATTTTATGAATATGAATTAAAAATGAGAGTTTGTACCTTTTTAAATTCGTTGACGGGTCTTGAGACTGATAATAAAGGAACAGTGGAGAAAACATCAGCCCCACCAGCAAGCGGTACTGTGAGATAAGCAGGATTCAAATCGAGAAGTCTTGATGTAAAAGTTTCCACGCGCATTGCCTCAAGAGCGACAGATCCAATTATTCGATTTGGATCATACCATCCAGCTGATTTATAGATTTCCGAAACCAAGGGCAATGTTGCTGTCACTGGTCGTGCGAAAATTATTGCCATTGCCGTCGGACATGAATTAACCATTTTCTCCGCTGTTTTACGAACGTAATTAACGGACGATCTGAATTGAGCGTAAATTGACGAGTCTCCCATTTTAAAGTCATTTTCGTCCAAAAGAGCAATTATGTCCATCTATAAAGGAGGAGAAACAATTATTAGAAATAAAAATCAATTTTTCAATCGTTAATTAATATAATTAAATAAATAGTAAACATAGTAAAAATAGTAATGATATTAAAATACTGCAATGAGTAGATAACAATAACTCACGTCTTTGAGAGCATTTCGCATAAACTTCTTTTTGTAATATTTAATTTTCGGCGAGGTGTCCATAAATGATGCATCGGTTATAGCACCCTCCAGTGTATTTCTTGTGTCGACAAAATGAATACGATTTACGAGAAGATTCTGCTTGAGCAATAATGTCGCGTACGCGGCAGTCCATCCACTTCCAATAATTCCAATAGATACATTACTTTTATGACTCGGTAGTAATTCATTGAATTCATTGTAACGACAATTTTTTTTGTGATGATCCTTTTCACTCTCCAACTTATCCGAATCTGTTTTATATGGTTTTGGCGTATTTGAAATTTCCTTGTTATTGAGAATCTTTTTTTTCACCCGTCGTAACACACATTTTGATAATTTCGATAAATTGTTTCGAAACATAATAATTTCTCCCTAATTCTATTTTCTAAATTTCTTCTTCTTTAAATAAAAATATTTATTCAATAAAAATATTTTCTAATATACTTTTTTTAGAATTTCCAAGAGGTTAACGGAATGTGTCAAACATTGTCAAATTTGTATCAATTGAAGTTAACTGCCTTTCGTTCTAATCAATTAAAAAAGATTAGCTTTTTCGCAATTCTCCAAGCCAACGGGAAATAGAAATTAAAAAAAGGATTAGAAAAGAATTATTAAATTTATTACTTGATAAGTCTTTTATAAAAAAAAATCTATTTTTAATTATTGTCATTAACTCTCAATTGAGTATTTATATACATAATTAATTGCCAATCAATTGGCAATTAATTTCACACTTAACAAATTAGAGAGCTTTTTTTGTTCGTATTAACTATTTTTCTATATTCAACTACAACTTTCTTTAAAATGTTCTTAATTTAATTTTAGTTATCAATCAAATTTTAATTATCAAATTTAAATCATTTAAATTTGATGAGTTAAAAGTCATCAAATTGGAATTTATAAAAAATTCCAAATTAATTTTGTTTTACTCGAAGATCATCTAAACTCTCAACTGATTTTACTTCGAGATTCTTCTCATTTGCTAAATGTAACATCGAGACGAAAGCAATCGGTAAACTCAGAGCTTCTGAATTTGATTTCGATAGGAATTTCGGCAAATCTTGATAGACGGAACAGAAGCTTTTTTCCTCCTTAACATTATCGGCCAATTCCTGCTCGACTGCCTCACGAATATCGATATTCTCCTTATCGGACATTGTTCTTGTCAAGCATTTCCAAATGGTTTTCTTCAATTGACGCATATCAATTTTCTTCGCACGCAAAGAATATGGAATGAAAATTTTATTTGCTATTATTGGTGCTGCGACTAAATTATCACCGGCAAATATTCCCTGCGATGGTGTTATGTGCTCCATTTCGGAATGAAATCCACTCAGTGCTCCATTATCATTGTCATCGCCACCTTGATAGTCGTCATTTTGAATATTTGGACAGTAATTCGAGACATCGTTATCATTATTATAATCATAATTATCAACTTCATCGGACAAATGTGTTGCATTTATGTTTTCTTCTCGAGGAATGCTGAAGTGTAATTGTGGTCGGAAATAAAATGTTCCAATATTTTTCATATCGTAGTGCTCGTTTTTTGGATAAGTTATTTTGTCCTCTGCCCATCCAACTTTGGCCGTTTTCACGAGGAGTTTTATCTGTAAAAGAATCAAAATTATGATTATTGATTTATTTGATTTAGATCTTATTTATTAGTTTTTGTTTTGAAAATTAGATAATCAAAAACTTTAATGAAATACTTAAAAAAAATCAATTATTTGCAATAAAATTATACAAAATTCAATTACTTACAAAATTTTATTTCGAAAATTTAATTATTTTTTAAAAATTATTCAAAAAGAATTTTTAAAAGAATTTTGGAGAATTTTAATTAAAAATAAAAAAATACTCAATTTCCCCAAAATTTTAATAATAAAGACTAAAAAAGTAGATTTTTCAAAAATATTTTAATGTAATTTTTCGAAAATAATTAAATTTCTCTAAAAAATTTTTAGACAATTAAAAAAAATGAATTTTTTGAAGAATTTTAAATTAAAATTTTAGAAATGATTTCATTGAACAAGATTTTAATAATATTTCTAAAAAATAGATTTTTTAAAAAATCGTAATATAATTATTTTTTGTAGATATTTTAATTTTCAAAAATTTAGATATAGAATTAAAAATATTGAAAGTAATTTAATTTAAAAAAAATTCTAATTAAAGATTGTAAGAAGTAGGTAGTTCCTATAAAAAATTTTTAATACAACTTTCTGAAACTAATTTTCATTAAATTGTATTTTCAAATTTTCATTTTTGAAAGATATTAAATTTTTTAATTATACATATTTGAAACATTTCGAAATACTTGAAATTTAGTAAAATTATTTGAAAATAATTGAATTTCTTAAAAGAATTTTCGGACAATTTAAAAAAATAATTAATTTTTTGAAGAGAATTTTAAATTTAATTTTTAAAAATGATTTTTTTTCAAAAATTTTAATAATATTTTTTAAAGAAATTATATTATAAACTATGGTTTGCAAATATTTGAGTTTGAAAAAATATTTAATTATTGAAAATAACTAAATTTTAAAAAATTGTAACGAAAAAATTCTAAGAATTACTTTTTAAAAAATTATTTTAATACAATTTTTTAAAGATAATTTCCATTAATAATTTTTAATATAAAATTTTCTTTTGAAGGTTTTTCATTAAAATTATTGAAAGTTTAATTATTTACAAAATTTGCTATTATTATTATTATTCTTCAAAATTTGATTTCTTAAAACATCATTCAAGTCTTGAAAAAAAACAATTATGTACTTTCAATAAAATTTTACAAAATTCCAATTATTTAGAATTTTTTTAATTATAAATTTCAAAAATTTAATGATCTTAAACAAGTTATGCAAAAATAATTTTGGAAATATTTTACTAGTTATTTTTCACTCTATAAAAATCGAAATTGGTTGGATTTTATACGCAAAAAAAGGTATTTTGTTGCAATATTTGAAAAAGAAGATGGAAATGTTATTTTTTAATACGATCTCGAAAAAATCGCCGTTTCTGAAAACAGTCCTGAAAAAGAAACAGTTCCTGAAATGTCAGTGATAAAAAAGAATCTTACCGCAGTACCAGGAAGAAATTTCTCTTGAATAGCGTCCCTGACCTCGTCTTTCTTCTGATCAATGGTGACTTCCTTCTTTCTTCTCACGGTATCCTTGTGAGCCGCCGGTTTCCCAACAACTCTACTATTGGCAATTGATTTATTCAAACGAACCTTCCAATGCATTGGTCCCACCCACTGTATTTGACTCGCTAAACTGTCCTGAAGATATGAATACTCAAAATTGCTTTTGGTACAACTCGAAGCAATGACACCACTAAAATCAACAATATTCTCCACTTGTCTCGTATTCGCTCCGAATCTATCGACATCCTCGTGATAATCGTCATCAACATCGAAAATATCCATTCGCGAATTACCAACGTCATCAGCCGGTAAACTTGCATCCAGATCAAATTGAAATTTACTATCATTGTGAGGTTGTTCCTCCGGTTCATCGTCAACCGACCAACCAATAATTTGAAAATTCGAAAACGGAGGACAAATTTCATGATCATTATTGATTTTAATATTGGAAAATTCAATTTCTTTTGATACCGCCGGCTTATCCTCGGGCACTGTATCGTAGACAACACCACTAAATGAATCTAAATAAATATTTCCATTTTCGTGTAAAGGCAACATGGCTTGAAATAAAAGATCTGTCGTTTGTGAATCGCCTTCGCCCATTAATAATGACATGGGATTAACAACATCGACATTACATTTGAATGATTCTTCACTACCGAGAATATTTCTCGGCGAACGTTTTTTCTTCTTTTTTTGTGTCAGCATATCTGCCTCATTATTCCCCTCAACACCTTGAGCATTCTCACCCTGTTCATCGTCATTTTTTTCATCATTCTTCTTGTCCTGCTTATCGAGACCGCCAATCATTTTCAACATATCCGTGTGAACGCCATCGACACGAAATCCATATATTTTTGCACTCACATCCAAAGATGTACTGGCCACTTGTAAATTTGACATTTCTTTGTCCTTCTTTTTAATGAGATATGTCATGAAATCAATAATTTCCAAACCAAAGGCATTTTTTGAATTAATTTTATTCTCAGTACTGAGTTTGATGCATTGACTGATTTTTTCCGAAATTTGTCCCGCCGGAATGTGTGCAATATTCGATAGACCAAGAGAACGACGTTTATCTGATGTTGACGATGTTGGTGTCTCCGATATTTCTTGTCGACGATCCTTTCGTCGAGCCAAACGTTCTGCTTCGTCGTCATTTTCAACAATTGTCGAAACTGACTTTGGTATTGTGAGACCGAAACTTGATCTTCTTCTTAATGGAGAAGAATTTCCCTCATTCATTTCGACTGTATTTGTAAGTAGAGCGACTCCTAAACTTTTTCTTCTGTCCATTTTTGAAAGATGTTATATATTTTTATTTAAAATAGAAATTATATTATTGCCACTTTTGTTTTACTTACGGTTCCTTCTTTGACAAATTTTTAAGACAAAACTATTAAAATAGAAATCGTTGTACACCCTCGAATATAATCTGTTGAAAAAAATTTAAATATTAAATTTTGAAAAACACTTCAATACAAAACTTTTTTATTTTTGCAGGCATCACAGTATCTTTTATACTCAAAAAAAGGTGAAAAGAGGAAGAAGAAATATTAATTTAAAAAAAAAATAATTAAAACCTACAAAAATTTATTTGTCTATACAACTTGTATACCTATATAATTCAAATTCTTTATCATATAGATTGTATAAAAATTTTTAAAATGATTCGATTTTAATCAGGGTTGCAACAAAAATTTAATTTTGTTTTCCCTGATTCACTCTAAAAATTATTAGACACTCAAAAAAATGTTTTATTACATTTATTTACGAATTTCTTTTAATTGTAAAATTATTCAAAAACATTAATAGTTTTATTTGAAACAAATATTTAATCATTATTATTTTTCTACAGCAATTAAGATTTAAAAAATTTCAAATTCTAACTAAAATTCTTCTTTAAATCAATTATTTTTAATAATTTTTGAAAAAGTTTGAGAATTTTCAAAGTTTATAATTCAATTTTACGAAATTTCGATTATTCGGAAATTCTTCAATTAAATGTACTATATTAGAAAATAAAAACTTCAAATAATTTCAAAAAAAAGTTCAATTAAACTTTCAAAAAAATTAATTCTAAAGAATTGTTAGTTATAAAAATATGAAAAATTCAAATTTTCAAAAATTCGAATTCGAATATTTATGAAAATAATTGAATTATTGCGAAGAAATTTATAAAAAATTTGTAAATAATTGAATACCTGTGAAATTTTAATTATTTATGAAAATAATGAAATGTTAGCTTAGAATTTTTATAAATTTTTTGAAAATAATTGAATTCTTTTGGAAAATTTTATTAAAATAGTAGATATTGAAAACCATTTAATGCAAGAAACTTTTTTAAAATAATTGAAATTTTGCAAAAAAATTTATTAAAACTTTTTAAAATAATTGAATAATTGAATTTCTGCAATTATTTGAAACTTCTCTAAAATTCAATTCTTTTTAGTGTTTTTTAACTAAAATTCTTCTATAAATCCATTATTTTTAATAATTAATTAAAAATATCTATATAAAAAATTTTTTTTTTAATTTTGAAAATAATTCAATTTCTTCAAAGAATTTTATTATTTTTAAATATTATTAAATTCTTGTAATAAATATTGTTATTTATAAAAAAAATTTTATTAAAATTCCTGATAATAATTGAATTTCTGGGAAAAATTTCGATATTTATCAAGATAACTGAAGTCTTTCGAAGAATTATTGGCGTTACAGTTTTTGAAATAATATTTAATATAAGGGACTAATATTAAATATATATTAAAATATTTAACTGATTTGAACAGAACTGAAATTAAAATTTGTGCACGGAATTATTAATTAAACTTATAAAAAATTTAGTCTTTACAAACATTTGAATTTGAAATCTTTTCAAAATTCAATTATTTCTAAAAATTGGTATTATTACTCATAACTTCTCCAAAATTCAAGTTTTTTTTAGAGTTTTTGACTAAAATTCTTCTTTAGTTTGTAAAAAATTTGAAAATAATTGAATTCCTGTGAAATTTTTATTATTTATGAAAATAATTAAATGTTTGATAATGATTTTATTAAAAGTTTGTTTAAATAATTGAATACTTTTGGAAAAATTATTATTAAAATAGTTTAATATATTGAAAATTTTTGAAAATAATTGAAATTTTGCTAAAAATTTTATTAAAATTTTTCTAAAATAATTGAATTTCGGAGAAGAATTTTATTGTTTATAAAAATAATTGAAATTTTGACGAGAATTTAAAAAAAATTTTGAACATAATTGAATTTCTGCGATGAATTTTATTACTTTTGAAAATGATTGAATTTCTGCAATAATATGTAACGTTTCCAAAATTCTAATTTTTTATTGTTTTTAACTAAAATTCTTCTATTACACTTTGAAAGATTTCAGAAAAGAAGAAAAACTTCTTTATTTTTTATTAGAAAAAGGTGGAAAAGGGGACAAATCACCAAAACATAGGGAAAAGATGACAACATTGAAAAAGGGGACTATTTGTGATGCCTGTTTTTTATATTAATTATGTTAACAATAATTAATAAAAAAATGAATAAAAAGTTGCGTCTTTAAAATAGGTTATGTTTACGTAAACATTTATAGTTCACACACAAAATTTACAAAATTTTACTAATCCTTTAATATGTACACTTACTTTATTATCCATTCGTGAAATAATTTGAATTTAAAAAGTTTTTAAAATATCCTTTTACAAGATGCAAGCAATTAGAGATGAAAAAAAAATTATTTGGCGTTGGTTGACATTTTTAACGTATAAACATGATTTTTGGCGCGAGTGTGTTCCGAAATACATCAAGTATTGTACTCTGCCTTCTGATTGGAGTATAGTGGACAAATTTACAAGAGAATGTGAGTTTTAAATTAGTAAAGGAGAGTTTTCATGAATTTCGGAAAATGAGCCAATGAGATCATTGAATGAAGGGAAATATTCGCCGGTGAAATGAGCTTTCCTTTCGGATGACAGACGATTTTTCGATAGTGGAAACAGTGAGTTTGGTGTTTTGTGTTTTAAAGGATTTATTGTTTATTCCTCATATACAAAATGGAGTGTTCGATTGGAATTCAATTTAAGGATTTTGTACTTGTTGCTGCAGACATGACAAATACAATGTCTATACTTGTATTAAAAAGCGGTAAGAGTTTAATTTTTGTACTTAACCTCAAACTTTGCGCATATTTTCCTGAAACTTTGTTTATTTGTAAATTATATTTCTATTATGCTTATTATTATTCGAAGTTTATGTTTAACTCCGTAATCTACTTGATCACTAAAATTATTAATTATTTTGTCTACTTATTTGTATAAGATAAAGTATCCATTGTTTGGTTTGTTTTTATATTTTATTGATAACTCTTGTTGCTCTTCTTACAAGTATTGTACGATAAATATAAATAAAATATGCAAACTATAAAATGTTTTAAAAGTAGTTAATGAAACGAAATTGCAGACGAGAAGAAAATCTACAAGATTTCGGAAAAGGTTATAATGGCAGTCTCTGGAGAAGCTGGAGATTCGGTTCAATTTTCCGAGTACATTAGTAAAAATATGCAACTTTATAAAATGCGAAATGGATACGAATTATCGCCAAAAGCCGTAGCCAGTTACACTCGTAGAAATCTTGCGGATTATTTGAGATCTCGCACGCCATACAACGTAAATCTTTTGCTGGCTGGCCATGACGATGAAACTGGTCCCGAACTTTATTTCATAGATTATTTAGCAGCCTGCGTAAAAGTTCCTTATGCTTCACACGGTTATGGTGGATTCTTCTCTCTCACCATTCTCGACAGGCTCTACGATCCTTGTAAGTTTTTCAATTTTTAAAAATTTCTTTAAAAAACTGCCATTTTTCAAATTGTAAACATTTTTTTAAAACTAATAAAATATTTACAACTATTAATGATAGTTAAAAAATTTACACTTAGTTAAAGATTAAAAAACCTAAAATTGAAAAAAAAGAAAGAAAAAAGACTAAACTAAAATGAATTACAATTTATAAATTAAATTAATTAAAGTTAAATTAAAATTAAATGCAATCAATTAGGATTATTCACTATAAAGATTTTACATTATTGAATTATATTATTTTTATTATTTCAGCGATGTCAGAAGCTGAAGCCTATGAACTAATGAAAACATGTGTTCGTGAAATTCACAAGCGATTAATTGTGAATCTACCAAATTTTAAAGTACAAAAGGTATCAAAGGATGGAATCACGGAATTGGCACCAATAATGGCACAGAATCTAGCAGTCGAGAATGCAGCGAAAGCTTAATTAATAAAACTCTCAATATTTTCTACATAAAAAAAAGAAAACAATTGTTTTTATTATTATATAATTTCAATAAAAATAAGGAATTTGGAACAATTTGGAAATTATTTGTGAAGCCTTAATATAGTTTATATTACACAGGCATCGGATCGACTTTAAGAGGCAAAAAAAATCGTTTATTTTATTCAGATTTGTCGTATAAATTTTATTTTTAATTTTTAGAATTTTTAAATTTATTCAAAAGATGAATCATTTCATAAAATAAGTATTTAAATATCATTATTAAATATTAATTGAAATTTAAAAAAAATTAAATTAAAATATTTTGAAATTCAATTATTTCTAGAAATTGTTAGTATGTATAACTGTTCCAAAATTAAATTATTTTCTAGAATTTTTAATTAGAATTCTCCCTTAAATCTATTATTTTCAAAAATTTTAAGTTTTTCAAAAGCCTAAAATTATTTTTAAAAAAAAGTTCACTTAAAATTCGTTTAAAATTCAATTGTTTTTGAATTCAATATTACGAAATTTCGATGATTTAAAAGTTTTTTTTTTATTAAATAGGATTACCTATATTTTAAAAATTCAATTCCTGAAGATTCTTCTCTAAATAAATTATTTTTTAAATAATTTTTAGAAAGTTATTCAAGAATTTCATTACTTAAATATAAAAATTCAATTTTCCGTAACAATTGTAACTACAATAAATTATTCATAATTTTTTAAAAAATGAATGAACAATTAAAAATATTTTAACCTAAAATATTAAGAATAATTTATTTTTAAAAAACTATATAATAAAAAAGTTCTTAAAATCAGTATTTAAAAATATTTAAATATCAATTTTAAATACCTAATGTTTTTAAATATTTTTTTATTGTATCCAATTAAAAGATTTACAAATAATTGATATTTAGTAAAAATTTTCATAATAACTGAATTTTTTAAAGGAAATTTTGGAAAATATTTAAAATTAGAATCTAGTTTTAGAATTTTAATTATAAATATGAAAATTAAAAAAATGTCTCTAAAATTTTAATGATAAGCCTAGAAAAGTACATGTTTTAAAAATTTTAATTTACTTTTTTTGAAGAACATTGAATTTTAGCAAATTATGATAAAAAATTGTAAAGTACTGTAATGTAATTTTTCGAAAATAATTGAATCTCTTGAAAAATTGTTTGAACAATTTAAAAAACTAATCAATGAATTATTTTAATTTAATTTTAAGAATTATTATAATTAAAAATTTTTGAAAATGATTGATTTCTCCAAAATTTTAATAATTCTAAAGATTTTAAAAATAAATTTTAATGTACCTAGATATTGTTTTGTAGATATTTGAATTTTTGCAAATATGTAATTGAAAATAATTGAATTTTTAAAAATTGTAACAAAAAAATTCTAGGAATTTCTTTTTAAAAAATTATTGTCATATAATTTTTTGAAGATAATTTTTATTAATTCTCTGCTCATTATCAAATTATCATTTGAAGATTTTTCAACTTTATTGACAATTGAATTATTTACAAAATTTGCAATTATTATTCTTCAAAATTTGATTTTCAAAAATTTTAATCAAATACTTAATTAGATACTTGAAAAAAATAATTATTTTCAATAAAATTTTACAATATTTCTATTATTCAGAATCTTTTTAATTATATATTTTAAAAATTAAATTAAAACAAGTTATTCAAAAATAATTTTTGAAAGATTTTACTAGTTATTTTTTACTCTATAAAAATCGAAATTTGATTGGATTTTACACAAGAATAGTTATACTATTCGAGGCCTGATGACAAGAAAAAGACAAAATTAATTCAAAGGATTTATAAGATGATATTTATTAAATATTTGGACATTTTTAAAGCGATGCCAAATAGCGATTTGATTTGTACATCTAAAACATCGCAAGTATAGATATACATATATACGAATAAATAACAATTTTTGACTTTTTTTTAAATGGAAGAATACAAATTTTTTTTTCAAATTTTGTGCGCGAATATTAGCCCTGTATTATTACAAGGATTTCTTCTTTTTTTTTTGCAATGCCAAAAAAATCTTTTTACTCGTTTTATTTATTCGATATATTAATTGATAACATGCCAGAAAAATGGAAATTTTCAGTGCCGAAGTACTTAAAAGAAAAGTCTTACCGAAAATATAAAAGTAGATTATAAAATAATTACAAGCCTTGTAATAAAATTATAACTGAATACAATCATCCATTATAATTAAATTTAACAATAAAAATATGTATATATATCTAGTATAATTATATAGAACAATAATTACAAAAAAGTAACAAAAAGAAACCCTAAAAAAAGGGTTGGAAGAAACATGATAAAAAAGAATAAATAAACTGGCATGTTTTCAACAATTAATCGAAAAGTCTCTCTTTAATTTTGTTATAAAATAATAGCGGAATGCTTTTTTTTAATTGTGTGTATGAACAGTTAATTAGCTTAATTATTAACGGACAGTGTAAGAAGTGTAATATATCGAAGGAAAGTCTAGTAAATTCACTAAATTTCAGTACTTGATCACAATCTGTTGCATATTGAACGGAAAGTAATTTTTTTTTTAGAAAAAAAGGAACTGTGTATATTTTAACAGAAACAAATTGCAATTTGAAGACTACGGTTTTGTTTTTTTGTTTGTTTAGGAAAAATCAGTACTTTCTCACTCACTGTTAAGACGTAGTTTATCATTGACTAATGACAATAAGAAAAGTTCCTAATATTATGTGGAACTTGTCCTTTTACCACATTAATGTGAAACATAGATGCAAAATATGAGGTACTTCGATGAAATATATTACAAATCTCCGCGCTTCTCCTTTTTCTCATTTTCTCTTTTCTTTTCATGATCAATTATCTATGATACAAATATTTTTTTCTTATCGAGATGAATGAATCACAAAATATGCTATCTATGTTTCACACGACTTTACAAATAATTTAAGTATATGAAAAAATTATTTCTCTTTTTTCGCGTCAACTTGCGTTTGCGTCTGTGTTTCCTCTGGTTTATTGGGATGATCCTCATATCTGAAATAAAATTTTTGATAATTAACAATAAATTAGATTGAAATAAAAATAAATTTGATTAAAATGAAATGAATTTAATTAATACGTACGAAAAGAGGGCTTTGATGTCTCCTTTGACAAGTGCAAGTAAAAGAGGAGTTCCTATGCACATGGGTACCAAGTAAAGGAGTGCCGGTTGTGCGTGATTGAATAAATGCATAATCAACATTGTTATAAGCAATCCCATAAAATACGCGAAGAAAGTGGTATAAAAGTATGTTTTCGATTTCCTACCTAAACTATGATCGAACCTAAGCAATAATGCGATGAAAATTCCAGGTACAACAACATCGCCTAAACCTAACATTGCAAAATTATTACCACCAAGACCCCTTTCAATTAAATCTTGAGGGAAAACAAGTTTAATTGGTGCCTCAAATGATTTGGCAACCGTTACCATTACATTTGTACCGAAAACCCAGAAAATATCGTACATAAAGAGTCCACCCAGTAAAATTGAACCCGTCACGACATTATTTAAATGTAACAGTTCAACTCCATTAATTGCAAATGCAATTCCAAAGAGATTGTTTGCCACCCAGTGCTGTAAAAAATAATAATTTCCATTAATTTCATAATTTCAAATTTCTGCATGTAATTATTTAAATTGAAAAAAATTAAACAAAAAGAAAATGTTTAAATAACATGGTTGCCACAAAAATTTAATTTTCTTTTTCCCTGACTTCAAGACAAAATTTATTTACGAATTTTTCTAATTGTAAAATTATTCGAGAACATCAATAACTTCTTTTTTAAATAAATATTTAATCATTCTTATTTTTCCATAGGAATTAGGATTTTCAAAAAATTTCAATTTTTAAACCATTTGAAATTAAACAACTTTAAAAGTATTTGTTATAAAACATGAAGATATCGATTGCTCCGAGTCGAAGACTCGGAGTGATTGATTTCTTCGTGTTTTATAACAATAGAAAGCTGATCGAGTGATAAAATCATTATTTTATAATTTATATTAAAACAATATTCGAAAATTCTTCAATTAAGTAAATAATAAAAAATAAAAACTTCAAATAATTTCAAAGAAATGGAATTAAAAATTTTCAAAAAAAATTAGTTCTACAGAATTGTTAATTAAAAGTATAGAAAATTATAATTTTCGAAGATTTTAATCTGAAACCCTTTAAAATTCAACTATTTCTAAAAATTCATGCTACAAGCTTTTAATATTAAATTATTTAAATATAAAATTTCAACTGAAATTCATTTTTAAATCAATTTTTTTAGAAAATTCTACGAGAATTCAATTATTTAATTTATTGAGTAATTGAATGTTTCTTGAAATTCTGCGAGAATTCAATTATTTAATTTATTGAGTAATTGAATGTTTCTTGAAATTCTGCGAGAATTCTATTATTTAATTTATTGAGTAATTGAATGTTTCTTGAAATTCTTCGAGAATTCAATTATTTAATTTATTCAGTAAATGATTGTTTCTTAAAATTGAATTCTCATGACAAATTTTATCAACAAATTTTTAAATAATTAAATTCTTTCGACTAATTTTAATAACATTTTTAAAAATAATTACATATTTTGAGGAATTCCATTAGAACTGTATTAAAAACAATTAAAATTCTGCAATGAGTTTTATTATTTATGAAAATAATTTCTATTTGAAAACTTTATTAAAACAGTAGATATTGAAAATCATTGAATCGATGAAAATTTTTGAAAGTAATTTGAAAATAATTGAATTTTGGTGAAGAATTTTATTATTTATAAAGATAATTGAAATTTTGACGAGAATTTAAAAAAATTTTTTGAACCATAATTGGATTTTTGTGAAGAATTTTATTACTTTTTATACTTTCTGCAATCATTTTTAACTTCTCCAAAATTCATTTTTTTTTATTGTTTTAAACTAAAATTCTTCTATAAATCCATTATTTTTAATACCTAATTAATTAAATATATATTAACAAAATTCAAATTCAAATTTGAAATTGAAATTTTGTACAATTTCAAATTTAAACCTTTTGAAGTTCATCTATTTAAGAAAATGTTGAACGAAACTCTTTTAAAATCCAATTAATTTTGAAAAATTTAAGTAGAATTTTTCATTAAATAGTTCATAATTAATATTTTTATGATAGTTCTTCAATAATTGAGTAATTTAAAAGAAAGTATTGTCAGAAATAAAAAAATTGAAGGTTTCGTATTAGAAAATTCGTGGTAATTTTATAGTTTATGAGTGACCTGTGGCAACCCTGAATAATTTTAACTAAATAAAAGATCTTCAATTTCTGACCATTCGATCAGGAAAAATTCAAGTCTTTTATTTAACTAAAATACTTGGATTCATAAATACTTTTATTGAAATAAATTTTACCTTCTTTAAGATATACCAAATTCCAACGATAGAACAACAAAAGAGACAGACAATGTCATGAAGGGTAAATTTATAATTTATAATATCATCATCATCTCCGGTAAAATGTATTTGATATCTTGTTTTTGGTATCGCAGCGGGTACTAACGATGAGATCAGTGGACTGTAAAATATTGTTCATAAATATTATAGCAGTAAAAATATAATACAGCAGTAGGAAGAAGAATAATTAAAAATAGAAATTAAGAGAAATAAAAAAAAAGTAATTTAAAAATACAAAAATTTCTTCTCATAATTACCTTGCAAGATGACTAAGTGCCAAAATACCAATAAAAAAGAAGTAAACAGTTAATAACAAATTGATATATTCTTTAGAAAATATCTGCAATAAAAAAACATAAAATTAGTAAAGAAATTTTATAATTATATTAAAAAAAAGAGATTTAATGAAATATTTATTATTTCATTATAATTTATTTATTTATCATTAAATTTATTTCTTTAATTTTATTATACATACCTGAAAAAATATATACAATCCAAACAAGGCTACACTTGATACAAAAGGGAACATTGCAGCTTCTTTGTGTGACATTGTTTCTGGTTTCTCTCCACTTGTTTTAAAGTGTTCCTAAAAGAAAATAATAATCATTATTATCTTTGTTGTAAAAATTAATTTCTGCTTTAAAATTTACTTTATAGTTTTTTCTATTTTTTGTTTATTTAAACAAGGGTATAACCCGTTAAACTTGTAATAAATAAATAAATAAATTATTAATAAAAGAATAATTTAATATTAATAGTTAATTAATTAATATTAATATATTATTCTTTTATTAATAATATTTATTAATTATTGAAAATACTGAAAATATTTAAGTTTTAAAATATTATTATAACAAAATTCTTACAATTAATTGTTTAAAAATATTCTAAAATATTTTTTGAATGATAATAGATTTTTAATTACATATAATTAATTTATTTATTTAACAAATTTATTATTTTTAATAAAATTTTACAAAATTTCAATTATTTAAAAAATCGAGTTACTTTAGAAAAATTAATCGAAAAGTTATTAATTATAATTTAATTTAATTAATATTTTCATAAATTACTGATGCTAATAAAAAATAAAAACTTAAATTTAACATTTAGAAATCTTTCAATCAAATTCATTGATACGTTACTTGAACGTTCAGAACTATTGGAACACACTTAAAAATATTTATATGACGGACATTTATTTAATACACGAAAATAACTTAAATTATAATAAGTAAGTTCCAGAAGTAACATCGACTAAATTATTTATTAAATCTAAATTTTACTAAATTAATGACAAAATAATTATATAATTAATAAAGAATAAAATTTGTGCCAATATTAATAAAAATTACTCTTATCAATAATAATGGGCATCCTTTAAAAAAATGTACATAAAAAATTTTAATTATAAACCAAATATGCAAACACGAGGTACAATATCATATTAATTGAACATATTCCTTATCATAATAAATGCTCTGAATCTTTATCTTTTGTAAATTAAAAAATACAAGGTTATTCGTATTATGTTAGCAAACTTGCATATATTTAAATTACTTCTGGTTATTATTTATCAACTTGAATAAATAATTTAATTATCAATTTGAGGAAAAAGTATCAAAATATTCTTGATTTATTTAATTAGAATTTATAGAATTAATAAAGTCTATTAGAAATAAAATTTGTTTAGTATACATTTTATATGAATGAATTCAAAAAGTACAAACTAATAACTATAGTTTCTGGAAACAATAAAATATGTTACTTAAAAACGTATAAAAATAAAAAAGAAATTATGACAACGTTGACATATGTATGATATCAAAAAAGAAATAACACGTGGCATTAACAGTAGAGTATTTTATTTAAAAAAACTTTACATTTCAAGAAAAATGAAAATTGCAAATTATTTCTAAACCCAAATTCTATTACACAATAAATTTTGACTATTATATTAATTTAACATTTTTATTAAATTGAAAAATTTAAACTTTTACTGAAAGATATTTATTGAAGAATTTTCTCCAAGTATAATACACGTGAAACTGTTATTTTATTATATAAAAAAATGATTGAAATAAAAAGAAAAATTTGTAGATATCAATATCAATTATTTTCTAGAGAATAAAAAAGGGGGAAATTAATTTTTTCCCTGAAATTTTGAAATGAGGATAAAGTACACGTAAGAGATTAAATAGTATAGAATACAAAACAGTAACTAACCTGCTGTTCCTTATGGTGTCTAACAGACCGGTAACTACCAAAAAATATTGGTATAACTGCCATGATAATAAGACTCCCATAGGCAACGGCCATTCCTTCAGGAGTTGCGGGAATTTTGCCGGTAACATTTTCCTTTTTTGTTATATTTTCGAGAGTCTGATTAATAACAGTGTTCGCTATGTCTGCCATTTTGGGAACGTAACTGAACTGAAGTTATCTGAACAATGAAGCAAGTGGAGCTGAATGCAGTGTTGCCAAATGTAGGTTAATTATCTCTCAGCCACCCAGTTTTCCCCTAGGACTTTAATATTGTTAATTCAATTCAATTAAAATTATTTTTTATAAAAAAGATTTCTACTTAAGTGCGGAACAAATTACTTTTGTGTTATTAAGTACAGTGTTTAAACTTGTAAATCAAGATTTTCTTGGCAAAATCTTGATATATAATTTTCAAAAGAATTGAATATCACTATAAAGTACCAAATACCAAATCTGCAAACATGATAAAATTAAATACTTTTTTCAAAAATAATAAAATCAAAATTTTTTTATTGACCGCATTAGGGAAAAATTAAGAAAAATAGCTATTTACGGGCAATTATTTTTATGGAGTGATTAATATAATAATATAAATAGAAGTTTTCATATTATTTAATAACCAATATTGGAGCAGAGAGATTAGTCGGGTTGGTCATCCTGCAAGTCTTTTGTTATTGAATTTGACAGCTAACTTGTACGAATATTGTCGTTATTGTTGTAACAAACGTGAACTGAAGTGAACTAAAAAGGGTTCAAAAGGTAAGAAATTATTTAAATAAACAGCTAATTTTGTAATAATATTTCCTACGAAATGTCAAACTGATGAAACTAAAAAATTAGTTGCCTATTCCATCAAATAATTGACAGAACAGAGTGTGTCGCGGTAAGCAACATAACCTACAATTTATTTGCTTCTTTAAAATCTTAGATAATTATACAAAACATTAGATAGTTTTGATAAATAATTCGCATATTATAAATAAAGTTAACGATTGTTTTTACATTTGTCGTGATTCATTTGAACTATATATATATATGAATAGTAAATATTAGTAAACAAAGAATGATTTCATCCAACGTGCGTAGACATCGTGTTTTCTATTCTCTATATAAGAATTTCCTATAATACGATATAAAACGGATATACATTGTAATTTATATCTTTAAATAATGAAGTAATTGTGTTAGTGAGAAATGGTTGTTGCAACAGTAAAAATCAGTGACGTGGCTCTTTGACGTATGAGTTGAGGAGAATACTTTTTTCTCTCCCCCTCATTCTCTCTTTTTTATCTCTCTCCCACTCATTATGATTCATTCTTATATGTGAATTGTCGCATTCTTGTCTATCTCACTCTAGTTGTACTCAGTTGTACCTTTTGCGCTGTACCCATTGCAGATAGCCAGTTGTTACTAATTCGTGTTATTGTTAAGATTCACCAAGAGTCGAGTTTATAATTTGCTATTTTCAATTCTCCCAGGAAATATAATAAAATCGGTAAGTCGAACGTTTTTTTTAAACCCGGTTTTTCAAAAAAATAAGAATTTAAAAATTACAATTGTAAATTATTATTGCAGAGCGAATGTTTTTTTTAAATAATATAACGTGAGATCGATAGAAAAAAAAGTAGAGAATTTTATTTTTAACATTATATAGATGTGACTCATTTCAATAACTATAGGTGTATATCTATATTTGTTTCAATTGTCTTATTTTATAGCGGATAAATTTCATTGATTAAAAAAGAACATAATTATTTCAATGATAAAACAGGTATCATTTTAATTGATTTTTTAATTTTTTAATTTTTTATGATAATTCTGATAATTGAATTTGTAAATTAAAAATTTCGCAATTAATTTATGAGTATTACGTCAGAAACTTTTGCAATTAGTAATAATTAATTCAATTTATTTTATTTATTATTATAATTATTATTATATATTTATTTATTTTATTAATTAACAGGGTTGCCACAGGTCAGGGAAGTCAAGGGAAAGTCAGGGATTTTTATTAAAAGTACTGGAAATAATTAAATTTTTAGAATTCATAAGAAGATTCTGAATTTTAATGTCTTTTTTGTATACCTAAACTAAAAAATTACCACGAATTCTAATTGTACAAAACCTTCAATTTTTTTCTATCGCTGACAATAATTTTTTTTTTTAAATTTTTGAAGAACTATCATAAAATTATTACTAGTAATTATTTAATGAATAATTTTACTTAAATATTTCAAAATTAATAGAATTTTAAAAGAGTCTCGTTCAAAATTTTATGGATGAACTTCAAAAGGTTTTAATTTGAAATTTTGTAAAATTTCAATTTTCAATGAATTTCATTAGAAATTCTATAGAACTTATAGATTTTGAAAAATTTTAATAATTCAAATTCTTCTGAAATTAGTTAAATTTTTTAATATATCAGTTAATTAATTCAAAAAATAATGGATTTATAGAATAATTTCAGTTAATAACACTAAAAAAAATTGAATTTTGGAGAAGTTACAAATGATTGCAGAAATTCAATTATTTTCAAAGTTTTAAAAAAAATTTTGGCAAAATTTCAATTATTTTCAAAAATTTTTTAAATTTCTCGTCAAAAATTCAATTATCTTTATAATAATTCTTCTCAGAAATTCAATTCTTTCCAAAAGTACTGAAATTCTTCAAAAAAATTCAATTATTAAATTATTTTTAAAATTTCAATTATCTTTATAAATAATAAAATTCTTCGAAATTCAATTATTTTCAAATTTTTCTAAATTTCTATGCAATAATTCCATAATTTTCATAAATAAAAATTATTACAGGGTTTCAATTATTTTCATAAATAATGAAACTCATCACAAAATTTTATTAGAATTCGTTGATCAAATTCTTTTTGAGAATTCAATTATAAGAAATATTAACTTATTCAATAAATTATTTATTTTTGTATTTATTAAATAAAGAAATAAAGAAATACAATTTCAATCAAGTTCCTCAAAAAATGTTAAAATGTTAAAAAAAATTTTTTAATTTTTATTAAAATTCGTTGAAAGAATTCAAATATTTAAAAATTTTCTGATAAAATTCTTTATGAGAATTCAATTTTAAGAAACATTCAATTATTCAATAACTTATTTATTTTTGTATTTACATAATTGAATTCTCGTACAATTTTCTATAATAAAAATTTACTTAAAAATGAATTTCAATTAAAATTTTAGGTAATAATATTGAATATTAAAAGTATTACAGCGTGAATTTTTAGAAATTATTGAATTTTGAAAAGGTTTTAAATTAAAATCTTTGAAATTTTGAATAATTTTTACAATTCAAGAAATTCGTAAATAAATGTAATAAAAAATTTGTTTGAGTATCTAATCATTTTTAGAGTGAATCAGAATATTTTTTAGTGTCAACGAAAAGTCAAAATTTTGTCTGTAAATCACAGAAAAGTTGGGAAAAAACAAAATTTAATTTTTGTAATATCCCTGATTAACTTATTACTTGAATTACTTTTATTCCGGAAAATACCGAATTTATTTTTATTTAAAATTAAAAAATTCACTTTTCTGCTCATTTGTCAATTATAATAATTACTATTTATCCCCAACTGGTGTTTATAGCCAACTTTGTTATTTTATCTCGTTTCCGGCTACCTTTCGAAAAGAATATAATACCAGAGAAATATAATTATATTATTACCACTTATGTCGTAACAATCTTTATTACTATAGTTCATATTAGATGGAATTATATTTTTAAAAAAACTTTTCCTTTACAAAAGGAGAAAATGAATTTTGTGAAAAGAAAAAAATGTAAAAGGTTTTGTAAAAAAAGAGTTCTAATTAGGAATTATTTGTATTTTTAATTAATTACCGTACAATTAACAATATCTTGTTTTTCATTTTTCAGATTAGAGGACTGATAAGAAAGTAGAAAAGTAAACAAAATGAGTTACGGCTATCAGGTACGTTTCTTATCAATAAAATCTTTGATTATTTTTCTCATGTAACTTGCGTGATTCTTTTTGTAGGAAATTTTTTTTCTTTTTTTTTCATTTGATTAATAGTTTGATTTTCTTTGAAGGAAATTCACTTTAATGAAAAAAAAACTGCGACTAACTGTTTGATATTAGAAAATAATTATTTATGTAGTTTGCACCGAATGTTACACATTTTTCGTTGTTTCCTTAAATCTGAAAGGGGGGACCGCCAGTGACGCCATTTTCGGGACAAAATCCACCGACGTCCTTTGGTCTTCCTCCAGGTACACCCTCTGCCCCGAGTGCTCCGCCTAATAATCCAGGTGGCAATTTAGGTTTCTCACGACCTCCGGCATCTTTCGGAATGCCTCAACCTAATAATTCTTATCCTTCCGGTCCAGCGCCTTATCCCTCATCTTCTCCTTATTCTTCTTCTGGTCCTTACCCTTCTTCTGGTCCTAATCCATCTTCTGGTCCTTACCCTTCTTCTGGTCCTTATCCTTCTTCTGGTCCTAATCCATCTTCTGGTCCTTACCCTTCTTCTGGTCCTTATCCTTCTTCTGGTCCTAATCCATCTTCTGGTCCTTATCCATCTTCTGGTCCTTATCCTTCTTCTGGTCCTAATCCATATTCTGGTCCTTATCCCTCTTCGGGTCACCATCAGAATTCTTATCCATCTGCAAATCCCTATCCAAACCAAGGACATGTTCCCAGTTCGATGCCTTTTCCTCAACAACAACAACAACAACCACGACAGCAATGCTATCCTCAAGCAGGAATGCCAATGCCTATAGGAATGCCTCAGCATCAGAGTCATCAAATGGGAATGCCTCAACCTCAAAGCATGAATTTAAATCAATCTTCTAATTCCTATTCGCATTTACCACCGAGAAGTGGTGGCATTTATCCTGATTTAGATCAGAATTTAGGAAATCCTTCCTACTGTCCTAATTCTTCGTCCCTTCCTCGAACTCCAGTTTCATCTCCATACTTAGGCGGGAGCTATCACGGGGGGCAGGGGACTGGGGCTAATTTTCCACCACAAGCTGCTTCGAGGTCTTCTTATTCAACTCACTATGCTGCCCCAACCCCCCGGATAACTAAAGCCAAACCCAAGGTGAGACTAAAAGAAAATCATGCCACCTTATTCCTTCCATTCTCCTTTATTGAAACGATAACCAATTTTGTTTTCCAATTTAACTAGATTTATTGTGTTTGTTATTTATTATTTGTTGTTCATGAAGTATAGTAGCAGAAGTATAATTTGCTAATACTTTGCGTGAAGAATTTTTTGTTTAGCCGAATTTCTATTTAGCCAAGTTTTTGAATTTAACTAAAATTAAACACTAAATTTGCTTCTTTATTTTTATTCCAGGCCTCAGATAGAACGACTTTTTGGACTTTTTTTCAACCATTTTTTTTTTTAGAAAAGGCGTCTTTTTCAACTTATTTTCGAAAAAATGCACTCTTTCGACTTTTCTTCTAAATATTGCAACAAAATACCACTTTTGGGCATGAAATATAATGTAAATTATTTCGATTTTTATAGTGTGAAAAATAACTACATATGTAGTCAAATATTTCAAAATTTGTTTTTCATTAATTTTTTTAAATAATTAAACTTTCGGTATATTATATAAGAAATTTTTTTAAATAATTACAATTTTCGAAAATTTTAGTTTAAAAATAATTGATTTTTAAAAATTTTTAATTTTTTTTTAAATAGTATTTTTGAAAAATTTTTATTGCAAATTTTTCAAATAATAATTAAATTCTCTCAAAAATTTTATTAAAAATCAAAATGAAAATTCAATTATTTTCAATATTTTCAACTGTATATTTTGAAAATTTAAATATCTACAAAAAATAAATAAATTAAAATTATTATTTGAAATTCTTAAAAAATTGATTATTTTTTAAATTTTACAAGAATTCTTTTAAGAAATTAAATTATTATCAAAAAATAATATTACTTTTCATTATTATAGGTATAATTAAAAAATCTATTATTCAAAATTGATTTAAAAATATTTTTAAGTAAGTACCTAATAATTTAAAAAGTATATTTAGAAATTCTCAATAATAATTAAACTTTCGGCATATTATAATAAAAGAATTTTTAAGTATTAATTAAAATTTTTTGGAATTTTAATTTTAAAATAATTGATTTTTTTAACTAGAATTTTTAAAAATCAAATTTTGAAATATTTAGTTTATATAGTCCTATTTTTATTACAATTTAAAAAATTTTCAATATTTTCTGGTGCATATTTTTAATAATTCTTCTTAATAACTTTAAAATTTAATTTTTGGTAAATTATTGATAATTAATTGATTTAAAGAAGCAATTGAGTTAAAAATTCTTGAAAATAATTAAATTTTGGAAAAATTGCAGTGTTAATTTATGGAAATAATTAATGTTCAGAATATTTGAAATTGAAATTTAAAAAATTTTAATTCCTTTGAAAAAATAAATAAGAATTTAAATTTTTTCTTATTTAACAAAATGTTTGAATTTTTGAATAAGTGAATTCGGAAATTAATTAAAGGTTAATTAATTGTTTAATTAACAATTACGTTTTTGCATTGAATAAAGTAAACGACTTTTTTTTTAATCTTTAATCGACTGCAGCGTGAGTGAGATAATATTTTTTTTGTGTACCAAATGCAAATTGACGTTTGTTCAAGGCCAAAACGAGAAATGAGAGCAATATATTGAATAAAACTTGGAACTAATTCAAAAACCGAGTTTCGTAAGAGAGAAAATAGAAATTTTTTTTTACCTTTTCTTGTCCTAATTTAATTTTTTAATGTGAATAATGTAAATTTAAAAATATTTTCCAGGTATTTTATTTGTATGTATGTTAAAAAAAATATTTCTTACAAATATTTTTTAAGGTAAAAAAATTTAACTCCGCTAAAATCCTTAATAATTTTCTCCTATTTACAAATTAGCAGTTTCACTTCTATTAATTATTCATTATTAATTATTCATTATTCTCTCTGTAATTGTTGCTTCATAAGTATTTTGTCCTGCGTCTCAACCGTTCCATTTATCCTCTCTTTCTATTTGAATTATTCTTTCTATTATACTTACAAAAAAGAAATCCAAAAATCTATGTCACAAAGCAAGAATAATGGAGATACGGTCACATGCTTTAGTTGCTTATTAAACGCTAATTTTTGTTATAATTTATTCTAATTTTATTAATTTTTCACTTGTTTCAGATTTCACCGACCGTTGTGCCAGAGGAGGACTTCGACCCACGAGCTGACGCTGAAGCATTACGAAAAGCGATGAAAGGTTTTGGAACCGACGAGAAGGCAATTATAAATGTCTTGGCTTATCGTCCCAATATGCAACGACAGGAAATTGAACTTCAATTCAAGACTCTTTACGGAAAGGTAAAGTTGATGAAAAGTTTCCAAAGTTTATAATCAACGATTATTTGGAAGACATTTCAAACCAACGATTTTAATGAAAAAACACTTTTCTTCTTCTTTTTTGGTTCTTCGTTTTAAAAAAAGTTGCGAACTTCAACCTCATGTTTCCTGAGTAAAAAATGTTTATTTCTTTTAATCGTTGATCATAAACGTTGTGAACTTTCTCCCAAGTGAATATTAAGATAAAAATTCTCCTCTGTTTAATTTATAAAAATTATGCTACAAATTTGAATTTTAAAAATTAATTTTGCATTTAAAAATAATTAGGAATTAATTTTAATTTCATTTTAAATTTTAAAAAATTTTAATTAAAAATAATAATTTAAGAATTTAAATATTTAGATAGAAAAAAAATTATTATTGAACACTTTATTGTAATATTATTTGCTTTTTAAATTGAAATGTAGATAAAAAAGAAATTTTTATTATTATTATTATTATTATTATTATTAATTTTTTTGCTGTAATGTTTGCTTTTCATTGGAAATAGGATCTTATCAAGGACTTGAAATCCGAGCTCTCAGGAAATTTCGAAAATCTTGTTCTTGCTATGATGACACCCTTGCCTCAATTTTACGCAAAAGAATTACACGAAGCAATGTCAGGTGTTGGTACCGATGAAAATGTACTCATTGAAGTTCTTTGCACACTTTCAAATCACGAAATTAGTGTCATTAAGTCAGCCTACGAGTCGAGTGAGTATTTTTTTAGTTAATTTAAAAATATTTTTGAAATGTTCTATTACCTAATATTCTATTACTTTCTGTTATTTCTATTTTTTCTATTATTTCTATTATTTTCTATTACTTTCTGTTATTTCTATTATTTTCTATTATTTTCTATTATTTCTATTTTTTCTATTAATTCTATTATTTTCTACTATTTCTATTATATTTTTTACTAGCAAATGTTACGCACGAAACATGATTTTCAATTTATTATTATTATTATTATTATTATTATTAATAATAAAGTTGAAATTATCGATCACTCCGAGTCGGGTTGTAAAAAAATATAACAAATTTTATTACGTTTCAACGGCACGGCCGTCCTCATCAGAAACTAAAATTTTATTAAACAATTATTAAAAGAAATTACATAAACAAAATAAAAAATATTCTTTAAATAAACAATATAAATAAAAAATTCATAAATGACAAAATTATTAAAATTTCTTTTACCAGTCAGGGTGGACACATGTCAGTAAAGTCAGTAAACAGGGTGGCCACATGTCAGTAAAGTCAGGGAAATGTCAGGAAAAAAAAATATTTTGTCAGTAAAGTCAGGGAAATGTCAGGAAAAAAATTTTTTATCAGTAAAGTCAGGGAAATGTCAGGAAAAATTTTTTTGTCAGGGCAATTAAAGAAGAAGGGAAATGTCAGGAAAAAAAATTTTTGTCAGTAAAGTCAGGGAAATGTCAGGAAAAATTTTTTTGTCAGAGCAATTAAAGAAATTAAGACGGTAATGCAATACATTTTTTGCTCTAAACAAAAAAATTTTTGTCAGGGAAATTCGTTGTTATGTCAGTAAAATGTCAGGGAAATGTCAGGGAAATTGATAAAGTCAATCTTGCGGCCACCCTGCCAGTAAGATTTTTTTTTTGTAAAAGAATAAAAATTGAACATTTGAAAATTTGTAAATTATCAAACGTTCCGATCAACGCAAATTGCTACTTGACACTAATCAAATATAAAACTATTACACAGTAAATAATCAAAAGGTCATTAAACTAAGTACAATAAGTGAAAATAAATAGGACATGTCACAGTACGATTAAACAGTGGAAATCACAAATTATTTCCTATCCTATCGTTTTCTTAACGATAGGAAATATTTGTGATTTCCACTGTTTAATCGTACTGTGACGTTTCCTATTTATTTTCACTTATTGTACTTAGTTTAATGACCTTTTGATTATTTACTGTGTAATAGTTTTATATTTGATTAGTGTCAAGTAGCAATTTGCATTGATCGGAACGTTTGATAATTTACAAATTTTCAAATGTTCAATATTTTTATTCTTTTACAAAAAAAAAAAAAAAATCTTACTGGTAATAGAAATTTTAATAATTTTGTCATTTATGAATTTTTTATTTATATTGTTTATTTAAAGAATATTTTTTATTTTGTTTATGTAATTTCTTTTAATAATTGTTTAATAAAATTTTAGTTTCTGATGAGGACGGCCGTGCCGTTGAAACGTAATAAAATTTGTTATATTTTTTTACAACCGGACTCGGAGTGATCGATAATTTCAACTTTATTATTATAAATTTGCCGAGTGATAGCTTTAATTATTATTTATTATTATTATTATTATTATTATTATTATTATTATTATTATTATTATGCAAATTACCCAATTTTTTATATTTGGTAGGTTGTCACTTTTTATAAAAAATATTTTCTAACCCTTTTTGTCAAAAAAAAGTTTTTCTAATTTATGATTTCTAATATTTATTTTCCTGAAATTTGTAAAATTCCATAATTTTGATAAAAGTTAGAAAATTGTTTTAAAAAAATTAAGATTAGAAAATAGAAACTATTTTGCATATTTTCTGCTTCTCAATCACAATTCTGTTCAAAAAATTATGACTTTCTTTTTGAAAATGAAGAAAAAGTTTTATAAAATTCCTATTTCTTAACACAATTTTTTAATAAAATTCTGTTCTTTTTTGAAATCATTTTTATACCAAAATTTCAAAAATTAATATATTCATAAACAGTTTTTTTTTTGAAAATTTTAAATATCTTTAGAAAAAAAATAATTCTATTCGTTAATTACGATTTTTAACTAGATTATTTTAAAATGTTGTTAAAAACTTTATTAGAAGAAAATTAGAAAATCGCCTTCATTAGAAAAAAGTTTTTTAGAAATTCATCTTTATTAGAAAAGAAAAGTTTTAGAAAATGAAAAATTAGAAAATACGTTTTAGAAACATTGTACCCCAACCTTCATATTTAGATATAAACTTCTATTTTTGAATAATTTATTCAGATTTAAAATTTAATAAATTCACATATAATTAATTATTATTATTTATTATTTTCAAAAAATTTAATAAAATTCTTCACAAGAATTAAATTATTTTTATAAATAATAACATTATCTTCGGAAGAATTCAATTATTTTTATAAATAATAACATTCTTCGGAAGAATTCAATTATTTTCAATTCACGAAATGAAATTTAAATGAAATTTCACGAAAAAATTAAATTATTTTCTAAAATTTTAATAAATTCTTTGAAACAATTCAATTTTTTTATAAATATACCTAGTAAAATTTTTCTCAAGACTTAAATTATTTTTATAAATAATAAAATTCTTCTCAGAAATTTAATTTAATTGTAAAATTATTAAATTACAATTATTAACAAAATCGATTATACCTATTAAAAAAAAATAAAGAAATTTTTTGAAAGAATTCAATTATTTTCAAATAAATCTTTTTAATTTAATTTAATTTTCTATTAAATTAAAAATGTAAATTTTTTAGTGTTTGGCAAACCATTGGAAGATGATATAATGGACGACACTTCAGGACATTTTAAGCGTTTGATGATTTCCTTGTGTTGTGCCAATCGTGACGAATCATTTAATATTGATCCAGAAGCCGCTCGAGAAGACGCTAGACAACTTCTTCAAGCTGGTACGTTTACTAATTAATTCAATTTTGAAGAAATAATTACAATATTTAAAATATAATTAAATTCAATTAAAATTTTTCCTCACAATTTTTTCCTCTTAAGGTGAACTTCAATTTGGAACTGACGAGTCTGTATTTAATGCGATTCTCGTACAGAGAAATATTGCTCAATTGCATCAAATTTTCTCGGAATATGCAAATATCACAGGACACGATATTGAAGAAGCAATTGAGAATGAATTCTCCGGAGATATTAAGAAAGCTCTTGTTGCAATCGGTATTTAGAAAATAAAATTTATAAGTAAACAATTTATTCTCTTAATATTGCCTTCTTAAATTTTACTTAGAGAACATTTTATTATTTCAGTGAAAGTTGTCAAAGATCGAGCAGGATTCTTTGCAGAACAACTTTATAAGAGTATGAAGGGAATTGGAACGAACGATCGACGTTTGATTCGTCTTGCTGTCACTCGGTCGGAAATTGACATGGGAGAGATTAAAGAGGCTTTCACGGAAAAATACGGAAAATCGTTAGAAGACATGATTTCGGTTAGTAATTATTTAGAAACTTAATTTTATAAATACCAATCAGTTAGGTTTTTTATATTTGTAAAAACTAATAGTTTTTTTCTCTCTTTTTACTAATTTAGACAAAATTTCATTTATTGCATATTTTATTACTTTATTGACACTTTTTGTTTTTAGTTTTTTTTTCTTTTTTAGGTTTTTTTTCTTAATTTGTCGTTTTTGTTACTTTGCTTTTCGTTATTGAAAATTTAAAAATTCATTATAATGGAACGTATTTCTTTTCTTTTCAGGGAGACTGTTCTGGACACTATAAAAAATGTCTGCTCGCTCTTATTTCGTAATCCACCAATATTTATTGGTTTACATTTGTCCTTTCATGTTAATTGTCCGTAATCTTGCATTTTTCGATAACTAATTATTATTAATAGATGTTTTCGATTGATGTGCGTTGCAAAAGAATCTCAAGTAAATTTTGAAAATAATCTCTTCACAGTATTGAAAAAAAAAAATATTCTATACAATATTCAATTACTAAAGAAATTTTAGCCAAAAAAATATATTCTTAGCAGGAATGCGAAATTGAATAGAATGAAAAAAATACACTGATAGAACGATAAAAATACATCGAAATTATAGACAATTGAATGTATTTTTTAAAAAAAAGTGAAAAAATTCCGTCTGAATTGACTAAATTTTAGAGATCTTCAAAATTTTTTGATCATATTAGTTTTCTGAAGATGGTAAATACTTTTTCTTGTATACATTTATATTCTTTATTTATTAAAAATTATTTAATTTTCATGTACTTTCAATTTTACTATAAAACGAATTTTATTTTATTTACTAATAAATTATTAATAATTTATTTTTTTATTTAAAAAAAATATTAAAAAGTAATAAAGTGGACTATTTATAGAAAATCATTTTTGTTGCAAATTAATTTTGAAGATCTCTAAATAATCAAGAATAGTAATGAATTCAAATCATATATTGATATACATTTTTAAAATGTACTTGCAATTTTTAAACGAATGTTCCTAAACTCTTAACTGTGACCAAAATGTGTTTAAAAATTCTATTTAAAAGTATTGTAAATTTTTATGTCGCTGTGCCAACGATGTTTGAATATTGATTCCTTTTAAATTTATTCGACTTTAGAAAGTATATATTTTTAAACATTTTTGCTATACATTGCGAAATTATTATATTATATTATACTTATATATAAATATATTTTGTGGTAAAATTTTGAAAATTTACATTTAAATATTAATGTTCTTGTTCTGACTGCACTTTTTAGTGTTACACATAATGGGTTAGACCACCCTGACGACATGAAAATAAGGCATTCGGGAAAAATTAAAAATACATATAGTATAGGATTTTTTGTGAGGCACTTGTCGCTTGACATTCCTTGATGGTGGCCCTGATTCAGCTCGTAATTTTTTAACGAAGTAATCTTCTCCTAAAGTGAAAAAATGTCTTCTTTTTGTTGAGCAAAAACAATTCAATTTTTAAAAAGTTTCAGGGTGGTCTAACCCCATAATTGTTTTGTAATAATTCTCTCGATTTGAAATACAATATTTTCATTATGAATTGATTGTTTTGTATTTTTTATGTTAAATTAATATGAAAATAGTTATTAAACTATAAATTAATGAAATAAATGAAAATCATAATAAAATAAATAAATTGAATAATAAAAACAATTTATAAATATTTACTATTTCTAAAAAAAACTAAAATAATCAATTGCTTTAGAAATAGTAAAAACAAAATGTTTCGTCAGTATTAAATATAGTCTTTTTATTAAAAAAATATAAATTAAAACTTATTTTTAAATAGTAAAACTCTAAATAAAAAAAATTGCTTAAATATTTCAAAATTAATTGAATTTTAAAAGAGTTGCGTTTACAATTTTCATAAATAGAATCCTTCAAAAGGATTTAATTTCAAATTTTATAATATTTCAATTTTGAATGAATTTAACTAGAAATTTTAATGAACTTAAATTTTTGTAAAATTTTAATAATTCAAATTCTTCTGAAATTGGTTAAATTTTTTTTGTATATATTTAATTAATTCTTAGAAACAATGGATTTATAGAAAAATTTCATTTAAAAACATTTTAAAGAATTGAATTTTGGAGAAGTTACAAATGATTGCAGAAATTCAATTATTTTCAAGAATAATAAAATTCTTCTCCTAAATTCAATTATTTTAAAAAGTTTCAATAAAATTCTCGTAAAAATTTCAATTTTTTTCAAATTTTTTCCTCAATTCAATGATTTTCAATATCTATTATTTTAATAAAATTGTCCAAAAGAATTCAATTATTTAAAAAAAAATTTTATTAAAATTCTAAACAAACATTTAATTATTTTCATAAATATAAAAAATTTCACAGGAGTTCAATTATTTACAAACTTTATACAAATTACTTCAAAATAATTCAATTATTTTCATAAATAATAAAACCTTTTACAGGGATTCAATTATTTTTAATACAATTTTAATCAAATTTCTCGAAAAATTTAATTATTCTTAAAAAATTTATTAAAATATTTAAAATTCGTCGAAAAAATTCAATTATTTAAAAATTTGTTGATAAAATTCTTTATGAGAATTCAATTTTAAGAAACTTTAAATTATTCAATAAATTATTTATTTTTGTATTTAAATAATTGAATTCTCGTTTTTATGTCCAAAAAAATTTATTTAAAAATGAATTTTAAATAACAATTGAATATTAAAAGTATTATAGCGTGAATTTTTAGAAATAATTGAATCTTGAAAAGGATTCAAATTAAAATCTTTTGAAATCTGAATTTTTTATACTTTTAACTAACAATTCAGTAGAATTAATTTTTTTGGAAAATTTTAATTGATTTTTTTTAAATTACTCTTGAAGTTTTTATTTTTTAATATAAATTGAAAAATTTTCGAGTAATCGTAAAATTGAATTGTAAACATACGGATTTAAAAATTTTCAGACAACTTTTTCAAAAATTATTAAAACTAATTAGTTTAAAAAAGAATTTTTGTTAAAAATTCTGGAAAATAATAATTGAATAATTAATAATTATTATAAAGTATGAAGAAATCGAGGCAGGGAAAACAGAATTAAATTTTTATGGCAACCCTGAAATAAATTAAAAATATAAATAAAGTTAAAAAATATTATATAAATTAAGGATATTTATTTTTGAACAATATAAAAATAAATATTATTTTAATAAAGAAAGAAAAATTTATCTTTTATTTTAATTGAAATTAAATTCTAGATCTTTTGAATTTCGCAGCAAAGTGAGAACAGCGCACTCTGTGAAGCATTATGAGAACGTAAAGTGTTGACAACTTCAGTTGATTTGTATACAAAAATGCCAAAGTGACATTAAATGTCTGAGTGAATATTTTTTTTAAAAAGTAACAATTATTATTGTATAAAGTGTCTTAATAAAAAGATCCAACATGGATAACGATAAAAATACTATGCTGGCTATGCTACAGCTTCTTAGAAAGTATAATTTCAAAGTGAGTACATTGAAAAATACATTTTTAACAAATTCTAACCTGAAAAATCAAGAGTAAACAGAAAACATTATCGACAATTCTTATTCAATTTACTGAATTAATAATTATTTTTTAATAAACTGCAAATCGTTTTCCCGTATTCAATGTTTTATTATTTCAGAATACTGAAGATTTGTTTAGAAAAGAGGCGAATTTAAGTGATGTTCATGTCGAAGAAAACCAACAGACTGATTCGGAAGTAAGCAATGTTTTATCTGCTTATAAAAGTGAAGGTGATCCTGCACTTTATGAAAAATCTTACAGTGAATTAAAACTATTCGTCGAGGGTTCTTTGGATATCTATAAGGTAAGAGAAATATTCTCCTTCTATTTTTTTTTGTAACTTCTCAAAAAATTCAGATCTCTCTCAGAATGGGAAAATGTTTATTTATTAAAAAAAAAATATTGCAGCACGAATTAGGCACAATTTTATATCCAGTTTTGGTTCACATGTATTTGGAATTGGTGTACAATAATCATTCTGAGCAAGCTAAGGAGATATTGGAGAAATATAGTGAGAATTTGGAGGATTATTATCAGGCCGATTTGAAGCGATTGTCGAATGTGACAAAACGAGAACAAATGGATGGAAATGAACTGATTGATACATTCAAGTATGTGTATTATTTAAAAGAATTATTAATTATTAACAATATTAATCTCCGTATTCTTTCATTCATTCTGTCCTCAGTTTTAAGTTAGTTTATAAAAAAAAAATTTGAACTAAAAATTATTAAGTTCTAAAATTGTTTTTAAAATTGCTAATTTTATTTAAAAAAGTGAGTGAGAAAAATTGTTGCTAGTGGAAAATTAAACAAGATGACTAATAATTTTGTTGATTTGTTCCTTCGCTTTTAGATCAAATCAATTTATAATAAGAATGTCAAGGGATACGCTATCAATGCTAAAACGTCACTTACAAGAAAAAAAGTGTAATAGCTTGTTAAATATCATTAATGAGCGACTTTATTTCGATATGTACGAAGGCGTTGCTAGAAATAAGCAACAAATCGAAGCCACGTCGGGTGCAACTTTAGGAGAAGCGACAAGACAAGGTAATTAATCAAATTTATAATTTGATTAAAATTTTTTATTTTCATAAGTTAGTGTTTATTGGCAATTTTTTTACTCTACTATTTAATTAATTGAATAATTTTTTCTCTGGTATTTAATCAATTACTTTTATTTTATTACTTAATTAATTAGAACTTTCTCTATTTTAGACAATAAGGCAAAAGTTTATTACGGACTTCTAAAGGAGCCCGAGATCCAGTGTGTGAATCCTCCTGAGGAAGAGGAAGAAGACACGGGAGGTGGTGAAGGTGACAAACCGAAGAAGAAAAAACCGAAGAAAGATCCTCTTTTCTCGAAGAAAACAAAATCCGATCCAAACGCACCGCCTGTTGGGAGAATGCCTTTGCCAAATTTGTAAGTAAAATTTTAAGAATAATGATACGCGCGGAACGCGGTATTACATTTATTATTAATTTTTAAATTAAAAAATTTTATATTTTCAAAAATAAACATCAATTTTTGAATGATTACAGATTCAAAATTTAAAGAATTCACTTATTAAGTACATAATATTAAATATTCTTGTTTATTATTATTCAAAAATTTTAATAAAATTTGTCGCAAGAATTTCATTATTCTCATAAATAATAATATTTTTTAGAGCAATTCAATTATTTTCCATACAATTTTAATAAAATTCGATTACTTTTTCAAGAATTTTAATATAAATTTAATTATTTTCAAGAATTTTAATATAAATTTAATTATTTTCAAGATTTTTAATATAAATTTAATTATTTTCAAGATTTTTAATAAAATTCCTTCAAAAAATTCAATTATTTTCAAAAATTCAGATAAAATTCTTCGAAACAATTCAATTATTTTTATAAATTGTAAAATCTTCCGCAAGAATTCAATTATTTTCATAAATAAGAAAATTCTTCGCAAGATTAAAATATTTTTATAAATAATAAAATTCTTCAAAGGAATTTAATTATTTTCAATATACCAGGGTGGCCGCTGGACCGGGAAACCGGGAAAACCGGGAAATGACAGTGAATTTTTTTGGACAGGGAAAAACCGGGAAATGACAGTGAATTTTGATCTTGACCGGGATTTTGGAATTTTTTTTTTAAAAACACATTACTTTGTGAGAAAAAATAGAAATATTTATTTTAAGACTTAGGTATTAACTATATTTCATTAAAAAAGATTGAATGATCTTCTATAAAATCTATTTATATTTTGTCAGAGAATTTTATAAAAAGTACTATAAAAATAAATTTCATCAATTGCATGTTGCCTAAAATGTTATTGCCGATTCTTATAGGATTTTGTCTGTAGAATCAGAATTTGACCTTGAAAATATTGGATTGGCTCTAGTTTTCAAGCAACTTACGTTTCAATACGCAAAATACGCATTTTTGGCATTTTTTGAATGGATGTAAAACGATATACCGAAACAGTAAATTTGTCCGCATAGGACCAAATTAAAGCTTAAATACTGCTCTTTAATATCCAAAAACAAAAAATTTAATTTATATACAATTTAACCTTTAATGTCCAATGGGACATACGCTGTTTCATAAACGGATTGAAAATAACAGTACTTTTGACCAGGTAAGGCAATTTAAGTAATAATTAGTCCCTCTGGGGGTTTTTGTGGTCGCTGCTTATAAATCTGTTATGATATATAAAAATTAAAAATGTCGGACTAATTTTTAAAAATAGTTTACACCTTTATGATAGAAATGTAAAATAAAAAAAAATTCGCCATATTGAATCCGCCATTTTGAATATTAAAATCTGAATACATATTTCTAAGCAGCGACCACAAATACCCATAGAGAGACTAATTTTTACTTAAATTGTCTTACCTGGTCGAAAGTAATGTTATTTTCTATACGTTTATGAAACAACGTATGTTCCATTAGACATTAAAGGTTAAATTGTATATAAATTAAATTTTTTGTTTTTGGATATTAAAGAGCAGTATTTAAGCTTTAATTTGGCCCTATGCGGACAAATGTACTGTTTCGGTATTTGGTTTTACTTACATTCAAAAAATGGAAAAAATACGTATTTTGCGTATTGAAACGTAAATTGCTTGAAAACTAGAGCCAATCCAATATTTTCAAGGTCAAATTCGGATTCAACGAAAAAAATCCTATAAGAATTGGCTTCCATTGGTTGGGCAACAAAATTTTGTTGGCCTGTGAAATATTCAATTTATAGAATTTATAAGAAAATTATGAATTTTGTTGTCCAACATAACAGACTTAGAAAAAGAAAATATTAAATTTAATTTTAAATTCTTTCTATTTCTAACAATAATTAAACAAAATATAATTTTAATTAAATTTGTCAAAAAAATTTCAAAGAGAAAAAATTTCACATCCTATAAAATAATGAAAAATAAATCAATTTAAAAATTTTTTTGCAATTATTATTATAACAAAACAAATAAGAATTATTAAAAATTTGAACTAATTAGAACAAAAGTGATACGAAATTTATAAAAATGAATTTTTGAATAATAAATAAAGTAAATAAAAATAAATAAAATTTCTTTTCTTAGAAAATAAATTTTAAAAAACCGTATTTTTCATTAATATCAATTAGTTTTTTTACAATTATTCATAAGCAAATTTTTCGATTTTTTAGAATGTTAAATTAATATTACTAATATTATTATAGATTGAATTTTAAAAAATTTCAAATTGAAGTTTTAGAAAAGTTGAATTTTAAAAGATTTTAATTAAAAATTCTGAATAATTTAGTCTTTAAAAATATTTTTATTCACATTTTTTCAAATTAGTTATGTTTTTAAATATGTAATATTTAATTGAAAAATTTTCAAATTATTCAAAATTTCATGAAATTGTCTTGCAAACAAGTGGATTTTAGAAATATTTTAGTTATTTCTAGAATATAATTGAATTGAAATTTTGAAAATAATTTTTAATAAGTTGCAGTAGCAATTCTTAAAAATTATTCAAATTTAAAGGATTTGAAATTTGAATTTTTTTTGAAATTTGAGTACCTACTATATGAAAAAATAATGGATAATAATTAAATATTTATTTCAAAAAATCTATTTAAGTTAAAAATTATTTTTAGAGTAAACTAAAATATTTTTAGGGTTTGGGAAAAAGTCAAAGTTTTGTCTAAAAATCAGGAAATTCTTTCAATCTTTCATTGAATAATTTATTTTCAGAGTTATTATTTATGACCGGGAAAAATAATTTATGACCGGGAAATGACCGTGAATTTTTTTTTACAAAAAAAGTGGCCACCCTGTATACATAATTTTAATAAAATTTCTCGAAAGAATACAATTATTTTTTAAAATATTATTTAAATTCAAATATTTTCAAGAGTTTTAATAAAAATTCAATTATTTTCAACAATTCTGATAAAATTCTTCGAAACAATTTAATTATTGTTATAAATACTAAAATTCTTTTCAAGAATTCAATTATTTTTGTAAATAATAAAATTTTTCTGAAAAATTCAATTATTTTCAATACAATTTTAATTAAATTTCTAGGAAAAAACTCAATTTCAAGATAATTTTAATAAAATTTCTTCAATAGGTTCAATTATTTTTATAAATTGTAATACAATTTTTTTAAACAATTCAATTGTTCTCAAAAGTTTTTAATAAAATTCTTTGTAAATTTAAATTATTTTCAAAATTTTCAATTAAAATTATTTTAAAAAATTACATTTTTTACGAAATTTAATTAAATTCTTTTTTAAAAAAATGTAATTATTTACAAATACTCTAATAAAATTGTTTAAAAGAATTTAATTTTTTATGAATAATTTTAATATAATTTAATAGGACAAAATCGTCATAAAATTCAATTACTTTCAAAATTTAATTGTCAGTAAAAATTATCAAAAAAAACTCCATTAAATTTAAAATTGAAAACATGTAAAATTAAGGAATATTATTTAAAAAGTTAGGAATCAAAAAAGCAAACAGCAACAAACTTCATACTGTGATCAGATCACCGGAATACAACGATTATTAATGTAGATTATATATATTGATAATTAATACATTTAGATTAGAATGAATTTTAAACTTTTGGTTCTAATAGAAAAGACGCGGATAAAATGGAGAAAATTAAAGCTCTCAGAGAAGCAACGAAACGTGTTCAACTTGGTCCTGAAAGTTTACCTTCGATTTGCTTCTACACACTCTTAAATGTAGTTCACAGGTAAATTAAATAGAAATATTTATTAATTCAGAAATTATTTTCACTAGATATTCTATTTTTATTTTTTATTTGATAATTTTGTAATTAAATTACAAAATTAGATTTAATAATCATAATTATCTATATTTAGCTGTGTTCGAATTTTTATTTACATTTTTTTGTCTATCCAGTGTTACGGCCGTAGAGATTTCAGAAGATTCCACTTTATTGGGAGTTGGTTTTAGCGATTCGGTTATAAAAGTTTGGAGTCTCCTTCCTCAAAAATTGAAAGGAATGAAAAATACTGAACAGCTCGCTGAAATTGTGACAGAAGCTGGTGAGTGAATATTAAATGAAATACCAAAGAATTTTTAATTTAATTGGATTATTAAGTTTTGGCATATTAATTATTATAGAGTTAATTATTCAAATTTTTTGTTTGGAATTTCTACAATAAATAATTCAAAAATTCAACAATTTTCGTTAAACAAATATTTAAAAACTGATTCTTATTTATTTTAATTGAAATTTCATTATTTCTAAAAATTATGACTGCAATTTTTTCAAAAGTCAATTTTTATTCGAAAGTTTGAATAAAATTGTTGAAAACTTTAATAATTTTTAAAAATAAACATTTAAACATTATTATAATTTTACGGCGATTACAATTTTAAAAAGATTTCAGTTTAAAAACCTTTACAAATTTTTCTTAAAATTCCTGTTATAACGCTTCAAATGTTCAATTATTTTTTGAAATTTTAACTGAAATTCTTCTTCCAATAAATTCTTATTAGAATTCAACGATAATTGAATTATTTAAACACAAAAATTTTTGGAAAATTTAATTACTTTCCAAATTTTTAATTACAATTTTTCAAAAAAATATAATAATATTTTTAAGGTGAGAAAATAGAATTCTTTGAAATATAAAATTTATTTTAATAAAATTTCAAAAAATTTCCTGTTTTTTCAATTTTTTAAAATTATTTTCGGGAATTGAACTGTTTTCAAAAAAATTTTAATTACGATTTTTCAAAAACCCCATTTTTTCAGAATTTCTAAGTAAAATTTTTCAAATTTCAATAATTTTTGTTTAACAAATATTTGAATACTTATTGTTATTTATTTGTCTACCTGGAATTAAAATCTCAAAATACTTTCAAAGTAAAGCCTTTTGAAATTTAATTATTTCTGAAAACTGGAACTGCAATTCTTTGAATTCTTGAAATATTTTCTAAAATTTTAACTGATATTCTTTTTCAAATAAATTTTTATCAAAAATGTGTACGAAAATCCAATTATTTAAATACAAAAATAAGTGACAAAATAAATGATTATTTCTAAACATTGCTACTGTAGTTTTACTTATAAATTTTTTTTAATTTGAGAAAGAAAATTCATAGACTATTTAAGATTTTCAATAATTTGATATTTTTTTTTTTTTGATAAAATTTCCTTACTTTACATGTCTTGTGAAAATGCTGTTATTACAAATTAATTGTCAAACATTCGACATGACAATTTGAGTCGTAAAACAATTTGGAATCAAAAAGCCCTATAATTTTACGTGAGGACAGAATATCACGATTATTATTGTATAATAATAATTATTATTATTAAACGTATTAAAAATGCTAAATATTTGTTTTTAAATATACTAAAAAAACTAAGTACCTTTTTGAATTTGTTAAATTATTATATTATTTAAATAGATGATGTTTTGGTAAGAATGATGGATGAGAGAACATCAGAATCGGTGAAGCTTCTACATGGACACAGTGGACCAGTTAATTGTTTATCATTTAGTCCTGACAAAAATCTCTTATTATCCTGTTCTGAAGATACAACAGGTAAAATTAAATATTTTCACGTATTTCTGCTTTTTAGTTTCTTTTTTTTTAAATATGAATTTATTCTTATTGAATGTAATTTTTAATTTTCTCAGTGAGATTGTGGTCTCTTCATACATGGACGTGTGTTGTCTGCTACAAGGGTCATTTATTTCCAGTTTGGTATGTGAAATTTTCTCCCCACGGTCATTATTTTGCGACAGCGAGTCACGACAAAACGGCGAGACTTTGGTCATCCGATAGTCCTCAACCTCTTCGAATATTTGCCGGCCACTATTCGGATGTTGATGTAAAGAACACGAAAACTTTTATCCTAGATTTAAATAAATTCAGAATTTAATAAATTAAATAAAATTAAGAATTTAGTAAATTAAATTTAATTAAAGATTAAAATTCTGTTTTTCGTAATATTTTTGTAATCAGAAAAAATTTTCTTTCAGGTTGTTCAATTTCATCCGAATTCAAATTACGTGGCCACGGGTTCAAGTGATATGACTGTTCGTTTATGGGACTGCGTTTCAGGCAGTCAAGTGAGATTAATGACCGGTCATAAGGCTCCAATTTACGTTTTTGCATTTTCTATGGAGGGACGATTTTTGGCGTCTGCAGGTGCAGATCATCGTGTGCTGGTTTGGGATCTTGCACATGGACATTTAGTAGCTGCATTATCGGGACACTCTAGCATTATTCAATGCCTTTCATTTAGTAGAGACGGAACTCTTCTTGTCTCAGGTAAAACAATCAAAATCATTCACGAATCAAATAAGTATCAAGGATCAAACTTTTTAAATATTTACATATTCAGGGTTGCCACGCAACATGGAAACCTGGAAATGTTTTCTAAACAAATTTTACTTAAATATTTTAAAATTAATTCAATTTTAAAAGGATTCCGTTTACAATTTCCATAAGTAGATGAACTTCAAAAGATTTTGATTTAAGATTTTGTAAAATTTCAATTTTAAATGAATTTAATTAAAAATATAAAAAAAACTTAGATTTAAAGAAAATTTTAGAAACTAAAATTCACTGAAATTAGTTAAATTTTTTAATATATAATTGATTATTAAAAATAATGTATTTATAGAAGAATTTTAGTTAAAAACACTAAAACAAATTGAATTTTGAAGCAATTACAAATGATTGCAGAAATGCAACTAAATTTTAAAAGTAGTGAAATTTTTTTCCGAAATTCAATTATTTACAAAAATTTTAATATAATTCTTGGCAAAATTTCAATTATTTTTAAAAACTTTTCTTAATTCAATGATTTTTAATATCTATTACTTCAATAAAATTTTCCAAAAGAATTCAATTATTTAAAAACAATTTTAATAATATTCTACACAAAAATTTAATTGTTTTCATAAATAATAAAAATTCCACAAGAATTCAAATATTTACAAATTATTTTCATAAATAATAGCATTTTTTTTACAAGGATTCAATTATTTTCATCAATAATAAAATTCTTTTTTGGAATTAAATTATTTTTATAAATAATAAAACTTATCGCAGACTTTCAATTATTTTTAATACAATTTTTATCAAATTTCTCGAAAAAAATTTAAAAAATTGTATTATAATTTATCAAAGAAATTCAATTATTTTAAAAACCTTTGCTACAATTTAGGTAAGTATTATTTTCAATACATTTTTAATTTAATTTCTTCAAAGAATTAAATTATTTTCAAAAACTTTAATGAAATTCTTTGTAACAATTCAATTTTTTTCAAAATAATTTTAATAAAATTTTTCATAAAAATTGAATTAATTTCAAAAATTTGTAAAAATTCAGTTATTTTTAATGTCTACAATTTCAATGAATTATCACAAAAGAATTCAATTACTTTCAAAAGTATTATAATTCTCTGCAGAAATTCAATTCAATTTTCATAAATTTTAATAAAATTCATGGCAAAATTTCAATTATTTTTAAAAACTTTCCTCAATTCAATGATTTTTTTTATATCTACTACTTTAATAAAATTTCCCAAAAGAATTCAATCATTTAAAAAAAAAAAATTTTAATAAAATTGTACGCAAACATTTAATAATTTTCATAAATTATACCTAAAAATTTGAGAGACATTCAATTATTTTAAAAAAATTTATTAAAATTTATCAAGATATTTTTAATAAACAATTTTGTAGAATTAATTTTTTTCATAAAGTTTAATTGAATTTTTTTATATTAAATTATATATTATATTTATTTATATTTAATTGAAGAATTTCTGAATAATTGATTAAATTTCGTAAAATTGAATTGTAAACAAATGAATTTGAAAATTATCAAAGAACTTTTTCAAAAATTATTTTTAAAAAAATTGATTTAAAGAAGAATTTTATTTAAAAATTGTAGAAAATAATAATTTAATTGAAATGATGAAAATAATTTTAAAGAAGTTACAGTAACAATATTCTTATATTATAATATAAAATAATTATTTTAGCAAGTTTTAATTATTATAAAACGTAATAATTTTGAGAGACATTTTTATTTTTGAGAGACTATTGATATCTTCTTGTTTTATAATAAATATTCTTAAAAGTTATTGAATTTGTAATTTTTGAAAATCTTCATTCCTATGGAAACATAATAATTATATAATAAAATATTAGAATTAAAAGAATGTAAAAAAAATAATTTTTTCACAGGTGGTTTGGATTGTACCATAAAATTATGGGACTTTACGAAATTGGCAGAGGAAATGAGTTTGGAAGATGTGAACGTATCTCATAATCCTGATGTGAGGACAAACGCCGAATCCTATCTTTTGAGAACATTCTCAACAAAAAATTCATCAATTCTAGCTCTTCATTTTACAAGAAGAAATCTTCTTTATGGCGTCGGTATGTTCGAGTCCTCCTAACAATAGCGAAATTTATTTAAAGAAAATAAAATTAATATCATTCGTATGAACTTGTACAAACTCATATTTTGTATTTGTATCATAAAAGTTGTTCATAATAAAAATTTTAATATTAGTAATTCCCATTTGTTTTTAAATCATCAAACCAAATATTTCCCTAAATTCCCTAATATTGACAATACTGTTAATATTAAATTAATTTAGTAATAATAAATAATTACAAATTTTTACTAAAGTAATTTTAATTTATTTTCTTTTCTAAACTTAATAAACTTAATAAATTTAATAAAAACTTATTTTCTTAATTTATTTTCTATATTTTTTAATAGAAAAAAAGTTTTTATTTAAAAAAACACTAGTTTTGTAAACAAAAAGTTTAATTTAAAAAGAAGGAAATTAATCTAGAATTTATATTAATTTATATTTTTATTATTTATATAATAAAAATATTTTTATTTTATAGGGCAAATTTGAATTTAAAAATAGAATCAGTTACCCGGTAACCCGATTGCAAAAAGCGACATCTTCAATTTGTACTTTTGCGCCTTTTTGCGCCATTTGTCTGCTACAAAAGTGCGACTTTCTTGTCTGCTTGTCAAACCACCGCATAATAAACCGAAAGTGAAAAAGGATAATAAAAATGATGTTATCGAGTTCAAATGAAAGTGAAACTAATGTTGAATAGTAAATGCAGGTTCAATAGTCTACTTTTCACCTGGGCGTTGCCCCGAATAGTGAATATTACCGATTAACTAATCATTCACTTTCGACCATGGGTGACAATAATCAGGCTAGGTTAGGTAAGTCTTTTATTTTTATTTCAATTTTTAATTATTATTTCCAAAAATCGAAAATGATTGAATGAAAATGAATCCCCCCTCTTATTTTTGATTATATTTAATACAAATTTATTTTCCATCATCATTTTTGAATACTTAATTATCCTTTTTTCAAAAATCATTTGACGTTTGGGTGCAAGGAATGTTCCATGTTTATATTGGGGTAGTTTCTCCGCTCATTAAATTCACGTTTAACGAATATTTATTTCGAATCGAAATTATTCACCTGTTTTTCTTATTCACTTAAAGCGATTTATTAAATAATAATTCATAACTATCGAAAATTGTAAATAACCCAAATGTTACCAAAGATTATTGACAATGTCCTTTTTTTGCAAAAAAATTTTTTTTCGCAAACAACGAAAAATGTTTTTGTCTACTTCATGTATAATGCATATTATTTCTGTCAATTGTCAATTAAACTGTAATTTTGAAAAAAAATTTATTTCTCTAATCAGTTATTAAGCAACAATTTTTTATTCATAAAAATTTAAGTTTTGCACGTTTCTTATTTATAATTATAATAACTATTTTTCTGACTCATTAGATAATGAGTTTAAAAATATACAATTTGTAATTAAGATTAGAAGTAGTTTTTTATCATAAAAAGAAATTGCAGAAAAGAATTTTCAAAATGTCACTAATTTTAATTTGTTTATTACAATTTCAAATAGCTAGCAAATTGTTTAAAAATATTTCGGATTTCTAAAACAAAATTTATGTATTAAAAAATGGCAAAAATTTCCTTGACTGAAATCAATACATAGTTTTGAATATATTTTATAGGCGTGGCATTTGAATTCTATTTTTGGTTTTTTTATTATGTAAAATTAAAATTCGAGAAATTGTAATTTAATAAATTATTCTTCACAATAATATAATTATAATTATTATTCTGCATTAAATAATTAAATAATAATGGATTTAATACGACATTATTATTTTTATATCAATAAAACTAGAGGAAATGTATTTTTATAATATTTCATTAAAATTTATATTTAACTTTTTGGAAATACTAATTACGAGTATGTATAAAATATTAATTGCAATACAAAATATTGTACGTATATCTTAATTTTAAATTAAAATTGTTTATGTATTAATAATATTATTTAAGCAAAAGTTAACATTGAAATTTGTTTTCCCAGGAAATTACGAAATGCTGAAAGCTTTGTATGACTTTAATGCAACTTTTCATAAAGCCCTCAGCTTTCGAGAGAATGATCTTTTTGTTCTCTTACAATCAAATACAAAACAAAGGAATTGGTGGCAAGTTATAAACAAAGAGGGTCAAGTTGGTTTTATTCCTTCTAATTACGCGACGACAGAAAAGGTATGAGTTAATTATTAATTATAAATTATAATTTATCAAGAATTAAAAATTTTATTTGAGAAGATGTCCAAGTTGATTGGATTTTTACATTGAGTTATAATGAGAAAATCTCATCGACTTGGACATCTTCTTAAATAAAATTAAAAAAAAATCATTTTCGCTAATAGTTGAAATAAAAAATTATTCTCAAAAATTTTAATTTAGAGACAATTGAAAATATTTTTAAAAAAAATTTTAACAATATTTTAATTATTTTCATAAATAATAAAATTCTTTGTTAAAATTAAATTATTTTTAATATCTACTAATTTAAGAAAATTTCTCAAAAAAATTTAATTATTTTAAAAAAATTTTAATAAAATTCTTTGAACGAAATTAATTAAATTTTTAAACATTAGATTCATTTATAAAAATGTAATTATTTTCATGATTAAAAAAATTTATCGTAAGAATTTAATTATTTGTCATACAATTTAAATTAAGTTATTCGAAATAATTCAATTATTTAATTTTAATTTTAATAAAATTCCTCCAAAGAATTAAATTTATTATTTTCAAAAAAGTTTAAATAATAAATTCTTCAAAAAAATTCAATTATTTTCACAAAGTATAAGAATTCTTCGCAAATATTTATTTATTTTCAATATTCTCTAATTTAAGAAAAGTTTTCCAAAGAAGTCAATAATTTTGAAAAGTTTTTATAAAATTCTGCGATAAAATCAATAATTTTTAATGCAATTATAATTAAATTCCTTGAAAGAATTTAATTATTTTCAAGATTTTTAATAAAAAATTCTTCGAAAGAATTCAATCATTTCCAAAAATTTTTTTAAAAATTCTTCGCAAAAATTCAATTTTTTTCATAAGTAATAAAATTTTCATAGGAATTTAATTTTAAGTATTCAAAATACTATTTCATGATTAATAAAATTTATCGTAAGAATTAAATTATTTTTACAATTTTAATACAATTTTAATTAAATAATTTGAAAAAATTCAATTATTTGATTTTAATTTTAATAAAATTCCTCGCAAGAATTTAATTATTTTCAAAAAAATTCAATTATTATCATAAATAATCAAATTTTCAAAGGAGCTGAATTTTCTGAAATACAATTTTCATAAAATTTTTCGAGAAAAATCAATTATTTAAAGAATTTTAATAATTCAATTATTTTTAAAAATTTTGATAAAACTCTTTATAAGAATTTAATTTTAAGAAATAATCAATTATTTTATCATTTATTTATTTTCGTACTTAAATAATTGAATTCTCGTAGAACTTTCTAATAAGATTGATTGATATTAGTAAAAATTTAAATTCCTCTTGAAGAATAAATAAGAATTTAAATATTTATTCAACAAAAATTATTTAGTTATTAATAAATTTAGAAATTATGAAAAAAATTAGTCTTTTGAAAAATTGTAATTAAAATTTTGTCAAATTTCATTAAAATCAAGTTAATATTTCAAAAGAATTTTATTTTTCTACTAAAAATTTGGAAAATAATTGGATTTTACAAAAATTTAGATTTGAAGTTATTATCAGAATGAGAAAAAAAGTTAATATTTTATATATATATAAATCTAGAAAAAAGTCAGACAAATACTTTTTCAGTTCTAAAGCTACTTTTTTTAAATTAACTATCGAGTGCAAAGCCTGAAAATATAAACAAGAATATAATATTTTTTCTTCTCCACTTTTCTTTTCCAGGTTCAACCTCAATTCTTTATAGACTTTTTAGATGAATGTATTAAATTATTCTCGGGGAACAGTGACAAGCAAGAAGGTTCAATTGTCACTGATAAACAGGCGATTTTATCAAAATTAGAGGATAAGAAACGCCATGCAGAACAGGGTAAAAAAACAAAAAAACAAGCTCCAATGCCACCTGATTTTGGCAGTACAACACCCGACAAGGATAATAATGAATTTCCTCTTCCCATAGTCAGTAGTAATTCCACAGAAGATAATAAATCATCAGCAACAAGTAGTGTGACATACGCCACAATAAACAGTAATCCGCCAATTGAAAATATTGAAAATGATATTAAACCAATAAAAACTGAATTAACACCACCAGCTCGACGCGATTCGACGAGTGAGAAACGAAGACAATCTTTAACACGTCAATCGGCCTCCGAAGCAATTCCACCGCCAGATGAGGAAATAAAAAAAAGTATTTGTGAAAATAAAATTAAATCGCCAAATCATTCGCCTGTGAAGAATAGAACATCGAGTATGGCTGATATTAATCCGAGGACGGCTTATCATTTACTGGATCAAGTGAGACGAAATACACAACTTAGTTATGAAATGTCAAAAGTTGCCGTTTCGGTTGTTGTCGCGGGTTTATATGAAATTCTTCCTCATTCAGTGAGTCACTATTTGGAGGAGATTTTAAATCAACTTCAAGTTCCACTTAGTGTTTCAAAAATGACAATTGAGGAGACTTACGATGCTAATAGGTTAAAAGTAATTTTCAAAGAGCTTACTACTTGCAAGGAAGATTCTCAACAAAGAAGCTGGATGCTTTATGAGGACGAGTCCATAATTTTAGAATATATCAAAGAGCTTACTTCTATTCTTGTAAGTATTACTTTTCTTTATCCAAATATCTTATTTCAATCATTTCTTTCAAAATATTTTCTAATAAAAAATACCTATGTCTCTTTTGTTCCATTTTTAAATTTATTTATCAATTCTATAATTATTAATAACAAAAGATTCTTTTATTCTCTACTTATTTAACTTATCATTTCTATAATTTTTATTTATCAATAACAAATCTGACATTTAATTTTAGAATAAAATACTATATTTAATTATTTATTGCTGCTTTTTTAACAGACAAATGCTGATGCCAATGTTTCAAGGTATGTTTTGAGACAAGATCAATATAATGGAGTGACAACGTTGATTCAGTATTATCAAATGGAACCTAGATGGACTATTAGGCAGTTACTTTTACAATCTTTCGGAGTGATGTGCAGTCTTGATCCGATAGCTTTGACAATTATGTTAAACAGCATTTTGCCAATGGAGATGGCCAGGTATTTTCAATTATTAGTTCAAAAATTACAAAACAACCTTTTTTTTAATCTATATCAATTATTATTGATATAGATTAAAAAAAAAGGTTGTATTTTAGTAATCTGTTCGCAGTTTCTAGTTAGTTGATTTTATTTCCTTTTCTCTTTTCTCACCTTTTTGATATATTTTTCCGAAATATTATTCTTAAAAAATACGATTATATTTCAAAACAATTTTTAAAAGTAATAAAATTAAATTCTTTTAAATATCAAATTTATTTCAATAAAATTTGACAAAACTTTTAATTGTTTCAATTTTTTTTTAAATATTTTCCAAATTTTTAGATACAATTTTGAATCAGGGTGTCTACTAACCGGGAAATAGCCAGGAATTTTATTTGACCTAGAATAAGCCAGAAATTCTTTCACCAAATTAAAAAAAGTTTTATTATTTTAATTTGTTTTTAAAAAATCGCTTTTTATTTCAATTTTTATAGATATATTTATACTGTTCTCTAAATTTGAATTAGTTAAAAATAATTAATTTGATAGTAAAAAATCAGTCATTGATTCAAATATAGTATGGAAATAAATTTAAAAAAATTATCGAATTAATAGAAATTTTGTGAAATTCAACTGAAAATAATTAAATTTGTTAAAGAATTTTATTAAAAACTTTTTAACAAATCGAATTTTTAAAGTATTTTTATTTAGTAATTGATAAATAATTGAATTTTATATAGAATCACATTCTAATGTATTCATGATTCTTAGTGCGAAGATTAATAATTAAAATTTTTATTAGTTAAGTAATTTAAAAAAAGATACATTTAAAATTTTTTAATCAAATTGAATTTTCACAAAGTTTATTTGAAAATTCTGAAAAATGAGATTTTTGAAATTTTTCAATTCTATTGTTTCAAGATAATTGCATTTTTATAAACAAATAATTGAAATTTCTTTACATTCAATTAAAAATAAATAAAATTTCTTCTCAATATAATTCAATTATTTTCATAAATAGTAAAACTCATTGCAGAATTTCAATTATTTTTAATACAATTTTAATCGAATTCCTCGAAAATTATTATCAATTATTTCTAGAAACTATAAAAAAATTCTTCTCAAGAATTCAATTATTTCCATTAATAGTAAAATTCTTCAGATTTACTAAATTATTTGAATATTATTTTAAAAAAAAATTCTTCACAAGAATTCAATTATTTTCATAAATTTCCATAAAATTCTAAAAAACAATTCAATTATTTTCAAAAGTAATATAATTCTTTGCAAAAATTCAATTATGTTTAAAGTTTGTTTAAATTCTCCTAAAAATTTCAATTATCTTTATAAATAATTAAATTATTCTCCAAAATTCAATTACTTTCAAAAAATTTAATAATATTCTACGCAAACACTTAATTATTTTCTTAAATATGTAATAACATTCTTTGGAAGGCTTCAATTACTTTTATAAATAGTAAAATTGTTTGCAGAAATTCAATTATAATATAATTATTCATAAAAACTTCTAATAAAAATTTTGAAAGCCATTTGTAGATTTATTTATTTTCGAAATCAAATAAATTGAAATTTGATGAGAAAAAAAAACCGGGAAAAATTAGGACAAAGCAGGGAAAAAACCGGGAAATAACCGTGAATTTTTTTGAACGAAAATAGTGGACACCCTGAATTCTACAAAAAATACAATAATAGGTTAGAAATAATTTTTTAAAGTAAGAAAATAAAATTCTTTGTGATATAAAATTTCAGAAAATTTCCATCTTTTTAATTTTTAAAATTATTTTCAGGAATTGAACTATTTTCGAAAAATTTTAATTACGATTTTTTAAAACCATCATTTTTTCAGAATTTTTACAATTAAATAATTCAAAACTTCAATAATTTTTATTTAATAAATATTTGAATACTTATTGTTATTTATTGATCCAGAAGGAATGATTTTTTTTCAATAATTTTGCGTTACTTAATAAGTAAAGTTATTTTTGTTAAAAAAAGTGTGATAATTTTTTTTAACTTTTATAATTTTAAGTTTGAAATCATTTAATTCTTGCATAGAATTTTATTAAAATTGTATTGAAAGTAATTGAATTCCTGCGAAGAATTTAATTAATTAGGAAAATAATTACATTATTTACATAAATTTTATTCAAATATTTCAAAATAATTAAATTCTTTCCATGATTTTAATTAAAATTGTTTTGAAAATAATTGAATCCTTTTGAAGGATTTTATCAAAGTTTTCAAAAAAAATTGAATAGTTGTAGAATAATATTTTTCTTTAAAACTAATAATTTTCTTTTCACACAGAGATATGCGGGCTAATCCAAGAAACGTGCCAAAATTGAATTATTCGTCTCTCTTACTCACAATGATATTTTCCATGGGTGAACCAATGCCAATTACGCATTTAGGTAATAATTGCAATTATTTTTTTAAATATCAAGAATATTTTAAATACCAAAAACTATATTTAGTATTTTTTGAATAAATTTTTTCACTTATTTTAAATATTCTGAATTTTTCTTTCTTGGAAAGAAAAATGTTTTATTTTTACTGATTTTTATAGTTTTATTAGGTATTTGAAAATATTATATTATATTATATTTTACTTGCAAATTTTTTCTTTACTTACATTGGAATTTTTACTACCGAAATATTAATATTTATTTTTCTTTCCTCTTAACAGAACAACTCGGAATGGACTTTATAGAATTTTTATTTGAATTAATTGAAGAACCGCCGGACACAGATTTGGACGATCAAATTCCTGATCTGTTTGTGAATCTCATTCTATCGTACAATTTGCAATTTATGGCATCGGAAAATATTGTTTTGAATGCTCTTAAAGGGAGAACCATTGCCAAAGTTTTTACAGAAAAGATTTTATTTCTTCTGAATCGAGAAGGTAAAGTTTTGTTCTTTTACCAATTTTCCTATTTTCTATTATTTTATTTCTTTTTTATTTCTTTTTAGGGTTCCGTACACCTACGGTGTATCGGCGGAACCCTATTGGTGAGACTCTGTTGTCCGTAGCCAAATCGTTGCCCCCCCCTAGAGGCTAAACTATTTGACCTAAAGAGCTCAAATTTGGTCCAGATATGTATTTTCACTCGTAGATTACAGGAAAAAGGAAGCTAATGTGATTGGACGTGATGGGCATAGCGTTGTCAAAGAAATAACAAGATTTTTGGCCAAAAATGCATAAAAAGTGACCATCCCCCCCCCCCCTTAACTTCTAAACTATTCGACATGGAGAGCTGAAATTTTGCATGCTGGTGTATTTTTACTCGAATATTACAGGAAAAATATAGAGAACTTGATATGTAATGATGGCCATAGCGTTGTCAAGGAAAAACTAAAAAATTTAAAAAAAAAAATTTTTTTTTCACTAACTTTTACATTATTTGATCTAATGAGCTGAAAATTGGTATCCTAGTGTATTATTACAGTCTGACGACAAAAAATTTATTTAAGAAACTTTTTGAAAAAAAATCAAAAAAAAATTTTTTTTAATTTTTTTTAGTTTAAATACGTGGCATTAATTATTTTAAGGAAGAGTAAAATTTTAAGAGAATAAATGAGAGATTGTTTTCTGACTTTAATTTCTTAACTAAAAATAAAAAAATATTGGACAAGTGCGAGTTGTACTCGCACTGCAATGGCGGGTTCCGTACACAAATATTAAAACAATACTTGCAACATTGATCGGTAATTGGTAGAATTAAAATAAACAATTAAAAAAATATATTAAAATCATTTGATAAAAAAAAATAACTAAAAAAAATTAAAGTATTGTATAGGTATCTAATATTGTAAACAATAATAAGCAGAGGAACTATAATTTTTAAAATTTTGTTGCAAGTATTGTTTTAATATTTGTGTACGGAACCCGCCATTGCAGTGCGAGTACAACTCGCACTTGTCCAATATTTTTATTTCTATCTTTTAATTTATTTTTTAATTCTATTTCTATTTTTATTTTATATCTTTTTCTATTTTTTTTCCATTGTTTATTAATTCAAAATCATAGTTTTGTTAGACATTTTGAGAAAATATTAATTTCTATTTCTGATGTAGAGGATCCTGTTCGTATTTTCGATCATCAACCGGCACCACCAGATTCTGTTTTGAAAATGTTTGTCGATTTATTCAGTAAAGAAATTACGGCTAATCTTTTTTACACAAATGACGTGAAGGTTCTGCTTGATATTATTTTGAGGCAATTATTTGATATTTCACCAGGTGATAAGGTATGTTTTTAAATTTGCATATTTCAAACGAATTTTAATACTTTTTTCATATCTAATAAGTAAATTTTCAAAAATATCAAATATTTCTAAGAGTTTTTAAAAAAAACTATTTTTTTGTATTAAAAAGTAATATTTTAATTTTTATTATTTAATAATTAAAAATAAACGTTTATTGAAACTTTAGCCTATTGGCCCAGAGGTGTAATAATATCTAAGAATTTTTAAGAATAATGAATAAAAAGAAATTTTAATATTTTTAGAGAAGGCAATATTTGGAATTGTGTCGTCGCGTATTGCGAACATCAAATTATAATGATCATCGACATCGTTCGGAGGATGTTCTAAAAAGTTTCACAAGGTTAATAATACCGTGTATATTGTTGCATTATCGCAATAAACTGCACATCATTACGTTATTAATTCACTAAGTTGATTTATGTTTTTGCAGAATATTTTGCGAGGAAACTGCTGAAAGTCAAGAGGATCAACAATTGGTGCGAGATATTAGCAATGAATTCCCACATTTATTTCAAATGTGACATTTACTTGAATCACCTTCATCTGTCAAGGTGGAAGACGAAGACGACCTACAGACCCTCGTTTAAGAAGCCTTTTCACGACGATTCCTTCGATGCAAAAAAAAAAACACAGATATACTATTTTTCTCTCATATATATTTCCTTATACAAAAAAGAAATATTATACTGAAAAAGTAGAGTAGACAATTTATTTTTTTAACGTAAAAAAGAATCGTGTATTTATTTTTCATCGCTTTTTTAATTATATACACTAGAGATGGCTGTAAAGAGAACATTTATATTTGTTCCAAAAGAATAATTGTTTTTAATAATGACTAACAGAAAGTATTTATTTTTTTCTTATATTTTATCGAAACTACTTTTTCTATAATATTTTTTTTTTCGTTATTATTCAATTAATAATTAATTAGTACAATAGAAAATCAAAATGACAAAATCCAAAGATTTTCAAGTTTGAGAAGTTTATTAATTTTAAATTAGTTACTATTGAAATTTCCATTAAAGGAAAAGTCGAAAAGTTTTTAAAAATATCGAATTTATTGTATATAGATGAAGAATGAAGTCATTCCAATTTTTCTTTGGCCAATTAATTTTTTTATTGGTCCAAACAAAAGGTAGCTTTAATGAATATAAATTATTCAAAGGGAATTTTTAGATATTTGAAATATACAAGAGAAAATAAATTTAGATATTTGAGGTATACAAGAGAAAAAGGAATAGATATTTAAAATATATATACAAAAAGTGATTTTTAGATAATTTAAAATAATAAAAGAAAAGAATTTTAGATTTATATATTTAAAATGTACGAGTTAATTTTAAATATTTAAAATTGCCAAATTGTGATGTTAAATATTCGAAATTTGCTAAAAGTGATTTTAAATATTTCTATCTTGCTGATCGTAAATATTGAGATACTATATTATAAATATAAATAATAAATGATCAAAATGTAGTGAAGAGAATATAAATAATTGCCAATTCTACGATTAAATATCGTAGAGACTACTAGTCTAGTCTTTAATTTATTGTAAAATCTAAATAGAGATCTAAGTCATAAGATTAGAGAGTTAGAGATTTAAGTAAAAATTTCATTTTCTTGAAATAACGATCTATTGTACTCTTAAGTTTTTTTTTTTTTTTTTTTTTTTTTTTTTTTTTTTAAGTGAATCCTTTGATTCTATGCCAAGTTTATGCGATATTATTATATTAAATAAACACTCTTATATCGAGTGCCCATGACCAAGTCAAACGCTTCTTCGTACGAAAAAGAATTGCCAGAGCACAAAAATTGATTTCGCTCGAGAATTTTTGATCGAAAAATAAAATAAAAAAAAAAACTAGTCTAATGCTAGCGGCTCTATTTTTTTATCGATATCTCTATTAATACCGATAAAACTCTGTTATGTTTGTGACTATTGTCAATTACGGAGGACTCTCAAATTAATTGTGATTGTAATTATTAAATGTTAAATAAATCAAGATTTAGGAGAGTGGAAGTCTTATTCAACTAAATCCTCTTTGATTTAGTTTTCACTTTTTTATTTCAGTTTTAAGTTTTCTTTTCTTTTTGGATTTTTATTTTTATTTAACTGTTATTAAATTGTTTTCTTTCGATAATTATTTGGTTTTTTATTTGGTGAAGAATAAGACGATAAGTTTTTTTCTAGCGAATTTTATTAATAACAATAAATACTGACCATGGAAAATTAAATAGGCTCTTGTAAGAACGGAGTGTAGTGTGACTTATGTATAGTAGAAATTATATTTTATTAGAAAATGGAGCCAAAGTTTGATTGTCGAATTATAGAGTCCAGAGAGAGTCGCTTTATCATCTTTGGACAATATTTTAAAAAGATGTTATTTTTTTTCCTTCCATCTGACTTACATTACTTTTTTTCTGGTGTGTTTTTTTTCAGACAATTTCATCGAATTGTTGAAAATAGTAAAAAGTAAAATGATGACTGATGACTGCCTCACCAATTTGGACAATTTTCATCTCCCTCTGCAATTGTTTTTATTCTCCAGTCATCATCTCCATGAATTCTGGAAGATGAAAAAAAAAATTCAATATTACTTCGAAAAATTGAGTAAGTGAAATTTTTTTTAACAAACATATATAGAATAGAAAAAAGGAAATATTATTTCCTGACGCATTTTGCATTCACGATGATAGAAATCGCAAATGCAGGTAATAAATCATAAATGTCATGTTCTTTCAGAGAGCTTGTCGCTGTGGGTGGATTATACGTGTATATGTTTTGAGAAAAGTAGGAAGAAGTTTGATGAATGCCAAGTCCTTGATACTGAACTTTTGGAAAATGAGAAGTGTTTCGTCTTCTTCTTCTTCTTCTTCTTCTTTTTTTCTACTCTCGTGTAAAATTTCATCCAACATGAGTGGAAGTATTATTTACACAAATTTTACGCTTCGTTGCGCGTTGGAAAATTTTCTGTTCAACCTAAGCTCCTCGTTTATGATTGATGATCTGACACATTTTATACAGTGAATTCTGTAAGTAAGCCAGAAAATTCTCGCCAAAAACTGATCGCACAACATTTCTACGATTGCCCTAAGTTTAATGGCCAATTAAATTAAATGTCTCGCAAACTATTTTAAACTCATTTTCATTTTAATTGAAAATCATATTGAATTTTATTGCTTTAATGAGTTTTCACGATTAACATAAATCATTAATTTTCCACAAGTGGGTAATATTTTGTCAAAAAGTCCCTCATTAATGTCAATTTTACTAATTAATTTTATAATTTTAGTTGGATGTTTTAGTTGAAAATTACGAAAAATTAAAAAATGGTAAATTTGAAAGTCAGCAATCAATTCAAAGTAATAATCTCAAGAGTTAATTAAAATCAATTTTAAATTTACTTAATTGTGACTTGAATTTCCAATTCGGTTTTGTTTTTTTTATCAGTACTGAATAAAATTGGTAGTAGTGATTATTTGACTCTGCTAATAAGTAGATTTTTTATTTCTCTTTTCTTTGAATAAAATTGAGAATTTGCGTTATTATTTTGTTGATATTGGTTTTAAAAGCAACTTTATGATTCGGTCTTTTCGCGAAATATCGGTTCCAATCGCTTCGGGAAATTTAGTATGTGTATTGCAAAACTGTTATGATAAATCACGACGATTCCTTACGCCCCCGAGTTAAAGTAGCGCGCGGAAACGAGATCGCTCCAAATTATGGCACATGTATAAATAAACGTGTTTCTCTCTGAGATCTAAGTGCTCCTTCTCTTGCTGATCAAACTTCGAAAAAGACCAAAATCTACTTTATATAGTATTCAAATCCAAGCAAATTCTCTCTTTGAATTTCAAGTCAAATTTTTTAATTTTTATTATTATAATTATTATAATAAATAAAATTATAAAATTACTAAAATAAAAATATAAAATTACTGAAATAAAATTATAAAATTACTATAATAAGTAAAATTAATATTTTTTAAATAGTAGGAAATGAAAATTTAGAAATTTTTTTACTCAAAAAGAGGAAATGAAATTTGAAAGTACGAAAGTTGAAATTTGCAAAATATGCAAATTGATACTTTGATTTTCTTTTTTTTTTTTGGAAAACTCTTTTTAAGAGGAATGATTTTTTTGTTTGTTGTATTTGACTGAAAGTAATTTTTGTAAATTTTTTAGCTCACCATCAAAGTCAACTGTGCCGGAGCCATCGGAGTCGATTTCTTCAATCATGATGTCAAGTTCTTCGTCAGTTAATTGATCGTCTAATTCTCTGAGGATTTCGCGCAAGCATGTCGTTGGAATATATCCATTGCCTAAAAAAAAAATTCCCAAAGAAATGGATAATTATTTCAAAAAGAATAAATAGAAAAAGAGTATTTTTAAAGAAGAAACGGACATTTCAAGAAGAGTTTTCACAATGAAAATTATTACTAAATGGTGAATATTTTTACAAAGAAATTATACATTTTTAAAAATTTTATTTCATTTTCGTTCAATTTTATATCAATTCTTTTTAATTTTATTTCATTTTTGTGTTATTTTCATTTCTTTGAAATTTTATTTAATTTTTGTTAAATTCGAAAATTTGAGATAATTAATTATTAGGTTACAATATGTACCTTCTTTGTCGTAGAGTCTGAAAGCTTCTCGTAATTCTTTTTCCAAAGCCTCGGCATCTTCTTCAACAATGAATTTTGCGGCGAGAGTCACAAATTCCTCAAATTCTAATCTTCCAGATTCTGTAAAAAAAAAAAAAAAACATTTATTACTCCCCTCGTTTCAAATAGAAAATTCAAAAATATTCTCTATTTCTCTTACTGTCGGCATCAACTTCATCGATAAGTTCGTCGAGGATTTTTTTGTTGAAAGGTTGACCCATAAGTCGAAGAATATCTGCTACCATGTCAGTAGGAATACTTCCACTCTTTTCCCTGTCAAAACTGTCGAAAGCTTTGCGCAAGACTGTAAATCAAGAAAATATTTTTAAACATCCTGTAACTTTTTATTTCTTGTTATATTTTACTATTTTTTTTCTATTTTCCCCTATTTTTCACTCTCGAAAATATTATAAGTTATGAACCTTCTGATTATTACAGTAAGCTTCGTGTGGATAATAATTTAATAATTGAAAATAAAATGAAATGAAAGTCTATAAGGGAATGTTAAATTTGGTTTTCCGAGTGTAGAAATCATCAAGCGTACGCTGACGCCAATGTGTTCGAATTTAGATCCGATGTTAATGCCCTTCCTTCCATTCCCCTTGCGATTCTGGCCCGAAACTTATTTGGCTCGCTGCAACATCGTTCTTTACCGGTTAGACGGTTTATTTATCACCCACGACCGATCTAACGTTAATTCAGTGAGGAAAAAAAAAGAAGAAGAATTTTCAACTTCTCTCTAGAACTTGTGCTCTAGAAATCCTCTTGATTTCTTCTATATGCTTTACGAGATCTCCCTTATAAACATTCATTACACGATTAAATCTTATAGTGACCAATAAATTTCAAGTTGTGTGTTTATTTTCTCGCGTGTAAAACCAATTTTTGTCATGATGGAATTTTGCAATTTGATAAATATCTTTAACACTCAGAAAATAAATCAAAGGAATTTTCAATTTTATATCTTAATAATAATGTAAATTTTTTTTTAATTTCACTTTATTGATTTAAATAATAATTTTAAGTAACTTAATTAAATAGATATTTAAAGAAAAATTGAAATTAAATCTTTAAATTAAATATTTAATTAAGTTACAATTAATTAAATTACTATTAGATACTAAATATTTAATTATATATTTAATATTATTTAGTTATAGAAAGACTGCCCAAAAATAATTAATAGACATATTACGAAAGAAATTGATTAAAATTGAGATTTTTGATAATAAAAATGTTTAAATTCGTTAATTTTTATTTCAAAAACTTATTTTCCAGATGGGCAAAATAATGATTGAAATGACTCATTGAATTTTTGGTGGGATTCGCAATTCTGATGGAAAAAATGAGCAATATATTGAGAGAAATGATTTGCAAACGAATAAACGAATTTCGAAATCAAAGTCCGGAGGAAGAAATCGAAACTCTAACGTTTAACTTGTAAGAAAAATGTTTTATTAGTCATTATTTAAGAAAATTTTTAATTATTCAGATCCAGCTAAATAATTATCAGGAGTTATTGAAAAAGAAGTTTCTTTTTTTGTGTAATTTATTTTTGAAAGCTTTTCTTTAAATATTGAAAGTAATATTGCGAAACAATTTAATTTAATTTCAATTTTTATTTTCATTTAATTTAATTTAATTAAAATTGAATTTTATTAAATTAAAAAAAAAACAAATAATATTCTTTCTCAAATTAAAAAAAATCCATAAGTAGAGTTACAGTTGCAATTTTTAGAAATACATAATCAATTATTTTGTCACTTATTTTTGTATTTAAATAATTGAATTCACGTACAAATTTGTGATAAGAACTAATTTGAAAAAGAATTTCAGTTAAAATTTTAGAAAATATTTCCAAAATTGAAAGAATTGCAGTTCTAATTTTAATAAATAATTAAATTTCAAAATTTTAATTCCTGGTGAACAACCAAATAACAATAAGTATTCAAATATTTATTAAACAAAAATTAATTATATTTAGAAATTCTGAAAAAAGGAGGTTCTTAAAAAATCGTAATTACAATTTTTTAAAATTAAAAAAAAGGAAATTTTCTCCAATTTTATTAAAATAAATTTTAAATATTATTGTATGTTTTGAAGAATTGTAACTAAAAATTTGGAAAAGAATTATATTTTACATAAATTTTTGTATTTAAATAATTGCATTATCGTTAAATTCTAATTAGAATTGATTTAAAAAGAATTTCCGTTGAAATTTAAAATAATAATCGAATATTAACCGTTTTGACAGAAATTTTAATAAATAATTAAATTTTAAAAGTTTCTCAAATATAAATCTTTTTAACATTTTAATCATCGTAAAAATAAAATAATATTTAAAAAATGTTGACGAATTATTCAAATAAATATATGATTATCCAGTAAGTTTTAAATACATTTCTTAAAAAATTCTAAGAAATAATTGACTTTCGAAAAAATTGCAGTTGCAATTCTTAGAAATAATTAAATTTCAAAAGGTTTTAATTTAAAATTTCCATTAGAACAATTAATAAGTTTATAAATATTTGTTTAACAAAATGACTGAATTTTGGAATAATTTATTGTAGAAATTGTAAAAAAAATTAGATTTTTGTAAAATTGTAATTAATATATATTTTTTTTGAAGATAATTGAATATCCGAAAATAATTTAAAAAATTGAAACAATTTAAAGTTTTGTCAAATTTAATTGAAACAAAATTTATATTTGAAAGTATTTAATTTTATAAGGTACTTTTAAAACTTACTTTGAAATATAATAAATTGTATTTTTGAAGGATTATATTTCGAAGAATTATATCTTTTAATAAATCATAAATTTTCATTAAATTTCAATGAATACTGAATTAAATATTGAAATGAATATTCTAAATATGTATACCATAAATATATTAAAAATGACAATAAGCATTCATAGAAATATGAGAATAAATTTTAATTTGAAGGAAATTTTTTTGGAAAAAAGTTTTATAAGCCTGTTTTTTGCACTTTTGCTTAAGAGTTGTTTTTGGAATACAGCCAGAATAGACGACAAATTGTAAATAATTTGATTAAAAACTAGTCTAAGTAGGAGAAATCTTCCGGAAATCCATGTTTCTCCGTCACATCTTATCAAAATTTAGAATCATATCTGAATACTTCTTACAAGTAACAAATTAATTTTATTGCAAAATATTTTATTTTGAATATCTTCATTTCAAATAATTCATTTTTACATTCTCATTTTTAAAACAAAACATCAACCACTAAAAAATAAATAGCTCCATAATTTATATTTGTATCTAATAGAATCATTTTCTATTCTTTTTAATTATTTTTAATACTATTTTTACATTTACATTACTTTTTACATTACTTTTTTTTACATTTTCCCTTACTTAATTTTTCAAACATTTTTTTTATAATATTTTTTTTACATTTTTTTACATTATTTTTTTAATTACTTTTTATAAAATTTATTATATTTTTAGTAATTTAAAAACAGTAATTTTAAACTCCAGTTCTCAAATCGTGTTTTATTTTAAATTTCCTAATTATTTACATCTCCTTTTTATTTTAGGCACTACTGCTGCGGATTAACGAGGGGAATATTTGAAGTAAAGAAAAAAAAAGAAAACGAGGGGAATATCTTCTTTTTGGATTACTTCTAGTCGAATGATGAGTGAAGGGAGCAATTTTGGTTTAAAAGAAGGACTAAAGATAGTTACAGACCCCGGGCCACCTTCCGGAACGTGTAAATGAGGTTTGCCTATGACGTTTTGGTTTGAAATGAGAGACAAAGAGAGACGAACAAAACATCTAGTCAAATTGAGAAGAACTAAATTTAGTTCGATCGAGAATAAACGAGGTAAGTCGTTTTTCACAATTGGATAATAATAATAATAATAATACCAGTAACAATATTGTAACGATAAAGAACATATTGTTGAACATTTTCAACGGAAACAATCATTTTCAAAATTTACTCGCGTCTCTAAAACAACCGACGAGAACGTATATAAAATCTAGATTTCTAATAATATGAGAAAGTCCAGGGCGGGTGGTCTGTGTTTATTTTGGAACACTCCATGAAAATTTTTGTCCACACATCGAAGGACAGTTCCAACGGATATTAAAAATTGAAAAATACAATTTTAGAAAATTACACTGAAAAAGTGTATTTTTATTTTAATGCAAAACTTTTTTTTCGTCAAACTATTAACAATAAATAGAAAAGAATTTTGCTTACTATTTATTTTTTCGCCTTCTGCAGAAACTTGAAAAAATAGCGAAATTTGATATATGAGTGAAAAAATTGCATTTATTAATAGAAAATTTAAAAAAAAAGCTCGGTTGAATAACATATGCTTCCATCATTTTGATTCACGATTTTGAACATGGAAAATGAATCGTGGACAAATAGCTTTCACCAGAAGATGAAACGTTTTTGCTAAAATGTAGGTTTTGTTAAAATGTAAACATATTATTTAAAAATCAAACCAGAGCCTGTCAATGACTCATGTAAAAATAAAAAGAAATAAAATGAAGCGTAAAAAAACCTACGACTCAGGAAAATATAAATTTACAAACTAAATTTAGGGTCGGAAGAGATAATAATAGCTTTCTCCATAAGAATGAAATAATCATCGTCATAATATTTAGATAATTATTTAAATCATTTCAATAAATTTTTTTCTATTAAATAAATATTAGAATAAATATTGTTAAATAGGAAATAATATTTATTCGCTAATGATTTTTAAATTTCATAATTCGAAAACTTAATTATATTTGCAGGAGAAAATTGTTTGAATTTTATTACCAAGACTGTTTGGAGGGTGAATTGTATTTCGTGGGATAAGAATTTATAAGAGGAAGTCTGCTTTTTGTATCGATTTGAAACTGACGTAATTCGGTGAATTCAATTTTTATCGACTTTCAGTCAATAGATTATAGAATTCTATTTTTTTTTTTTTTTTGCTATATACATACCAGCAATCTGCTCTGGCGGGAGCTCGTCAGCCTATAAACAAATACGAAGAAATGTACGATTATTTCTTGCTCTTGTAAACGAACAAAAGATGCGGCAAAAATAATTTTAAAAACAATGCATTAATGCTATATTTAGTGATTAAATTTAGAATTTCTTTAAAATTGAACTTAATGCTCTTGTTATATTTAAGTAAATAAATTTAAACTTCTTATTAAATTTAAGTAAATAAATTTAAAGTTCTTATTAAATTTCATTAAATTAATTTAAAGTTCTTATTAAATTTCATTAAATAAAATTAAAGTTCTTATTAAATTTAATTTAATCTATAAAATAAAAATATTTTTACTTTGATTTAAATAAAGTTTTGAACAAATAGAATTTTTCAGATTCATTTAAATTATTTTAATGGGAAAAAATTAAAAATTTTTCAATTTTTCAAAATTTTTTTTTTCCATTTGTTTTTTAATATGAAATTTTTTTTAATCGATATTTTTTTTAATTGAAATTTTGAAAGTAAAATTTTTTTTCATAATTACGTTTGCAAAAGCGCAAAAGTTCTCATGCCAGCTATTCATGCGAGAAATCAATAACAATTATTTTTAATATTTTAATTATCATTCTGATGTCAAAAAGAAAATTTTCAATTGTTTAGAAAATTTTTTCTACTTTTTTTTCAATTTAAGTTAAATGAATTGTTTCTCGAATTTAAAGAAAAAGAAAATTGTTCAAATCATTAATAAGTAAATAATATAAATTTATTTCTTATTAAAATTATTTTCTTGAGACTATTAGATATTTTTCTATTAAAAAATCAAAAAAAAAAATTGAAATAATTATTTTTATATTATATTTTTTTATAGAAATTAATTATTTCTTGATATCCAAATTTAAAAATTTAAAAATTGAATTTCTGTTTTAAACATTTTTTTTCCTTTTATTTTTGTACACATTTACTATTCTTTTAGTAATTTAATTTTCCAATGTATAATTGTTCTGTTCAAATTAAAATTTTCTGAATTAAAAGTATTTTTTTTTTGTTAAAGAAAAAAGAAATCAAGATGCAAAAATTTTCACGAGGAGAGTATAAAATGCAGAGTAGAAGAACAATAATCAGGCGTTTAGAAGGAAAAAGAGAGGAAACAGTAGAAAAAGAGATAGAATATTAGGAATAGGCAATTTTTTTTATAACTACAAAAAATTATTACATATTTTTTTGAACTAACATTGAGGTCTTTGTTGTATTTAGTGTACTGTATGTGAGAAGTTTTTATAATTTTTTTTCATTTTTTTTAATATTTGCAACAAAATGCAAAAATAAAAATATAATTAAATTAACTTTGAATTTTTTTATTAAAATTTATTAAAATTAATATTTTCTTTTTATTAAAATTTAGTTTAATTAATATTTGCTTTTCCTTAAAATCATGTTTCAATTATTTCGTAACAAAAAGGTCTAAATACTGTTATTTATTAATTTTATTTAGCATTTAGGCCTTTTTATTATAAAATAATTAATTAAATTAAATAAACTCAATAAATATTTGTAATTTTGCCATTTTTTTAATAAACTGAAATATATTTGTAGATAAAAAATTATATTTATACAAATAGAGAATTTATAAACAAATTATTTTATTAGCAGAGCATTAAAAGAAATTATGAGAAATTTTACAAAAAAGTAGAAGATAGAAAAAGTATTAATTTTTTTCAGTACTAGTTAAAAATTAAAGCTTATTTTTAATGCACAAGATAGAATAATTGAAAGTATAGTCACAATATAAATGCTAACAGATATGCAAATAGAAAATTTTTTATTTTAATCAAAAACAGACCATAAATCCTTATTTTAATTATTAAAAAAAAGACAATTTAAATTACTTCAAATTATTGAATTTTAAAAAATAATTAAAAGAAAATAATGTAATTGTTACAAAATTAAACAATAGATTCAATTTTAAAAAAAGTGTTTTTTAAATTCGATTTAAAAAAATTCTTTTTAATTCAATTTAAAATTGTTTTCAACTTCGATTTACAGTTTATTTATTTCTTTACCAAATTACACTTCCTTTTTGTAAATTAAATAATATTTTTAAATTCAATTAAAAGTTTCTTATTCTAACTTCAATTTAAACAAATTTATTTTTATAAAAAAAACAGTTTATTAATTAACAATTAATATTTAAGAAATTTAACAATTTAAAAAAATAGAAATTCTAGATTTTTTAGAATTAAATGAAATTAAAAAATTAAATTCTAAATTTTTCACAATAATAAGAAGCAAAAATTGTTAATACTTTTTTATCGAAAATAATATGGTCTTGCAATTGATTACAATAAAAGAATTTTCTCAAGAGAAAAGTGTTTGTGAATGTGAGTAAGATAGAGAAAATAGAAGAGAGATAAATAAAGAAAAATAAAAAACTTAATAAGGAATTTTTTTACCAGGGCGACGACTTACAATATCATCAATAGAACATACCATCGTGTTGATTAAGTGGTTTTAACTTCAAAAAAAAAAATATATATATATACAAGAGAAAAAATAAAAATTTGAAAACAAAATTTAATTCACTTGAGCAAAAATGAGAACGAAACTTTTTTCTTTTTTTTTCGAAAAAAAATGAAACTCTTCACAAATAAAATTTTTTATCCAGAGTGTTACTGAGAGTTGGAGCTTATTCCTTAAACTGTCGCGAGTTGTTGGTAGAAACGGTGGTAATATTCAAACGACTGTTATAGCGGTTGCGTAGTTGCCCCCGTGGCCCCTTGAATCCCTCGAAACCGGAAAAAGTTTAAATTCAACATCCAAAAGTTCCCCATTGGCTGTATGTTACAGCCAATCGTCCGAAAGCTCCTTGGAAACAACAACAGTCGTAAGCTTTTTGCGCTTGCGCTATTCTTGGAACTTGCAAGCTCGAAAGCTTAACTATTTTACCAAAAGGTATAAAAATTCATTATCTTAGGGGGATTTATCGTTCAAATTTCCCAAAAAGCTTCGAACGTAATTTCAATTGATTGGAGCTTTTAAATTGATCGTAATTTTTGGCGCTTAATTAATTATAGCGATGGAAAAATAAGGATTTGGCCATTCATAATTAATTAGCAATTATAATAATTAATTAGCTAGTTAATTAGTTTTTAAGTTTATTAATTATTAACATTAGTAATTAATAAATTAATTAGCTATAATTAATATTATCGATGGAACAAAAAAGGATTCTGCAATTAAAAATGATAATAATCAGCTAATTAATTCAGTAATTAATAATTAATGAATTTTAACTATCAATTAATATTATCGATGTATAAATAATTGATTGTCTTAATTTATATTAGGTATCGATGAAAAAATAAGGATTTAGTAATTAATAATGATAATAATAAGCTAATTCATTACTTTCTAACTTAATTTTTTATTAACAAATAGTATTTAATAATTAAATTAGTAATTAATACTTAATTAGTTTAATTAATATTATTGATGGAAGAATAAGAATTCTCCAATTAAAAATGATAATAATTAACTAGTTAATTAGTTTTTAACTGAATTGGTTATTATCATTAATAATTATTAACTTAATTATTAACTTATTTAATTAACTTAATTACTTGTAAATTCCTTTTTAGTTGCATTGACAAATATTTCTATCATCCACCAAATAATCACTTTTTCTAATAATTACTGTAAATGCAATATTTATTTAAAATAATACAGCAAAGAATTTTTACTTGTGGCAAATATTTTTTGTTTGTATAAAATATATCGACAAATTTTTTTTTTTTTTTTGCTTTAATTTTTTAATCAATTAATTGTTATTCATGTTAAATACTTAATTTTTTGCGCGTAGTTTATGTAAATCAAATGAACTTTATTTGCTTCAAGTAAATATTTATTTGACAGTACTCATCAACCAATAATAATTTAAAAATTAATATTATTATTTATCTTTAATTCGAAATAATAAATAAATTAATATTTAGGTATTAATAGAATTATTTTAACTAATTGCTGTTAATATTAATAAATATATTTATTAATTATTATTTTATTTAGATGAAAAATTATTTGTTTAATTATTTATTATAATTAGTATTAATAGATATTATTTTCAAACTCCGGAAACTAAAATTCTACTCCTAATTATATTAATTGAATTTCTTTAATTTTTATTTTTCATTGTTGCAAATAAATAAATTAAATAAAAAGTAAAAAATAAATAAATGCAATTACTTTATTTTCTTGTGTAATAATTAAAAATTAAACAATTATAATGAAAAATAGAATATTTATGTGAAATATAATCCTTTTTAATTATGAAAAAGAAATCAATATTATATTAATTAAAATTATATTAATTCACATTATTTCAATTTTATTTTTCATTGTCATATAAAGGAATAAATTAATAAATGGAAAAGAGGTGAACGCAATTAATTTATTTTCTTTTATATTAATTAAAAAGTGGGTTAATGAAAATATTTGTAACTGCTGTTTATTCATTTTGATGACGATGGTATTTAATCCTACAAGAAAAATAATGTTTTCATAATAAAAAGCAAAAAAATGGAAAAATGCAATTAATTAATTTAATTTTTGATTACTACTAGAAAAATAGATATTTACTTAGTGAACTAATTTGTAAACAAATAAATAAATTATATTAATTACCTAATTTTATTTTCGTTAATTAATAATTATTGTAAGAAAAATAATAATAATTATTTCATTATTCGTAAATATGAAAACAAAAAAAAAAAATAGAAAAATGCAGTTAATTAGTACAATTATTTTTGATTAACAAGAAAAATAGTTATTTAGTAAACTTAATAAACAAATAATTAAATTCTGTTAATTTTTTTTCTTGTATGAAAAATAACTATTTCATAATTCGTAAATTTGTGTAAAGAAAAATAGCAAAATGCAGTTATTTAATTAAATTTTGAATTGTAAAAAAAATTTGTCATTTAATTAATTAGCGAAATAATTAATAAGCAAATAAATAAATGCTATTAATAAATTTTGTTTACGGTAATTTTTAATTATTATAAGAAAAATAATTATACCTATTTCCTAATTCGTAAATTAATAAAGAAACTGGGAAAATAAAGTTAAATATTTCAATTTTTAATTAATACAAGAAAAATATTTGTTTAATTAATTAGTAGATTAAATACTACAGAAGTAAATAAATGTTACGTTAAATAATTTTGTTTACAGTAATTTTTAATTATTACAAGAAAAGAAAAGAATTTCATAAATATTAACAAAAAATTTATTCAGTTAATTAATTCAATTTTTGATTAATAAAAAAATTAGTTAACCAATTAATTAATAAACTAGTTAATAAACAAATAAATAAATTTTATTAATTAATTTCATTTACATTAATTATTACGACGAAAAAATGTGATTTAAAATTCATAAACAAAAAATAGAAAAACATAATTAATTCATTTAATTTTTTATTTACACAACAAAATCAGTTCGTTAATTACTTAATGAATCAATAATTAAAAGTCCTATAATACATTCAATCAATTAATATAAGATTTTTCTAATTTTTGCACCAGCAATAAAAAAAGGGGGAAACTACAGATATGAGAAATAATAATATTATTAAATAAATAATGACGATAAAAATAGATTATATCCAAGGTAAAGAAATGGACAAAGAAACAAAAGGAAAAGCGCAGAAAATCCTGACAAGTGGAAAAATAAGTGTGAGGGTGCCAAAAATGGGGGAATAGTGAAATGTCTCTACTTATAAGAACAATAGGAAACTTTTTGTTTGAAGAAAGGGCAAAAGAAAAAAAAATCGATCCAAAAAAAAAAATTGGAAAAAAAATTTTCCGAAGGGGAATATAATGAGAAAGGAGAAATGAAAGAAGAGTAGAATTGTAAAAATAACGAAATAGAAATAGGTATAGGAGTTTTTAGTATAAGTGAATCGGTGCCAAATACTAAAAAACGAAAATATTTATACACATAATTTGATATCTTTGAAATTATCAAGAAATAAAAAAATTATTCAATCATCGCAGTTTCTTCTTTTTTGAAATCAGTTATATTATTTTATTTTTATCTTCTTTTATACAAGAAAATACTAGAAATCTTTTTCTATTCAATATTCAAAATTTGTTGAAATGAATTTCAAAGTAGGGGAGAGTGGGGCAAAATGGGGTACCTTTTTGAAATTGGCTGTTTACAGAGAACCAAACGAATAAATCGATTCAGCTAAACTTCAGAATTCTTCTTTGTACACTTGGCTTTGAGGAAATTATGACAATAGCGGAGAAAAAAATTTTTGAAAGAACTTATATCGTATTTTCTAAGAAAGTGCTAAAATCCCATTTTGCCTAACCCGTGGGGCAAAATGGGGTGGCATCAAATAACTGTACAAAACATTGAATATTTTTTCAAAATTCATTAAATTCTTGTTGTATGAGATTATAAATATGAACAAAAAGTAGGATATTTTATTACTATGAAAAAACAAGTAATATTTATTAGAATTTAACAAAAAAACATGGATTTTTGCAAAATATCGATATATCGATAATGAAACATCGATAGTATAAATGCCTCGAAGCAAAAATATCGATTCTTTTGCAGGAAACCTTTAAATATGCATAATATAATGTTTTTAAATAGTTTTAATGGAACGGCGTAGCTTCCGGCATGCCCCACACTTAGGTACCCCATTCTGCCCCACACTGCATATTAAAACAAAATGCAATGTTTACAAGTTATTGTAAACAATGAAACAATCTATTCTACTGGAAATTACTCTAGAATAAGTACTGAAAAAGATCCCACACTTGCCAAATTAAATGCATTAACCCAAAAAGTTTGGTAAGCACTTTAATTTTGAAAAAAATTCATATTTTTTTTGCTTAAAACTTAAAAGTTGTATAACTTTCAAAAAAAAATTTTCTTTCGGGTGTCTTCATAATTAATAACAGTTTCTTATCAACATGAATGATATATGTCGAGGTTAAAAAAATTAAAAGTACCTATCATGGAAAAACAGAGGTACCCCATTTGACCCGCCTACCCCATTTTGCCCCACTCTCCCCTATTATTATCAATTAATTTAATAATATTAATTTAAATAATTTAATTGATTTTATTTTTAACTATTTTAACTTTTTTATTTATTTAACTATTTTTATTATTTCTATTCTTCTATTATTTATTTTATTTCGTAATTTTCTAACTTTTTCCTATAATTATAATTAATTATTACTTTATATTATTATTATTATTATTATTATTATAAATTTTAATAATTTACTATTACCCGCGTTGTTGATTTTAAATTTAAATTCAAAAAGGAGGGAAACTCGGTCGGTAAGTAAGAAATTTTGAATTTTGAAAAAGCGCGCTCTTTTTATTTAAAGGGAAAGGAAATGGCGCTAGTGTCGTTCGATTTGCAACCGCATGCGCGCATTTCAGTTCGTCGGTCAAAAACACACAGTTGCCAGCTGGAGCAGCTGGTTCTTCAATGCGACTTAATGTTTGATTGCTCCCCCATGTGATTTCCGCGTTTTTTTTTCATGATAAAATCGTGTGATAAAGACAGTGAGGACGATTGTGTGAGGAAAATTGAATTTAATGTGCAGTTAAGGTGCTTGTGAAAGTGTCATTGGGCTTTCTGGTTCACGAAAAAACCATTGTGTTAATCATAAAAGGATTTTTCACTACCCTGGATACAAAGGAGTTTCGAGTACCTCGCAACAGCGTCCTTTGGTGAGTGTTATTCTCCAACAGATAAAATTCCTTCATCTCGAAAGACTTAATTTCTCCAAAAAAAATTCTCCCAAAGAAATTAACTCAGAAAAAAATCCCTTAAAGTAGAAATTCAATATTTCAAAATACTTGTGAAAATCTTCTGGAAATCTCTTTCTCTAATTTTTGTTTTTTTTCTTTTATTCCATCCTTATTTAGTTTCATTTTCACAAATCTGAATATTGTATCACATTTTGAGAAAATTCGGTCAAATTTCGAAATATTGCACTAGAATTTAGATCATGTTTCAAATCGGTATTATGTAAATAATTCAGAATTGCTTTTTTGTTACACTTTGAAATCTTTGAAATAATTCTTTGGAAAAAATCCCCTTTGTTGTGTGAAACAATCGTTTTTCATTGTTTATATATTATTTAGGAATTGAATTAAATTACTAGTGTTCTTATGTTTCATGTTTAATTGTTACATTTTTCTCTTATCAATTTCTTATCTGATTATTTCGAATGAAATAAAATATTAAATGACAAAGTTTTTTTTTTGATAACCTTTGCTTTTTATAAATCCGGTATCAGCAATCTTGGTAAATAAAAAAAACGTTTTCTCAAATTAAAAAAAAATGAGGTTATGAACAACAATTCTTTTATTGTTTGGAATCGTTTGAATTAATGTAATTGACATTATAACAGCTGCTATTGTTTTAAAAATATTGATCTAGTTAATTGTTCTATAAAATTGACCTTAATTTATATTGTTTGTTACACTATTTACTAATTTAAGCAATTTAAATATAAATCAAAGTTTATGAAATTCCTCTTCAGAATTATTTTTTTTCATATACACAATAAAGTGCATTAAAAAAATATCTTCGTTTTCGTTTCATTAATAAACGGTATGTAATTTTTGTATACCTAAGATAAGAATACGAGAGGAGTGTTTACAATTAAGGAAGAAACGACTTTATTTCTCATTTCCGTTCTTTTGTTTCATTTTTCCTAATTTAGCGTAAAATGAGAACTTCAGGGATTCTTCCAAACGTGTATTTTAAAACCCAGGGATTTAGAATAATTTCTGGATTGTCCAAGGCTTTCATGTATCGTGTATCAAGGATGTCGTTCACTCCTTTCGGGTCTCAAATTTTTCCGCAAAAAAAAAAAATCGATTTGTAAATGTATACTTGTCGAAATAAGACAACACACCAAGTCACTGTCAAGGGAATCTTGTGTTACACACGGAGCCTTTTGAAAATTATAAAAGAAAGTGAAGCTCCTTTTATATAAAATATGACTTCAACATCCATATATCTTTCTCTCTCAAGAGTCACAAACCTTCTTCCGTTTCTTTTCAGCCTTACATATACTATCAGGCATTGTTGGAAAATTGCCATTTTCCCTGAGAATTTTCTGCTTTATGATTTGCCGTGATGCAATAACCTTCCTTAGAAAACAAAACTAATTAAAATTGAATTAAAACACAGTATATACAACACTTCACGGTATAATTTCAATTCATTCTTGAATTTCTTTTTTTTTCACTTCTCTCTTTTTTTCGAGAAGAGTAAACGTCGCAGTAGAATTTTGTTTTCGTTTTGGAAAATTAGGCAATCTTCTTCTATTTTCCATATTGAATTTATTACAATGTTTACAAATTTCTATAAAATTTTTACTCCGTCGTAAAATGGTAAATTATTATTTCTAAATTTAAATAATTTATTTTTTATTTATTATTTTGATTCTATATTATTATTAGTATTTGTTTTGTTAATATTTTTATATTATTTTTTTATTTATTATTGTTATTGGGGAAATGGTGTTGAATATAAAATTATAATTTTTGTTATTATTCAGGGTTGCCACAAATCAGGGAAATCAGGAAAAAATTTCAAAAGTAATAAAATTCTTCACAAAAATTCAATTATGTTTAAAGATTTAAAAAAAATTCTAGTCAAAATTTCAATTCTCTTTATAAATAATAAAATTCTTCGCCACAATTCAATTATTTTCAAAAATTTGAATAAAATTCTTGTCAAAATTTCAATTATTTTCAAAAATTTTAATACTATTTTAATACAATTTTCCTAAAGAATTTATTCATTTCAAAAAAATTTAATATAATTCTACGCAAACATTAAACTATTTTCATAAATAATAAAAATTTCACAGGAATTGAATTATTTACAAATTTTTTATAAATTTTTTCACAATAATTCAATTATTTTCATAAAAATAAATTTTTTTACAGAGATTCAATTATTTTCATAAACAATAAAATTCTTTTCAGGAATTCAATTATTTTCATAAATAATAAATCTCATCGCAGAATTTCAATTATTTTTAATACAATTTTAATCTGATTCCTCGAAAAATGTTTAAAGAATGTTAAAATGTTAAAAAAAAAATTCTTTAAAATATTATTAAAATTCTTCGAAAGAATTTGATTATTTAAAAATTTGTTGATAAAATTCTTTATGAGAATTCAATTATAAGGAATTTTCAATTATTAAAAAAATTATTTATTTTTGTATTTATTAAATAAATAAAGAAATATAACTTTAATCGAATTCATCGAAAAATGTTTAAAAAAATGTTAAAAAATTCTTTAAAATTTTATTGAAATTCGTCAAAAGAATTCAATTATTTAAAAATTTATTGATAAAATTCTTTGCGAGGATTCAATTATAAGAAATATTTAATTATTCAATAAATTATTTATTTTTTTATTTAAAAAAATTCAATTTTCAAAGAATTCTGTATAATAAAAATTGACCTAAAAAAGAATTTTAGTTAAAACATTAGATAATAATTGAATAGCGTGGATTTTTTTAGAAATAATTGAATTTTTGAATGGTTTCAAATTAAAATCATTGAAAATCTGAATTTTTCATAATTTTAACTAACAACTCTATAGAATTAATTATTTTGAAAAAGTTTTTTAAAAATTTTTTTTAAATATTTGAATTTTTTATTTTCTAATATATATTTAAATTGAAGCATTTCCGAATAATCGAAATTTCTTAAAATTGAATTGTAAACAAATTTGAAAATTCTCAAATTAATTTTGTGTCAACCCTGTTATTGTTACTATTATTATTTATATTATTATTATTACTAATTATTTTTATTATTGGGGGAGTGGTAGTAAATATCAATATTATTATTGTTTTCATTATTAGGAGAATGGTAGTGAATAAAAATTTTTTTATTGGTATTATTTATAATAAATGACAGATATAAACTATAAAAAAATCCCTTTAGAATTTTTATTATAAAAATATATTTCTCGAAACTATTTTCAGTTCATTTTTCTTTTTAATTGTCTTTGGAAGTATTATGAGAACTTTTTATTTTTTCTTTTCTTTCTACCTATATGAAGTTGTTGTAAAAATATTATTTCGATTTAAATTGTTGGTAAATGCATTGACCTCGCGACAATATATACGAATGGCTTTTATATTCAGTGGCATTGGATTTCTTAATTGTTTTAACCAGTTTCCTGTGTCTTTTGTGTATAGAATTTTTTTTTCTCTTTCCTCTTAAAAGAAAAAAAAATAAACTAGATCATATTTTATATTAGTTCACTTTTTGCACTAAAATGAAGTAATTTTTGAGGAAAAAAATATTTACTACATGTACGCTGAAGGACTATATAATATGTATTTTGTTGAAAAATAATCTTCCACATAATAGCGCTTTGGTTGGTATATCTTTGTCGTGCACGAAAAGAACATAACTTCACTATATGACATTAAAAATTTATATATTTGAAAATAGTTCCTCAAATATTGACTTTATCATCTGGATATATTTTAATATTGTTGATTTTTAGAAGAAAACTATAATTTTAAAATGTTGAAGTGGAAAATTTCTAAAAATTGTTTCTTAACGAGGTTTTCTTTTTGTTTAGTTCTTAGGAATATTTTTTATAGTTTTTTTTGTTCATTAATATTATTATTCATTTTTATTTATTTATTTATTTTCAATACAAAATGTCCCGTTTATAAATATATAAGTAATTTCAATATAAATTCATTATGATTCTTATTTTTATTAATATTATTATTAATCTTAATAATTAAAAAATTATTAAAAAATAATTAAAATAATTATTATTATTTTGAACGCTCAAAAAACGAAATATTTGCTATTAAAAATATTTTTAAACATTTCTGATATATATTATTATCATTGCTACTATTATAATAATTACAATATTAATTATTATTACTATATTATTATAATTATTTTATTGTTACTGTTATTCTTTTCATCATCTTCATTTTAACACCTGATTCTTTTTGGTTATACATATTTACAATCATAATGAATCTTTTTTATGGAAACATTAAAATGGAGAACACGTATGTATTTGAATCGCACTTTCAAAAACATCTGACTCTATATAAACGTGTGATAGAAAAATTATTGAGAGTATAAAATTGCGTGAATTATGAAACTGATACGCTTGCGTAATTAAAATTTGATTTTTATATTTTAAGCGTGTCGAGAGTGCCTTTTTTCTCTTTTCGTTTATTTTTTAATAATAGAATTAATCGTTCTTTCTTTCTTTTTTGTTTTTATTTTTTCTATATAAACGGGAATATTTAATTGAATAAAAATCGTATATTGAATTATTTTTTTTTATCAGCTGCGGTGTTGTGAATTTATCATCATCACTTTGTGCATTGATATATAAAAAAAACAATACCTCGTAAAATACAGCATTATTGCAACATATTTTTGCATTACATAAGAATTTCTCTCATTATCAAAACAGTCTTATCAGAATCTTCATATACAGATGCTATGTATATGCAAAGTTTGTATAGTTTATCTCTTTTATAAACATTGCTGGAAATTGTACGTTTATATTTACTTGAAGAGAATTAATTTTTTTATTTAAAAAAAGATAGAAATTATTTTAAAAGAAAATGGAAATTATTTTTTACAGCAAGTAGAAATTATTTTTAAACCAATTTTTAAATACACTCTAAAAAATTCCGTTGT